TTAGTGGTGGGAACATAGGCTGTTGTTCTTGTGGTTGTGGGTTCGAATCCCCCGAAGAGCATCAATTTTGTTTCTTTCTTTTACCGCGCGTGCGCGTGTTCTATTTTTTTTTTAGAACTGTGCTCAATAGGGATCATCAAATTGCTGTACCATGAATGTGTCCCTATTTTTTTTATTATTTATTAATATAAGCTGTACCTTTAAGTGAAAATAATAATTGTGGCCACTTAGAAATGGTCTCAAAATCCCACTTTTTTTTTCTAACCAGCAAATTCAATGTTTTATTTAAAATTTGAGCTAGGCTGGCAATAAAATCGGCACAGTTTACCATTCACAGAAATATAATTCTGATTGAAAATTGAATTTTAAAAATTTTATATTCACTTTAAACTGGGTAAACCGGCCGGTGTTTGTAGAAAAACATTGAACCAACCGGTTTTAATCGAACAAACGGCGTGGTTTGGACCAACTTACCCCTCATTCTTATCGGTACAACACACATATAACAAGGGCACAATCGTAAATCAACACACATATAACGAGGGATTCAGATCCAAACCAAACCAAATCGTAAACACACACCCATGTCCACCGCGGGAGAGGTCCTTCTCGGCCGCCGCCGCTGGGACCTGACGGCGGAGGCGACGCTGGCGGCGTCACCCCTCCACAGCACGGCGCGGGCCTCGGCAACATGTTGGGTGAGGTCGAGGAGGGCCTCGTGGAAGCCCTACTGGGTGTCAGCGAGGAGGAGAAAGGCGTCGAGGAGGTGGTCGCCGGCGGCAGTGGCAAGACAGAGCGTGTCCTCTGGGCGTTCGGGGCACCTCGTGTTCAGGGCGCCGACACTCAGTGCGTCGTTGTAGCAGCGCTGACGCTTGGCGATGGCGCCGGTGTTGAGGATTTTGTGGCGCGCGACCGGCGAAGACGCCGCTGGTGGCTGCGGCGGCGAACACGGGGCCATTCCGGAGCAGTAGCAGCTGGACCAGGCGCCGCCCACCGCCATCTCCTTCACCGATGCTCCCAGCGTCGCCGGCGAAGAGGACCTGGTGCTGGCCATGGAGGCGGCCTGATTTCGTTATCGGTGTTCAACAGCTTCTACTTCACCTCCATTAATCCTCCATGATCGAGTAGCAAGCTTCTGGTGCAGTGGTGCTTATGCAGCTTGCTTGCTGGACGTGGGCGACAACAGCAGGAGAAGAAATGCTACTTCTTTGTACAGCTTCGTGAATTCAGATTGAGATTGTGAATAAACTTACGACTGATTATTGCGTTATTTTTTTTCATGTGAATTGAGTATGGCAATTCAGAAAAGTGTAATGCTTTAACTGATGCTTGAAGTGTATAAGTTAAACATTTGGGAGTTCCAATAAAAGTTAATAACAAAATAAGCATCCACACAAGGATCTTTCTAGCATAGTGGTTAAGCTTCTGTTAAGTAATTGCTCGTGGTGTGGGTTCGATTCCAGGTGCAGCATTTATTTTTTTGGACAAATTTGATAGCCACCAGTGACATGGATAGCCACGTATGCGTGGTGGGGCCAGTGGGGGCTAGTGCCACATATGCGTGGTGGGGCAGTGGGACTATGGCGCGTGTAGTGGCCACTGGTGGGACCGGGGCTAGTGCCACATATGCGCGATGGGACCAACATATGCATATATGCGGTGGGACCAGTGGAGACAGTGTCACGTATGCGCAGTGGGACCAACAAGTATTAACAAATGAACGGTGTGCATCATTTGTGACGAAATTTTCCATTGTTCCTTGACGCTATTTTTAATTTCGTCAGAGTTTTGGAACCTACCCCTGCCACGACTCACCCATGACGAAATAGGAAATTTCGTCATAGATATGCCCTATTTAATGACGAAATTATACAACATCATGAGAAAAACGTCATAGATGGGCGATTTCCTACTAGTGATCGCTTTGATCTCTTGGATCGCTCTGGTTTGGTTGATATATTTGCCTACCTGATATCTCAATTCTATCTCTAATTGCATTGTGTTTAGAGACGCATCGGTTTAGTTGGGACTGTCTCGGTTAGGTCTAATCTCCTGTCTTAGCCGATATATCTCTACAATCATAATGTTGTTCTAAATAGATTTGTTATATCCATCACATTAGACAGATCTATTGGCTCATCGAGTATTAGATTATCATATACAATCTTGTGCTGCATCGGTTAGGTTCGACCTATTAGATTGTTATTGATAATATAAGTCTTGTTAAACCAATAGGTTCATGCTAATGTTTTATCGGGTGCTAGCCGATAAGTTATCTGGACGTTGCATCGGCTTGTAAGGATTGCATATACATATAAATTGGATTTAGCTGATCGCAACAAAGGTTTCACTGTTTAATCTAATCTTGTGGATTTTATGACATCGGACCTCCAACCGATGTATGCTTTAACCTTCGGATCGATGCTTATTTATCATATCATTATTTGCCGATTGGTTTATACTGGATTATACTGTTATTTTATTACATCATCATCAGTCGATTGCCTTTATATCATTATCTACATTGGACATATAGCCGATTGCTTAAACCCTATCGCTATCGGCTGGTATCGGCATCGGCTATTATCGGCTATCGGCTGGAACTACTCCATCGGCTTGTCAGCCGATCGTCTGTTTGATCTACTATTTACAAATCTTGTCAGTTGCAGGATCAAACTAACTGGCACGCCTGCAACTCATCAAGTTTTGGACCTGCACTGGAGCTAAGCAGATCTCCCAGGCTAGTGTGTGTTTTTCACATCAACAGGTCCATCTGCAATCTAAACGAGTCCCTGTGCAGGAAAATCGTAGTGCTCACCACCAACATTTCTCTCTCCTCCGGGACTGTGCCTTTGCTGGCCTTTGTTCCTGGTGCTACAGTCCTCCTTCTTGTTGACTGCCGCCACCTAGAGAAGAGACACTGTACCATCCCCAAACGCCCACTCCATGCAGTTCTCCCGCCCCCATCCGGATTGAGCATGAAGGGTGAAGGAAGAGGGAAGAGAGGACGCACCGGTGGCTACCTTCGTCGTTCGACCGCCGTCGGCCAACGGAGGGGAGGGGAGCGGAGGAGAGGAGACTTACTGGATCTGGCCGCCCGCACCACCGTCCCCGCCGCTCGCCCGACACTGTTGCCCGCTCGCCGCCGCCTGCCTCCTCCACCCCTCGCCCGCCCGCCGCCGCCCCTCGCCCACCCGCCTCCGGTCGTCCGCCGCCGCTCCTCGCCCGTGGAGAGGTGGCGGATCTGGCAGCGAGGAAGGTGCTAAAGGTGGAGATCACCACCATCCCCGGATCTGAAGGTGGAGATCCCCACCATCCCCGCCGCTCAGAGCTCCTCCGACGACCGCGTTGCCCCTCCGACCGCGCCGCTCCTCCGCCCGGCGACCGCTGCACCGCTCCTCGCCCGCGACACCGCCGCCTGTGCCGCGGCTCCTCCGTCTGCGATGCCGCTCCTCCGCGGCTCCTCCGTGCCGCTCTTCCGCATGCGACCGCCGCACCGCTCCCCGTCCGCGACGCCGCCGCCTCTGCCACGGCTCCTCCGCCCGCGCCGCTCCCGGCCCGCGATGCTGCCGCCTCTGCTGCGGCTCCTCCGCCTGGCGACCCCGCCGCTCCCCGCTCGACGACCGCCCGTCACCCCTCCTCGTCCTCTCCGTTGGAAGAACAGAAGAGAGTATGAGGGGAAGAGAGGATGAGGGGTAGAATAGAAGAGAGGATGGGGAAGATAAATGTAAATGTAAAAATGTCCCTCTCTCTCCCCCATCGAGACATCCATCTCCTCTCCTCTCAACTCCTACCGGCCGGCGACGACAGAACCAGCGAGGGAAACACCGACGAAGCACCATCGACGCTCCTCCTCCTCCTCCTCCTCCTCCTCCTTTCTCCCACTTCCCCCTCCTCTTTCTCCCTCCCTCCTACTCCCATCCGGCCTCCTTGGGCTTGGGCTGGATGGTAGGCGAGGGCAGCTCAGGCGATGGCGACGGCGGCAGAGGTGACAGACTCAGGAGGCAAATCTGACAATGCTGGCCTCGAGAAGGACGGATCCGCCACTCTGGGCCCTGGAAAGGCGACGATGACTAGGGTGTCGGCGCTGGCGAACTTGAGGGCAGCAGATCCGGCAGCGCTGCCCTCGGCCCTGGGAGAGGTGATGGCGATGGCGGGCGGCGGTGAGCTCGAGAAAGATGGGAATAGGAGTTAGGGTTTTGGGTTTCTTTTTTGGAATTTTTTTGCCTAATTTTGATTTTGCAGATGGGCGGCTTAATGTTCCTTATGCGAAAATCCTGTTTCGCACGTGAAAAAATTGTTTCTCTATTAGTGCCAAACTATAATTAAACCAGACATGTGATGGGAGAATTGACAAGTGGCCCACAGAACTTTCATGTTATTTAATCAGAAATGAATATCTTAATGAGCACGGTGTCCATGAGCGAATTTCTATATTTACATAATGTTTCCCACAATAAGTCACTTCGTATGGTGTCTTATAGGCTTAGAGATGGCAATGGCCCCCCGTTCATCGTTTTCTTGCGGTGAATTCACATATTAGGTGACGGGGATGATTAATATATATCCATCATTGTGAATGAAATGGTTAATATGTATTCACCACTAGTAATATGCCCGTGCTAAACGCTACGGTGCAATTCTACTTGTCTTCAATAATTTTTAAAATTTCATGTTAGCAAAAAAAAATTGATATGATTTGTACATTTGAGCTTTAATAACCTCCGGCAAGGCCAGGTCTGTTTTGTGCTTTGTCCGTGAACATTATAGCTATTCACTTGACATTTTCCCCGTATCGTTTTACTGCTGATTAATCACGTTATAATAAACCATCTTTTCTTGATTCACATAGAGCCATAACTGAGCATTGCAATGCTATAATCATTTATGTAGGTGAAAATGCTAAGTACATTAAAGCGATATGATGGATAAGTCATGACAATGCGTGTAGAGTCAAATATAGATCTGAAAGACACAATCGTATGCAACTGTAAAAAAAATTGGTTTAAACGCAATTATGAATATCTCAAGATATATGGCCCTGCAATGTTATGCGGTTCGTGTCAATGCCCAGAGCATATATAGGGAACAATAATCACCAATCGATCAACAATGCATAGTGTTATGGATTGAACAACCCATGTCACGTACAGTTGCATGAGCTATCTTCTATATATTTCCGGCGCTACATATAACTTCGATGTTCATTTGTGTTATTCACATGGGATGACTATTTTCCAGGCTTACATCTCAGTCAGTTCTCAAAGTTGTGTAGAATGAATGATGTCTCACCCAATTTCTCCATTATCAACTTGTTTTCTTCAAAAGTAGCAAAGCTTTCTATCTACTTCAAGAAGCACTCCCCCAGTTAATTACACTTATTCTGCACGTGTAAAATAATTAGCAATCCGTAAGAAGCATGCACACAAGCATTATAGATAGAAGAATAAAAAACTATTAAAAAGGATTCGGTGGCTGCAAAAAAAAAAAAAACATACTGATTTAATCATTTAAGCTCACAGCCAAAGTTCAGACAAGATAAAAAAAATGGAGCTATCTCAGAATCATTCTAAAGCTTGCTGTCTCCTATTCACATGCTTTAAAATAGATTTGAGTTTAATACTTGTGTGTAGTCTTTTATGAGAGTCGATGGTTTTCCATATCCAACTTGTTATGAGAAATGTGAGAAAATAAAGTTCTGTTGAGCTGTATTTTATAGTCAACAGTACTGCAGAACCAAATGTTCGAAGCAAATGCACAGAAACTTTGGTGTTTTTCCCTTACAAAGCAAGTTACTGAAAATTTATAAACACATTTTCAAATATGTGACGATACGCTTTGACTTTTTAGATGGCTTGCTAGCAGACAAGCGAAAATACAAGCTTCGTCCGAGCTATTTGATGAACGCACAAGCACCTCTTCTTTATGAAACTCAACAGATCCAACTGATCCTGTGTGCCCTAATTAGGATATTTCTCTCAATTAATTTAAGGCTGTTACCAGAATTTTTATTTCAAATGCTTCCTTGAACTACAACAGTTCGGATATTTCTCTCAAATGCAGCTGATGTAGATAGCCCTAATTGAAGAAACAGTATATTTCTTTCGAAGTTGCAACTCAATTTTTTCTTGCTTTTTTACGTACCTTCGTACATCTAATTTTAGGTTTCTACTATACCATAGATACTTGTAATCCAAACATCCTTTTTAAGACGTACATGCAATTGGTCTACTGATAATATTCAATTTATAAATCTTAAATGTGATGACATCGACCATGCATATGACGCCGACACCTGGTTCATCGATAGCTCTGTACACTACAAAACATTCTAAAATGTGATTGGTATTCTTGTATGTTCAAGAAGTCATTTCTGGTCCACATAGACGAGTTGAGGGCTTTGAGGCAGATAAATGGTTTTTGGGAAAATTAGACTCATGTTACCAAATTAACAGCCTGGTCAAATGACCTACAGGCATACCATTTTATGCTATGAATTTTTCAGTCACAAAAGCAACTGCCCGGATATATACTCTATTTTATCCAAGGAATATTATCTTAGATATAGGATCCACAATTGCTGAATTGCCCAATGTATTCATTGCAACTACTCGAGGATGGCTAGAAGGGATGACAGCAATGCAAACTTCTGATGAGCTGAAACTATTTCCTGAATTTGTTGAACAAGAAAATAACCCATGTAGATAGTCAGAACTCTTCAGCATCAACAATCAAAATCAATAATTGCTAGTTCCCAAAATCCTGTCCGTTCTGAATATATCAAGCAGTACTCATCGAAAATCAAAATATGTGCAGTCAAATTTAGAATTACAAGGGAACATAGGGTTTCAATTTTGCTTTTGATGAAAAAAAATGTAAGCAATAAAATTAGTGGACTACTTGGAGATTTCTGAAATTACCATTGTCGTATTCAAAGGCAATTGGAGACCACTGAAGTGACCAGCCACTGCCAGGTTGTGGTCTCTGCTTCTTCTAATAAGTAACCGGGTTTCTTCAGAACCGACGGATCAAATTCTGCACTCATTCCAAAATACTGGCATGGTTATATTCTGCATAAAAATTCAGAACAAACTGAAAGGTTGATTTCAAATACTACAGAGTGAGGATGGTTAGTATAAAAATTTCAGAACATGAACCAGTTGCTAATCCACGGCTGAAATCCAACCAGCAGAGTGAGGGTTCACCCTGGAGCAAAGCAGCTGTGCATCATTAGTTACCATGGTTAGGCCCTGCAAGTCAAATACGAAAATGAATCAATCAATTAAGCTGAAAGTAGCGTAAAAGATTCTACCTTGTATCTGAACTCTGAAGGAAGCAGTATGATTAAAGAGGATCACACCATCCATTATGCACTTCATGAACAGCATAGATATCCTTATTCATTCAAACCCCCTGATCTGATCAATGAATCGATGGAGTCAACATGGATAGCAGTTTTCATTTCATTTTTTAAATAATGAGTCCCCCTTCAGCCTGAAACAATGAACAGTCACAAATGTATCAACTTTGATTTAAGAAAAAAATCATAGAAGTAATTTAGTTTGTTATGATAGACCATCCTCTATAAAATTGCAACTATCAGTCTCACAAATAGAGAACTGATTAATGATTAGGTCATGCCATAGACTATTCAATTCTAGTTCTGGGAAGTTCAGTTTTCTAAACATAGCTCAATCAGCTATATAATCACACAATACTCCAAGCAAAAGAGCACATGCAAAAATAGTCCTTTATTGTCCCTTGTTGAATGAAAAAGCTTTATTGTCTTTCCCATTTTTTGAATGGAGTGGCCTGACTATTTCTTATGACACCATAATGACCAGAACCCGAAGAAAACATTGCCAGGTTAAAACTGAACCATGTATTCCGTAGGCTAGTAGCAACCCATACAGCAGCTGAATTTTTCAGAAATGAGAGTGTTTCATTTCACCATAGTTTCAGAATTATATTTTCAGAAATGTTTAGAGAAAATAATAATCTGTCCCCTGTCTCCATGAGCAATCAAATTTCGAAGCTGGCACCATAAGTTAGCATCGCTCCAGATTCTATTTGAACTGACATACAGGTAAAAGAAACACCTAAGATGAATAGGGAAAAAACAAGGAAAAGTTTGTTAGGATATACCTCCTCTGGTATGGGCCGCACGCTCTCATCAGTGTAGACTACTTGAGGAGGTATCAGAGCTCTCCTCTTACCTGCACTCAAAGTTGTGATGAGATGGAAAACGTTAATGTACAACCGTGGTATTTTCAGAGCTGAAAAACATTGAGCCAATTGATTAGCATGCAGAGTTTCAGTATGTTGTAGTTCAGCTATAAAAAGTACCTCCAGCCTTCATTTCGATGATAATAACGTCTTTGAGACCTTGAATCATCTTTAAACAACTTAAACGAGAATAGTGTACCAAATATACAGGAACAACTGAAAACATATATAGGGTGAATAATGTGAGGATATCTAAAAAATGTGGAATTTTCAGGAGTGGAGCTTATGACCTCTTCTGCATTAAGTGGATGTTTTCACAGCTTGCTTCTCAACGCTAAACTGATCTACCAAGCTGAACTGCAGAGAACAGGCAAACCATCGTAAGATGAAAGAACCGAATTGACTGATAGTACTTAAACTGATACTACATGCCATCCAGTTTCATCAGTTGAATCTGTACAAAATAGTACTGGATGGTATCCTTTCTCAGAAAATAGCCATTTGCGTGGCAGCACACAAAGTTGAATTGCACTACATCTCCTTCATGTTCTTCTGGACTATCACCATCCACAATATCATGATCATATTTTTTTCACCTATGCACAAAATAGCTATTTCTGCAGCGGCACATAGTTGAATTACCTCTGCTTCTGTGGACTCCCACCAATACAACAAAAGGGAAAAAGAAATAAAGGACTAAACTAAAGTGGAAATGGTCTGTAACTCTATCGTCATCACAATGTGTCACGGGAGTGATTACAAACCAAACAAACTTGATTTTGCCAACAATGTTAACCATCTAGTAAAATAATGTGGCTTCAACTGACAATTTCTTAGAAAATAATCCATGTATCGTTATTGAAACAACCCAGTATTTACACTTTAGATAGATGGAAACGATTGTATAACATCAAATTTACTGCATTTAGTATTTTGTATTGTATTTATTCAATGGACTGCAACAGAGCAAACCTGAATTGGCGAGGTAGACCCTGGTGTTGGCTAAGAAACCAGCGTCGCTACTGCGGCCTGGGTCATCGAGGGTGACGGAATGAGGACAAACCCTTTGACGGACTGTGGAGGAGGTCGCCGGAGCAATCGCGGTCGAAGAGAATCATCCAGATCTTGAAGAGAAGATAGTGCTAACGCAAGAAAATTCCAGACAAAAATGGGTGAGAGACAGAGAGATGAACGAGAGAGGATGTGTATGCTCACCGGAATGCAGCAGGACGACGGCGCCCCTCCCCTCCCCCTGCTCTGCTCGCGCGATGGGGATCGGAGCGGAGGCGGCAATTCAGGCGACGGTGCCGGTCGGCAGCGGCCGCGGAGGAGATCCCTCCCCTGCTCTGCTCGCGAGATGGGGATCGGAGTGGTGGCGGCACGAAGGCGTGATGAGGAAACCGGTGAGCGGGGAGGGGAGTGCGGGTGCGGCGCGCGGCGACGAACTGTCGGCGTGCGGCGGGGAGTCGTGGAGAGAGGAGGGGAGGTTAGGGTTAGGGTTTGGAGAGCGAGGGAGTGGGCGGGGGCGAGGGTGCGGGTGGGAGGTGGCGCGGGTGCGTGGGGTGGATTCGGCGGTGACTCTTGGAGGAGCCATGGGCGATGGTCAATGGCGAGCGGCGGGAAGACCAACGGGAGATCGAGGCGTGGGGAATCGACGATGCAGGATGACGATTTGCGCTACGAGGGGCCGGCGACGAGCGGAGACAGGACAATCGGCAACAATACCTGAGGATGAGGGTGAGAAGGGAGGGGATCGACGACGGGGAGGCTCGTGCGACGGCGAGTGGGCGGGTGACGGGATGGATGTGGGCGTGAGGAGGGTGTGTGAATGAAAAGGGGGAGGAGATTGGGGCGGTTTCCGGCGTCAGCGGCGGAGACGGCGGAGGGAGGCGTGGGAGGGAGGTGCGGTTTCTGGGAGGGCCGTGGGAGGAGCACGATCTGGGACTGGGAGGAGGAGGTGCATGGGGAGGGGGTGTGGGAGGGGCGCGATTGGGAGGGAGGCGTCGACGCCGTCCGATACGACTCATCAGATTAATTTGGATCGTTGGATGTGTGACATGATGAATGATGAATGAGTAAAACCATTTGTTTAACTATATGGTAGATTGGGGATGACGGCCATCCCCGTCCCCGCCTCCTGGTGATCCGGCTTTACAGTATAGAGGGCTGATTCTAGACTTTTTAAGATGTTTTGGCCCATAGTATTGAAGCCCTATTAACAGGGGTATATATAGCAAAACCCTAGTCAAACCTCAGCTGCGCAGCCACGCGCCCACGCCACTGGTTCCTCTCCTCTTCCTCCGGCTCTCCGCTGCAGGCACGCCGCACGCCGCCACCGCCAGCCGTTCGCCTGTTCCAGACGCGCCGCGCGCGCGCCGCCGCCTCCTCTCGCGTGCGCGGTGCGCCGCCGCCTCCTCCTGCTGCCGTCGACGCGGGCGCGGCGCCAGCAGCCGCCGTCGCGCGGCCGGGAGCTGTCGCGGCCGCGCCGCCGGGAGCCGCCGTCGCCGGGAGGACGCCATCCGCCGGGAGCCTCTGTCGCCGCGCCGCCGGGAGCACGCCATCCGCCATCGGCCGACCATGGCTTCGGCCTCCCCCCGCGTAAGCTACGATGCAAGGTGAGAAAATGCTTCAATCCCTTATCCCTTCTCTGTACTCGATAGACGCCTACCTCTAGTTCTTCTCCGTCGAGTTATTAGTCTTCCATAGCTACGTCGTTGACTCACTAACCCACGTCCGGCGGTCCACGCGAAGGGACGCCGCCATGGATTTGGACTTGCCACCACGTGATACAACGTTGGGCCTACTGCCGGATCCTCCGTCGTGCTGGGTGCTGCCCCTGCGGTCGTTGCATTGCGTGCAGCCCCAGCGGTCGTCGGGTCGGGTGCTGACAAATCTCGCAAGTCCAATGCAAATGCCCTTCGCAGGTCTCCTCCTTCGAAAAGGACCACAGCCAAGCCGAAAAGTCGTCTTGCAGTTGAAGGAGCTCCTGCTCCGAAAAGCCATCTTGCAGGTTCTGGAGCTCCTTCTGCTTTGACTACTCCAAACGCGTCATCTTCTGCGGGCGGGTGTGAAGATGATTCATGACTAGAACTATGGCCAGTTGAACTTTCTGAATTGTGTATAGACATGTTCTCCGCTTAAGCAGGCGAGGTTGGTGCAGTACAATCAGCAGCAGCAAGCTACCATTTTCTTTTGGACTCCAGTCAGTATTCTAAAATCAAAATAAATCAGATTTTTGTTCAGTACATGCTACATAGTAATCTAATGATGTTCCACAACAGTAGTTGAGACCGTGATAAATATCCAACTATTGTGCATATAATAGTTTGCTGAAAAGAGATCATAATTTTAGACTGTTGTTAGGTACCCATGGTTAAATTAGCACAACTGATCTTGGAAAACATACAGGTCATTCATAGTTGTGGCCATGGCAACTCGATACATGAAATCAATATTCTTATGCATGCATGGTAATGAAAGGTAGCTGCTTGTAAATGCAATTTAGAACAAATCTTCTAAGCATGGCATTCAGCACACAATCCACAATACATGGAGGAAAGAGTACTTGCCGGATCTTGAAGGGAGAGAGTATTGCCGGATCTTGTGGGGGGTTAAGGGCAGGGACACGCGGCAGCGGATCTTGCATGGAGGAGAGGAGCAGCTTCTTGGCGCCGACGGTGCGGAGATGGCGATCTGGCGGAGCGTTGCCAGGAGATGACGCCGGAGCGGAGGACGAGGGGGAGCCGGTGGAGCTGCAGCCGCTTGCAGCGAGTTCAAAGTGGAGAGCAGCAGCAGCTTCTTGGCGCCGATGAAGAGGAGATGGCAATCTGGCGGAGCAGTGCCGGGAGATGACGCCGGAGCGGAGGACGAGGGGGAGCTGGTGGGGCCGCAGCTGCTTGCAGCGAGGGCGGAGTGGCAAGGAGCAGCAGCAGCGACGCCCGTCGGCGGCGATGGCGGCGGCGGCAGCGGCGGCGGAGGAGGAGCGGAGGATGCGAGGAGTCTACCCTAGCGTGTGGATTCAGTCCATGGATTCAGTTTGTGGATCAGTTATTTTACTCAGCCCGCATCCACCCCAAACCAAACCACATTTTTTGTAAGCCCAGTCCAGTCCGATCCAAAATGGAATCCCAGGCCATTTCAATCCAACCGAAAAGGATCCAAATGAGGATCCAGCCCACTTAATCCAAACAAAGTCAATCCACTGGCAGGCCTAAGCATCAGGCGGTGCGGGCGAGCTTGCCGGCCTCCTCGTGCCCCTCGCTGGCCCTGCCTGCTCCCTTTTCGTGCTAGAGACGGCAACGGTGAATTCACCGTCGGGGGTCACCTCCGCGTCCCCGTCACCGCGGTGATAAAATTTCACCGTCCCCGCCCCCGTCAACCACGACGGGGCTACATTTTCACCAGCCCCGATCACCACGCGGTGAATTTTTCCCCGTGGTGAACCCGTCTCCGGTTAAACAACATATTCATCTCTAAAGTCCAAACTTCAAACCATATAATGCAAACATGGGACTCTAACACAGTCTCCGAGATGCTACTTTGATCAACAATATCTATATAAAAGTAAAATGTTTTAAATAAAAAAAGTTACATATTTTAATAGTTTGTTTAATGATAAATCTAGTAACATCAATTTTACATGATTAATTTTTTTGTTATTTTGCTATTAATAGTCAAAGTTATTTTTTTTGACTTATCACTATACTAAAAATGCTTATATTTTGGGACGGAGGGAGTATCAAATTTGTGGATTTGGTAGCTCTGATTCCTCTCTGAATAACAGATTAACAGTTATGCCTCAAATATGAGATAAGGAAGGTTGGAAAATTATAGTTGTGGATTTTTGGATTGAATTCAGTAGCTTCTTTTGTTTCACTTATACACTTATTGGTAAGTTTTTGTATTGTGTGTAATTTATTTTAACTTTGCTGCAACCAACCATTGTAGCTATGAGCCTGGACCGGCATTTGAGGAGAACAGCGAAGAGGCTATGCTTGATATATCACAAACAGAGTCAACAGAACTTTGGCTAATACAGTGGCCTCTAAATCAGGTTATACGGATATTATTTTCATTATGTGCCATGTGGCATGCTGCACAAGGGATCTTGAATATAATGTTTTTCTGTGTTGCATGCAGTTAGATGCGTCTGATTTTCATGGTCAAGAGGTTACTCTTAAGTTGCACCGTGATGGAAAATTGAGCAGTTTGGATAGTTCCTCAGGTAAGATAATATTAAATGAATTATGTTGCACCTGATCGATTATGTCTTTCGAAGGTTTTTCTGCTTTCTGTACAGTTGGATTGAACGCAACCTGTATTAGCTCATGCAATCACACTTTTACCTTATTGATTAGTTTTTCCCAAAGAGGGCACCTAGACTTCTCATTACTAATCCCAAACAATGTTAATCCTATCAACGGAACTGCTTGCATTTCTATGGTCAAGCTTGCGTCTCATTTTTGTATGAAGATGACGTCAATGCTGGTTCGTTGATGACTAGTAGTGTTTTGTAGAGCTCAAGTTGCTTGCTAATCTTTAGGCAACAAATGAACAAATTAATACTTATTAAATATTTTTTTCAATAAAAATGGAATTAAGGTGCTATAATTTAGTTTACATATAGAAGTTTTTATGTTCAGAAGTTTGATTGGTGAAGTGAAATCTGCTCGCAGCTTCCTCGTTATCTGTGATTTGAAGCTAGATTGATAACATTCATCAGTAAGAGTACTAGCAGTAGGCTACTAGGTTTTCTAACTTCTTTTTATTGGTTAAGATTGTCAGTTTGTCGCTTTTAAATTATTGTGGCAATAACAATTTAAAGTTCTCCCAAAAGTTTGAGTTGTACTTGTTCTTAATTTGGCAGGGAAATCTTATGATCTTGTTAGCTTTGCTGCTCAGCAACCAGATGCAACTGTTTTCCTTCCATCCGGACCAGAAGCAAAAGCTGGTATGCTGAAATACCAACTTTGCAGTTTATTTCTGCAGTATTTTACTATTTTGCATGGATGCTGTTTTTACTTGTTATCGGTCTTGTTAAATTGAGCTGTTTGTTGACATATTTGATTTTTGTGATTTTGGTCATCTATCATTTCTTCCTTTCCTGAGAGGCAGCTAATATTGTTCTTTGAGTAAAGTATATGGGCGGTCCCTAAATTTATGTCTGGGTGTCATCTAGGTCCATAAACTTCAAAAATACACTTTATAGGTCCCTAAACTTGTCATGGGTGTCACATAGGTTCAAACGGGTTCTAACCCGCTCCATGCGCTGACGTGACATTGCCACAGTGGTGCCTACGTCTCAGTGGAATCCACATGTGAAGCATATATAAAAAATAAAATTAAAAGCCATATTTTCTCCTCTTAAGGTAGACAAAAAAAGATAAAAATTCTAATGTAGAGGAGAAAATATGTTTTTTAATCTTATTTTTTTCCTATGTGAATGACACGTGGGTCCGACTAACACGTAGATGCTATCGTGGCATGCCACATCAACGCATGGAGCGGTTTGGAGCTCGTTTGGACCTATATGACACCCAAGATAAGTTCGAGGACCCGAAAATGCATTTTGAGAGTAGGGATCTAGATGGCACACCCGCACAAATTTAGGGACCGCTCATGCACTTCACTCTTGTTCTTTTAACTTACTGTATGCATAATTTTTAATCATAACAAAAAAATTCCAGTTGGGAAGATTGCACGTCGAGTTAGCTTAGTTCGTTATCCTGACCCTGAAGAACCGGAGAAGCCAGGTTTGGGGAGTCTCACTCCTAGCAGTAAGAAGTCTGCAGGTGAGTTAATTTTCTCGGGCATCATTTTGTAAGGATGCCACTCTTCTGCTGTCTATGGTAAATGTATTATATAGACTTGACAAGCATGATATGCCATTCCAGTTGGACTAGTCAATAACTTAGACATGTATAGGCCTTCTGTTTTAACTAGAAATCCAGTATCACCAGATTAAACTTTGTAAGTGCATATTGCTGTTCAATCTTTTCGCATTGACAGTAATGAGGTGATGAACATACTATTTGTCTTAAGATTTTTTGGGCATCGTTGAAAGTTGAGATTAGCCAAATTCCTGATTTATATTATGAAGACTCATGTCAGTGATGCAATGCATGCCCTTGTATTATAAGATCGAAGAACTGTTCTGAGAGAGAGATACTAAGCCCATCTCTGTAGTTTCTATTTCTTTTGATTAAGGTATGCACTTTCAATTAATAAGGTTTCCAGCCAACAGCTGAAGTGTTTTATCTTTTTCTATCATAAATAGAACACTTTGGTAAACAGTAGTTGCCGTCACTGATCTGAATTTGTCCGGTCTTCCAGGTTCTTCAAAGAAGACGAGGTCTCGGTTCTCTAGCGGGTCGAAGAACCGCAGCAGCCAAGGCTCAGCGCTATCGCTGGGCCAACAGAGTGCCGAGCCCGCGCACAAACACAATCAGAAGAGAAAGGATGAGAGCAGTTTGGGGCACTCGAATGTATCGGGCAAGTCGGCTGAAGGATCCCAGGTTCGTGGTGGCGACAGTGGCACGACCTTGGAGGTTCCTCAGACGCCAGGGGAGAAATCCAAGAAGAAGAACAAGAAGGTTAGAATCGCAGAGTAAAGCAGTATCATCGTAGCTCGGGGGGTCAGGAGAAGAGAGGTTAATTTTCCCTGAACTGTCGGCACTCCCCCGGAGCTTTGCAGGAAAGGCGTCTTGAATTTCCTGAGCATTTAGGTTGACTCAATTGCATTTCTGTGATGAGGCTCGAGGGCTGCAGCCCCATGCATGATATGCTGGAGTTATATCGTTATGGTTTATGTATCTTGAAGAAGACATGTTTGGTCGGGCCTGAAGCTTGGTCGACAGGGCTTTACAAAGCACCTTCTACTTGTTGCAAGCCATGGAATGTAACATCTTTTGCATGAATCACACAAATGAGACCTGAGCTGTTTTGCCGGTCAAGCCTTCACCTTCACTGTTCGTCGTTGCGGCGCTCGTCCATCCATCTGAGCGGCTTTGGTCTGATTTGTCTTTTGCGTCGGTTTAATTGGTTTGCTACCAATCTTGCTCTCCAAAAGGAGCTTATTATCCTATATGTATTTTTGATTTGATGCTCCTGTTTTTTCTTCTCTCTGAACTGAGCATCCGAGTCAAATATAGGCAAATTTGATGTTCTATGAATTTGGATTTGGATTTTTTTTCCACAACAACGCACATGTAAAAGAGTCCCCGGGTTCTTGATCCTGAATACCCGGGTGCCTAACCTTGGTGTGCGAGGGCTAACCTTCGCCGGCGATTCACCGCTCGCTTCTCGCGTGATTCGCCGCACATTTTCGAATTTTCGACTTCAGCTCCGTTTTTTTTTTTTTTTGGCTTGGTTGATTTCGTCTCGAGATGCTCTTGGCGTAATCGATTCAGCGGCAGTTTTCTCCCTTGGACATCTTGGGACAACTCAAAAATCTGGGGAAAATTTGTATTAACTCTTTGCTGACCTTAGAAACCAAATATTAATTTTAGTCTAATTTATCAACTCATTAGATGGACCAAACAACTCTCTAAATATTCTAAACTCAGAAATTTGACAGATTCTCTGGAGCACATTTTGACACCTTGCCAAAATTCGACCTTGGACATCTAGAATGTAAGACGGGATAATTTCGTTTTTGCCCCCACTTTGATCTCTAATATTAGTTTTGCCTATACTTTTTAGGGTTTTTGTTTTTGCCCTTACTTTTTTAAACCGAAAGAGGCGTTTACCCTTGGATTGGATGGAAGTTAGTGGGACCGGGTTTATGGTAGGAAATAATGATTTTTGGAATTAGTGATTTACCTTTTTACCCCTGTGAAAGAGTTAACCCTTCCAGGCTATCGCTCCTCTCCTCTCGCTGCATAGTTAAACCTTCCAGATTATGTTGTCATGCTTTGTGATACTTGTGAGGTACAATATGACTTCATATGATTGTGTAAAATTTTGTTGAAATTTTGTTAAAATGCTGCCGAAATTTTGTTAAAATTCCATTAAATTCAAATTTTGTCCAATTTGTAATGTCAAAATCTGTCATTTAATTTTAAACATATTCACAAAAATAAAATTCCAAAGCCATTGCATAATGGGGGGCAAAAACACAATTAATGAATAGTTACGGGAGATGGTATAAATGTTCTATTTAACACAGTTAGCTCCTCCATTCAGAACAGGGGCAAAAGTATCTTTCGGTTTAAAAAAAAAGTAGGGGCAAAAACGAAAACCCTAAAAAGTAGGGGCAAAATCAATATTAGAGATCAAAGTGGGGGTAAAAAACAAAATTGTTCCATGTAAGACCTGATCCAAACTGTAGTATAAATATTGCTTTACAACTTTGCCATTGGTCACTGACCCAAATTCTGCCTGGAAGTAATTTTAAACCGAGCCCAAAGTTGGAATTACACTTCAGTTCCAGACAGCCAAAACCCTAGATCTCCTCTCCTTCTCTCACACAAGTTGCTGCCATGTGGGCCAGGGCAGCATGGTGGGACCCTGTTGTCAGCCTCACATCGCTCTCCACACGGGCCCACGGCTCATAACTCGCGCGCCACGCGCGGGAGCACGCGTCGAGCACGGGAGAGGGCGAGCTGCTCCTCCATTCCTCCGCCGGCGACGCCATATAAGCCGACCAGCCGACCAACCTTCTCTCCCTCTTGCCCTTGTCTCGTTTCGCGGAAGAACCGAGGCATCTCGTCTCGGGTTCGCTGGGAACGGAGGTGCCATCTTCGGCGCCGGCGAGAGAAGTCCTCGACGCCATCGACGGTGAGCTTCATTTCCGTTAAATATGCGTTCTGTAACCCCCTCTCAATGCCGTCTCTAACGCCACCAAGAACGCCTCTTTTGGTGCAGCCAATCTCCGGGAACGCGACCGCGTCATTACTCGGAACGCCGCCGCGCTCTGGGCACCGTCGCATCGCTGTTGCTCGTCGCCCGGCTTCCACAGTCCACCATTGGTCAGGCCATCTCGCCAACATCTTCACCAGCACCCATTGACCAAGAACCCCGAAGGAATCGGCACGAGGTGGACCACGGTGGGAGATCCCCTTCTTCTTCCCCAACTCCGACCGCCGACGCCATTTCTCTCTTCCTCTTTCTCTGGTGAGCTTCGGCACAATATTTTTCGCCTAGAGCTGTCTTGTGTCGTCTCAAATCGATGTGTGCCTTCGCTTTGAACAGATCAAGGCCGGAGGAGCACTGCCGACGACGACCGTAGCAGCCGCGCCGTCGCCGAACCAGCACACCGTCGCCAAGACTTCGCCGAGCCGCGTTCGCTGCTTGGTGAGCTTCCTAATAGTCCCTAGGACCTCCAGCTAACACATGCACGTTTAGATCAAGCCTCAAAACCCACATGCATGTGCAAGCTGAGCTTAACCACCGCTTCTAACATCCTAACAACCGCTATAGAGCACCAAAGCTTGCAATACAGCCACCAATGGGTTCGCACGGTTGTTCTATACACTTTTCGTTTTGGGAGCTTGGGCTGAATCGTCACCGTTCGCCGCCGGTGATGCCGTGAAACTCGCGGCTGTGCTGCTGCTCTGCTCTGTCCAGAGCAAGGGCATGGCTTGTGAAATTTAAAGATTCCCAGGGATGTATTAGAAACTCAAGCAGTCACTTACAAGTGGGACCAGTACTAATATGTAAATAAACTAAAACTCAAGCGTCTTTTTGCATAAAAACCTAAAACACGTGCTAGGGGCTGCGGGATCTATTTTCCGAGAACCCAGGGGCTTTTGCGTAAAATGATAGTCACTGACTGGTGGACCCGAGAGAGAGAAATGACTCAAGAAAACAGAGAAAATGTAAAACTAGTTTATAAACAACCGAAAAATGGTAGAACTTTAAGAATTTGTCAAAACTTCATCCTAACTCTAAAATTTGCAAACTAAATTTTGTTGGAATCATATTTTCATGCTCTGCATCATAAAAATGTTCAACTTAACAGAATCATAAAGATTTATGTCTCAAAAATCCGAAATGCACTTAGGACCATAATTATCATGTAAACACTTTAAAAATTTGTAATCTTTAAATGAAAACTGCTAAAATGAAAACTCTTTCACTAAAAATCAACTTAACACAGAACACACTTAACCTAAGAAAAGGCATTCATTTTAGGTTAAGAAAAGGCATTCATTTTAGAGCATGTTGGATTTTTATGTATGTTTATAATTTTGACTTTGCATATGTGTGATTAGACGATTCACAGCCGAGTCACGAGGAGACCTACTTTGTAGCTGAGCAAGGAGAGGAAGAGCAAGGCAAGCCACCTCCCCTCTTTATCACATTGAACCTATGATTTGGAGGTTTTTGAAAAGATTGCAAAACTTGCATGTTAAGTGTACATTAACCCATTAAAATTTTGTAAAATTTGTTAGCTCAACTCCTTAACTTGCATTATCACCTAAACTACACAAAAGACCTTAACAAATATTCCAAGCCTTAGGGACAATTCATTTCGTCACATTAAGAATGATAGTCTATGAAAATGCTTAGCCATGCTTAGTGATGAGTTTACTTACCATTTGGGCTCAATTACACATATAGAATGATTTATTTTGTGATCTGGATTAAAATGATAAAATGTGATATTTGTTAAATAAAATATTGAAAAATGTGGATTTTAGGTTTGAGCCTCATATGGTACACATATGGTGTTTAGTTGTTTGCTGATAGGGGGAGAGTGTGCCCAGACCGACCTAAGGACTTCACTCAACGTCAATTCATTTCGTATACATCGTTAATTTATAGCTTTCACTCCCAAACTCATGAGTGGCCTAGTTTATCCCCAAACATCCACAACCTACAGGAACGCAAGGTAATCGACTATATATTTTTGGAGGAAATGAAGGCCATTGGCTCCTAAGACGAACCAACAACAAGGAATGGTCGAGGTTGATTATACTGGACCATGCTTCATGATCCTTTCACCATCTCCACCACCAAACGAAGCCCCATCAGCTTCTCCAGCGATCCAAGTGCCCAATGTGCTAACAAGAAGAGCAATTGCTACCACCGCCTCACACGCACCAATAAATAGTGGAGCGAGGCGATGCTACGAGGGCGGCTGCGGATCTCAAGCGAAGGAGGAGGAGGCTACTTCCACGTAGCGGTGGTGTGAGTCGTAACCCTAAAACCCCTGACTCGCGAGGTAGAAGAGGAGTGCACCGCCTCGCCGCGCAGGTCTCGCGCCTCTGATATTTTTCATTTTATTCCTTTTTCTTTTGGGTTGCCTATGTTGCTTCATGGGCCGCAGCTTCTAGTGAGGCTGTACGGAGCCTCAAGTGACAAGTCTCATAAGACAAAAACACTGGTCTCACTATTTGTTCAGCTTACAATCTGGCAAAATCAGCAACCTTCTTTGCTGCCAGAGTGCTAGTGGGAGAGGCCCTCCTCGGAGAATGGATGAGAGTAGGAAGACGTGGAAAGCCCAATGGAAAATCAATGCCCCTGGGAAGATGAAGATTAATCTATGGAGGGACATGCACGACTGCCTGCAGACAGGTTTTCAACTCCACAAGCAATAGATTCTGGCAACAGATAGATGTATCTTCTGCAACAGAGGCAGCCTGATCGAACAGCTGTAGCAGATATATGTGTCTCTTGTTGTGCCCATTCACAGCTGCTGTGTGGGACGAAGTGAGATCGACTTTCCTGATTAGTTTATGAAGGGGTGAATTAACAAGTCTAAAACAATGGATTTCAGATTTCATGAAGGGGAGTTCGTGCCTCCAAAATGCAGTATTAGCAGTCACCTTTTGGCACATTTGGGAGGCGAGGAACGATTCAAAGAACGACAAGTCCTCCTTCTATCTGTGTCTAGTGGGATAGAAGATAGTGGCATATGTCAACATGATTGTGCAGCATGCTACAAGGTGACGACTACCCAGGCAATTTTCCTCATAAATGTCTTTTGAGATGTAATTTTCGGAGTGTATCCGGGATGTCCTCTGTAGTCTGTACAGATGCTGAGATGCTACTTACTTGATCAATGAAGTGCCATGATTATATTATCTTAAAATAATCACGGTACTGCTACACGCGTCAGAAAATGTGAAAAAAAAACGAACAGACTTCCTCATCCAGGTCGGCGAGGCGACATTTTTTCGAGAAGAGGTGTCGCCGGAGAGACGGAGAAGGAGCAGAGGTGGAGAGGCGAGGCGACTCGAAGCTGAGTCGCCCGACGGCCACGCCGTGCCGCGCCGCTGAGCCGAGAGCAGCAGCGAGCCCGCGACAACGACCTGGCGAAGGTGAGTAGCGGCAGAACTCCGGAATCCGGGTCAGGGAGGCGTGAGGCGAAGGTCGCGAGGTGGCGTGGCGCCGGCATGCAGCGGCGACGGCGACGGCCAACGGCGCGGCTTGTGTGTGGTGGCCGCTGGGGGTTGGGAGACAGGGAGTGGGGAAGGTAGCAGGGGGGCCTTAGGTTTTCTTAAGTGGGTCAAGCCCATCGCAACTTGCAAATGGGCTAGGCAGCTTACGTAGGGGTGGTAATGGGTTATGGCCCATAGAACCTTTTTCACGAGGAACAAGTTCACAAGAGGTCCCTCAACTTAACAGCGAGATTTTTTGAGGTCCCTTCACCACAAAACCAGAAATGTGTACCCCTAAACTCACATGAACCGTGCACTCAAGGTCCTAGGGCAGTATATATGAGTGGTTTCGCTGACGTGGCTGTTTACACCCAAATTTGGCACCTAGAGATAAAATAGGAAAGATTGCCAAAGTTTGGAAGTCTGCCGGTTTCCTCCAAGTAGGGCCGGTCTGACCGCCGTGTGTTGGGCGGTCTGACCGTTCAGACCGGCGGCAATGGGCCGGTCTGACCGGCAGGTCGGAGTCCGACTGTGTTTTGTCGGGTCTCGAGGTTTTCTTGCTCGGGAAGGCATGTTTCGGGTTTCCTTTGGTTTCTACCCTGGGTTGGACGTGGAAGAGGGCCTGTAGAGGGCAAGACCAACCCCTATATAAGGGATATGGCCGGTTCAATTGTAACTAACCAATCTACAACCAATCAATCGAATCGTTTTTCGTTTTTCATATTGCTTCTAGTTTTCTCTTAGTTTGTCCATCTTTGTCGATTTGCGCCGTAAATCGTCCGTCGCCGCTGCGAGAGTGCGACACCTCTTTGTAGGTTTGTCCTGAAAACCTTCCGTTTTGCCCACGAGACGGGTAGTTATCTAGAAATCGGCTTTGCTAGCAGGTTTAGTTATCAAAACCCATCTTGGTCTAGTTTTTGCTAGATTGAGGTGGTTGGCGACTCTAGGATCACCGCAAGGCGTAAGGTGCTGCGATCGTTGTTGTCAACTTGTCACAAAAAGTTGCCAACAGTGGCATCCTAGTCAGCAAAAAAATTAAAAAAATACATGAGACCCACATGTTAGATGCACATTTTTTTCTTTCTCTTTCTCCTTCTCTTCTCTCTTCTCTTCTTCAGTGAGGGAGGCCGACGGTGGGCGGAGCGGTGATGGCGGTGTTGTTCCGCTACGCGTCGTCCGCGGCTGCAGCGTCCGGCCCCGCGGGACCCAGCTTGGCGACCTCCATCTACGAGACCCACCTCGGCCTTGCCGCATTGTCCTGGACGCGCACCTCCCTCGGCCTCTCGCTCTGCGCTGTACATGCTCCGCCTCTCGTCCTCGACCACCCTGGCGTCCCCCTCAGTGATGGGGTGGGGATATACTTCAACAAGGAGACACTGGCCTTCCGCATCCATCTCCGGCTCCTCTAGCGACCGCCGCATCGACCTGGCGTGGGACCTCACCCGCACGCGCTTCTCGGGCTCGGGTTCGCCCGAGCCTTTCTTTGGGTTCTTCATCGCCGTCGTCGTCGACGGCGAGATGGTCCTCGCCGTAGAGGGATTTGTCAAGACGCTGCCTACCGCAAGATACGGGCGAGGCGCGTGGTGCCGCCGATGAGCCTCAGGCTTGGGCTCAGCCTCGGTGTCGCCGGTGGTGCAGCCGACGAGCCGCCGCCGCGCCGTGGTGCCGCCCCGCCGCTGCAGCAGCTGTGCGGCTGGAATAGCGGCGTCGGCCTCTTCTCCTCCTCTTCCTCCTCCGATGAGTATGGATGGACGGACTATGTCGACGTCGTGCGTGCATGCATGCTGCAATCTTAGCGTCTCAGTTTCGTGCATGGATCTTACAAAGGTCGGGGGAGGACAGCGATGATGGCGTGCCACGACATCGAGATGCCGTTCCTGCCGCGGATCGACGTGAACCGGCCGGCGCCGGTGAGGGGGGCCAGCTGCAGCAAGGAGGACGAGGAGCCCGGCGCGACCTCCCCCAACAGCAAGCTCTCCAGCCGCAGCGACGACGAGGACTTCGGCGGCAGCGGTGGATCTCGTGTCCCGCGGCTGGGGCAGGGACAGGAGTAGCAGCAGCAGCAGCATGGAAAAGAGAAGAGAGAAGATAGAAGAGGAGAAAAAAAGAGAAGAAAATAAGATATGCAGCTGACATGTGGGCCCCACGTTCTTTTTTTAATTTTTTTGCTGACTAGGATGCCACGTCAGCGAAACCAACCATATATACTGCTATAGGACGTTGAGTGCACGGTTTGTGCGAGTTTAGGGATACATATTTCTGGTTTTGTGGTTAAGGGACCTCAAAAAATCTCGCTGTTAAGTTGAGGGACCTCTGGTGAACTTGTTCCTCGTGAAAAAGGTTCTATGGGCCCTGACCCATTACCACCCCTACGTACGTTGTCTAGCCCATTTGCAAGTTGCGATGGGCTTGGCCCAGTTAAGAAAACCTAAGGCCTTGCCTGCTACCTTCCCTACTCCCTGTCTCCCAACCCCCAGCCGCCACCACACACAAGCCGCGCCGTTGGCTATCACCGTCGCCACTGCACGCCGGCGCCACGCCACCTCGCGTCCCTGGCCGCACGCCTCCCTGACCCGGATTCTGGAGTCCCGCCGCTACTCGCCTTCGCCAGCTCGTCTTCGTGGGCTAGCTGCTGCTATCGGCTCAGCGGTGCGGCGCGGCGTGGGCGCCGGGTGACTCAGCTTCGAGTCGCCTCGCCTCTTCACCTCTGCTCCTTCTCCGTCTCTCCGGTGACATCGCTCCTCAAAAAAACGCCGCCTCGCCGACCTGGATGAGGTCTGTTCGTTTTTTTCTCATTTTCTGACGCGTGTAGCAGTATCGTGATTATTTTGAGATAATATAATCATGGCACTTCATTGATCAAGTAAGTAGCATCTGTACACACTACAGAGGACATCTCGGATACACTCCGAAAATTACATCTCGAAAGACATTTATGAGGAAAATTGCCTAGGCAGTCATCATCTTGTAGCAGTGCTGCACAATCATGTTGACATATGCCACTATCTTCTATCCCACTAGATGCAGATAGAAAGAGGACTTGTCGTTCTTTGAATCGTTCCTCGCCTCCCAAATGTGTCAAAGGGTGGCTGCTAACACTGTATTTTGGAGGCACGAACTTCCCTTCATGAAATCTGAAATCCAATGTCTTAGACTTGTTAATTCACCCCTTCATAAACTAATCGGGAAAGTCGATCTCACTTCGTCCCACACAGCAGCTGTGAAGGGGCACAACAGGAGACATATATCTGCTACCGCTGTTCGATCAGGCTGCCTCTGTTGTAGAAGACACATCTATCTGTTGCCAGAATCTGTCGCTTGTGGAGTTGAAAACCTGTCTGCAGGCAGTCGTGCAAGTCCCTCCATAGATTGATCTTCATTTTCCCAGGGGCATTGATTTTCCATTGGACTTTCCACGTCTTCCTACTCTCATCCATTCCCCGAGGGGGTCTCTCCCACTAGCACTCTGGCAGCAAAGAAGGCTGCTGATTTTGCCAGATTGTGAGCTGAACAAACAGTGAAGACACCCAGTTTCTCATGAGACCAGTGTTTTGGTCTTATGAGACTTGTTACTTGTGGCTCCGTACAGCCTCACTAGAAGCTGCGGCCCATGAAGCAATAGAGGCAGCCCAAAAGAAAAAGGAATAAAATGAAAAAAAATCAGAGGCGCGAGGCCTGTGCGGCGAGGCGGTGCACTCCTCTTCTGCCTTGCGAGCCAGGGGTTTTAGGGTTACAACTCACACCACCGCTGCGTCGAAGTAGCCTCCTCCTTCGCCTGAGATCCGCAGCCACCCTCGTAGCATCGCCTCGCTCCACTATTTATTGGTGTGTGTGAGGCAGTGGTAACAATTGCTCTTCTTATTAGCACATTGGGCACTTGGATCGCTAGAGAAGCAGATGGGGCTTCGTTTGGTGGTGGAGATGGTGAAGGGATTATAAAGCATGGTCCAGTATAATCAACCTCTACCATTCCTTGTTGGTTCGTCTTAGGAGCCAAAGGCCTTCATTTCCTCCCAAAATAGATAGTCGATTACCTTGCGTTCTAGGTTGTGGATGTTTGGGGATAAACTAGACCATTCATGAGTTTAGGAGTGAAAGCTATAAAAATTGTTCATTTAGAGGAATCAAAATAGTTGCCTTAGGACTAAATGACTGCCAGAGTGATAGTCAAAGCCACATCTGAATAACAATTTTAAAAGCAGGAATGCTTTTGTTTGAGCATTGCATTTATCTACAGTTAAGCTATACAATGTTTTTTCAGAACGAAACTTATTTGGTGGATTTGCAACTTTATTGATATACTCCGTCCTAAAATATAAGCATTTTTAGGACTCTGACATGGTCTCCGAGATGCTACTTTGATCAACAATATCCATATAAAAGTAAAATATTTTAAATAAAAAAAGTTACATATTTTGATAGTTTGTTTAATGATAATTCTAGTAACATCAATTTTACATGATTAATTTTTTGTTATTTTGTTATTAATAGTCAAAGTTAAAAATTTTTGATTTATCACTATGCTAAAAATGCTTATATTCTGGGACGGAGGGAGTATCAAATTTGTGGATTTGGTAGCTCTAATTCCTCTCTAAATAACAGATTAACAACAGATTAACAGTTATGCCTCAAATATGAGATAAGGGAGGTTGGAAAATTATAGTTGTGGATTTTTGGATTGAATTCAGTAGCTTCTTTTGTTTCACTTATACACTTATTGGTAAGTTTTTGTATTGTGTGTAATTTATTTTAACTTTGCTGCAACCAACCATTGTAGCTATGAGCCTGGATCAGTTATTTTACTCAGCCCGCATCCACCCCAAACCAAACCACATTTTTTGTAAGCCCAGTCCAGTCCGATCCAAAATGGAATCCTAGGCCAATTCAATCCAACAAAAAAGGATCCAAATGAGGATCCAGCCCACTTAATCCAAACAAAGTCCACTGGCAGGCCTAAGCATCAGGCGGTGCGGGCGAGCTTGCCGGCCTCCCCGTGCCCCTCGTTGGCCCTGCCTGCTTCCTCTCCGTGCTATAGATGGCAACGGTGAATTCACCGTCGGGGGTCACCTCCGCGTCCCCGTCACCGCGGTGATAAAATTTCACCATTCCCATCGCCGTCAACCACGACGGGGCTACATTTTCACCAGCCCCGATCACCACGCGGTGAATTTTTTTCCGTGGTGAACCCGTCTCTGGTTAAACAACATATCCATCTCTAAAGTCCAAACTCCAAACCATATAATGCAAAGAAACACAAATCAACACTTGAGCAGCACTTGATGATGAAGATGAGGCTGAGGAGGAGGATGAGGCTGAAGATGAGGCTGAGGAGGATGATGATGTGATGTACTGCTGAAGTGCTGATTTGTGTTTCTTTGCATTACATAGTTTGGAGTTTGGACTTTAGAGATGAATATGTTGTTTAACCGGGGACGGGTTCACCACAGGGAAAAATTCACCGCGTGGTGATCGGGGCTGATGAAAATGTAGCCCCGTCGTGGTTGACAGGGGCGGGGACAGTGAAGTTTTATCACCGCGGTGACGGGGATGTGGAGGTAACCCCCCCCCCCCCCCCCCGATGGTGAATTCACCGTTGCTATCTCTATACATGCTACAGCTAAACTGCGAAGTCACGTCACGATGTCTTGCTGTATTATTTGCCTTCGAGTATTTATCTTAATTTGGATGGAGACAAAATATTATAATTTTTATATTTACCAAGTTTTTCGTAAAGTTGTTTAGATGCCTCATTATTGTCACTAGTTTCAGACAAAAAGGAACGCGGAAGGAAAATAAATTCTTTCATGCTAACATTGCTCTATACATAAGAATATAAGATAGCAAGATGGCGTGTGAAGATGGAGTTTCAGGTTTGAGTCTCATATACTAGATATCTTAAAGGTGCTAGAGTCGCCGCAAGCCCAGCCGATCCACGTCATCAAATTTTGCACAAAACCCCTCGTTATTTTCGTATTTCTAATTGAGTCCACGTGATCAGAGCCGTTCTTTCCCACGCATGGACAAAATCTGGCCATCCATTTCCTATCTAGATGGTTCCGCCCTTACTAGGTCGTGGAATCGACGAGCGCTCCTCTCCCCACGTCGCCTCCCTGTCCCCGATCCCCTTTCTCTCCCTTCTCCGATTGGCGATTCGGTGGCCGGGAGTCGGCCGTCGCTCCAATCGGGCTGCGGCGCGCCGATGCTCCTCCAAGACCTTCCGTCGCCGTCGTTTTGGTCCCTCCTAATGTCGCATCCCGCTCGCCGTCCCCAATCCCCTTCCTCTCTCCCTTATCCGACCAGCGGCGACGCCCATGTCCGCTTCGACTGGAGCGGCGGCGCCGATGCTCCCCTCCGCAAGAGCTACTATGGTCTTGTGCTCGTGGCCCGCAATGGTCCCCGTATCATTATCTTACGGTCGGATGGCTTATGGACAATCTCCTTCCCTATCAACCCTAGCTATCGCCGCCCATCTCACTGTACAGCGATGACCAGCTCCCCGCGTGCCTCGTCGGCTGCTCCGCTCATCTTCGCTGGATGTGGGAGCTTGATCTAGGAAGCATCGTGTGTGGTGTTGGTGCCGGGTGTTGGGAGGTGCTCCACACCTGTGGTCATGCTAGCAGCAGCAGTATTAGCTCCTATTCGGCTAAATTGTTGTTCTTGATTTGTTGGCGAAAGCCCATGGCTGGTTCTTGGAATCGTTGAGCTGAGCTGGAGTTTTTATTCGATGGAGTGGAGTTTGCCTTTGCTGCTCTTCGACTCTTATATAGAGAAGACCAGTTTACTTGATGGTAAGTTTTTTTTTTGTTTGGAGTTCTCATCCATGGTAGAAAGATTGGATTTCTTTTCTGATTCAAATCTTTGTTGGAAAAAAGGGTGCAAGCAAGCTGGTGCTCACGTTGCTTAAATCTAATCCAACCAATTTCTCTCCCAGCAGGAAACAAAGGCCAGGAATGATCAAGGGCCTGTTGCTGATCACGTTGCGCATCGTACCACATGGAGAACCATCCGAAAAACCTCAGAACACAAAGCATCTATGATTTTCTCCATCGAGTTTGCTGCCCCAATCACATTTTGGCCCTTTAGTTCAAAGTTGTTCATTTGCTCGTGAGTATGCTTGAGAATCCCGTCTTTTTTTTGTTTGATGTGTTTGCTAGAATCTGAGCTGTGTGGCTGCCCTCTCATATCAACCCATAGAAGCGATTCTGATTTATTGGCCTGATCGGTTTGGGGATGATATGCATAGCATCATTCACCCCTGCATAACATAAGCTCCGTTAATATTTTACTATCCTCTATTATGTTCAAGATGGTTCTCTTCAATACCACATCTGCATCCGTAGCATTTCCATCCTATTGCTTCACTTCTCCATGCAGGGAAAGGAGACCACATATCCATTCAGTATGAGATACCAAGGAAGCCCACTAAGATGATAGTTGGCAACAACCTAGCCAAAAGAACCTAAGGTGGCTTTTAAATTTTGCCAACATATTGTGTCTGCTTTTGATTTGGGCGTAGTAGTTTTAGTTGGTGACCGTAGTGTCGTGTTTTCTTAGAATAAGCTCTCACATTAGTTGGTGGCTTGGTGCTATCATGAGAATGGTCAATGTTCCTCACTCCTGATTAGATTTAGGTGTTGTTTCTGTTGGTGATGACAAGTGCAACAATTACTCAAGGCCTGTCATTCTCTCCTGCAGGTGATATGTTATTCAGATTTTTATTTCCTGTGATTTTACGATGCCACTACCTCAATTCTGTTTTCAGAAGCAATATGTTTGATTGCCTATAATTGATTGTATAATAAATGGTTTAGTGCATCTCCCAGGTAGCATTTTCTTATAATATTAAATACTTAGATACTATTCACCTATACCAGATCCTTTTTCTTGTGTTATGACCTTTTACTAGCTAGCAGCACTTATTTTTTGGCATTCATATGGATCTTTTCTATTGGTTGTCTCTTTTGAAATTATGCATCATTCACACATTAAGATTAAGTGAAAAAGAAGACACACCCATCTTACCTTTATTTGATGGATATGCTACATTAAAAGCCAAGTGTATGTTCTTAGCCTCCTAGGTGTATAGCACCACACCATTTAGGCCCCGTTTAGTTCCCCAAAAGTTTTTCCCAAAAACATCACATCGAATCTTTGGACACATGCATGGAGTATTAAATATAGATTAAAAGAAAAACTACTTGCACAGTTAGGTGGGAAATCGCGAGACGAATCTTTTGAGGCTAATTAGTCCATGATTAACCATAAGTGCTACAGTAACCCACATGTGCTAATGACGGATCAATTAGGCTCAAAGGATTCGTCTCGCGGTTTCTAGGCGAGTTATGAAATTAGCTTTTTCATTCGTGTCCAAAACCCCCTTCCAACATCCGGTCAAACATTCGATGTGACACCCAAAAATTTTTATTTCGCGAACTAAACAGGCCCTTATATATGAGCTCATTATATATATTTTTATGCCATTGTGTTGCACAATACGGTTTTGGTACTAATGTGAGGTTACTAGGCTCACGATGGTTAGATATAGATTTGGTTTGTAGTTTGGGTTTGACTCTTATTTTGTTTTTCCACAAGCCCAAAAAATATGATATAAGATAGTATTGTTCAATGTGTGAAGAATAGTGGCCACAAAGAAACGCATGCAAATCGACATGCTTTTCAAAACTGAATTTTACTCCTAGGAGTTACATTCAACTTCTCATCCGTACCCTGCTCCAGGGTTTGATGTGTGCTCAATGACTACCACATAGTATACTCGGTGATTCATGTGTATCATTGCTAAACAGTACCAGTATGGTGGTGTAATTTCAATGGTTTGATGTAAATCTTGGTTGCCCGCTAAATAGCTAACATGATTTCTTTATAAAACATTGACAAATCACAAGGGCCTTATTCTTATGTTATTCTAGAGCACTAGCTCCCTTTCTTTTCTAGGGTTTAGTATGTCACAGGTGCTTTGCAAGACGATGGTGATGCATACGAATAATCAGTTTCCTGTTGTTCTTACAAATTTCCATATATTTTTTGTTTTATATTCACTCTGGGCCAGTTTGGTTTGAGGCCTAAATTAGGCTTGCCAATTTTTTGGCAACCTCAACAATAATTATGTATGTTTGGATTGAAGCCAAATTTTGACATGCCTATGTAACATAGGCCATTTCGCTAGCCAAATTAGTTTAATTTAGCTTCAATCCAAACACTTGTTGGCCTTACCAAAAATTGGCATGCCAAAACTTACCAAAATTTGGCATTTTGGTAAGACCAACATTGGTCACAAACCAAACTGGCCCTCTATTTAGTTTTATGCTCTCACTCTTTGATCAATGCTGCTTTGTATTGAAATTATTATCTGAGTTATATTTTCCAACGTAGGTACAAAGCTTTCATGTTTGCAGGACCAAAGCAACCATTTATGCTGTTGTGCTTCTGTTGTCGATTGAACTAGGATGAGAAGCTTGCACATGGACTTATAAAAGATGAAGTCCTGTATGAACGGGCTCTTACTACAAAGAGGCAGACATGTTCTCTTTTCTTTTTCTTTGTTCTGCATATTAGTACTCTGAAATAATGTACCGTGTATACATTGTTTCCTTAATCTTTCCTGTAATATTTATTGTTCTCTCTATTTCCTTTTTGTTGCCGCGCAGCGTAGCGCGTGAACCCTTTCTAGTATACGTAACATATCCTGTACACACGAGCTTTCCGTACACACCTCATACACACCAACTAGCAAATGTTATGAAAAATTCTACGAAAACTTGGACATTTAATCCTATTAGTATTACACATATCTACAAAGTCTCGTATTCAAAAATTCATTAAGTTTTAGCCATAACTAAAAGGTGAAAATTTTGACAGTTTTAAGAGTAAAAATCTATCAGAATTTTATCTTTTTTTAGCTAAAATATAATAAATTTGAAGATAAGATTTCACATGTATGTGTAATACTATTGGAAGTATGTGTTTAATTTTTTCTAGAATTTTCTACGACATTTGCTTGTTGGTGTGCACGGGAAATTTACGTGCATAGGATATGTTCCCCATATATACAGTATATGCACATGTATTTTGCTAATAAAAAAACACTTTACTTGTGTCTAGCTTTGTGAGGTGCGACCGTGTATATATATATATTTGGTTCGACCACCTAATTAAATTGCAAATATCTTTTAAGATTTATCTTTTATTGTTTCAAAATTGAAATGCGCAACACTATCTTGGATAAGATAAGATCAGATCGAGATAGTATGTCCTGTATGACCATCACATAAGACGGCACCATTGCCGGAACTCATAGTACTATTTAGGACAAAATCTATTTATTTAAGATAGTGGGTTACATACGTATTTACGATTTGTCGACAATGTACCTAGCTAGTTTTGTTTTTCTTTAAAATAAATAAAAGACAATGTACCTCACGCCACCACTTTAGGTACCAAAGAAATTATTGGCCTTCCTATATAGAGCAGCTTAGAGTAAGCCTGTACAAGACATATTAACTTTTGTTGACCACTGTATATGGCCATTAATGAATTGTTGCATGAAAGTGAGCTAGCTCTTCCACGAGAGTACTTCAGCAAAATGTATGTACCTTACGTACGTAGTACTCGATCGATAAGAATCTTGTTGATATAAAGAAAAATGGTCTGCGGATTTCATGCATTTGCACACAGGAAGATATATACTCCCTACATCCCAATATAGGTTGCACCCCCGTTCCAATATAGTCAGAGAATATGTTTCATCCGTATTAGGTTGCATTTATACTGGGATGGAAGAAGTATCAGAAACTGATTCCATGCATACGCTATTTGCTGGGTTGGCCAAAAACCACATTAGCCTAGCCCGGTTTTAATATAATCTTTAGTCTCGGTTGGTGTTACCAACTGGGATGTTATTTTAACCGGGACTAAAGTTGTCTATCTTTAATCCCAGATTTGGGGTCCCAGTTTATATCCCAGGACTAAAGGGGTTGCAAACCGGGACTATTGTGGGTTTCTCCACCAGTGATTCATGCTGAACTGTGGCACGTTTGAATGCCCATCCTTGAGGGGATATAATTTTAGCTAGAATGCCAAATACGTCTAGTAGTTAAAAAAATTTTGATTTATCATGTGAAATGCTTTTAAATAAAAGAAGGTTACTGCATGTTTTCTTAGTTTTCATAAAAATACAAGTAGAAATCTAATGGCCAAATTATATAATGTAGGGGACTGCTTGTGTTAACAACAACAAATAAAAAAAAAGGTTACGCTACTGGAGAAACCATCTTTCGTGGGTTAACTAAAATCCACAATAGTCCCGGTTCAACTAAAAACCAGGACTAAAAACCATTTTAATTTTAGTCTCGGTTTAAAAGTGCTCAGGGACTATATGATCTTTTCTCCTGGTTCTATTTGTGTCAGACGATGTCAGGGCACTGAGGATCTTTAGTCCCGGTTGGTGTTATCAACCGGGACTAAAAATAGATCTTTAGTCCCGGTTAATATCTCCAACCGGGACTAGATATCTCTTAACGCATATATAATCCTTATCCCTTATCTCCTCGTCGAAAACAATCGAGCTAGTGCTTCTCCTCGCGTCTCTTCTCTCGCTATCTCTCTCTGTCCTCTTTCTCTTGATCTCTCGCAGCGGGGTCGGCGGCGACCGGGCCAGGAAGGCGGCGGGAGAAGCGGCGGCCGGGCGATGGAGGCGGTGGCCGGGCTGGGGAGGCGGCAGGAGAAGCGGCGGCGACCGCCGGGCTGGGGAGGCGGCGGGAGAAGCGGCAGTGGCCGCTGGGCTAGGGAGGCGGCGGGAGAAGCGGCCGCGGCCGGGCCAGGAAGGCGGCAGGAGAAGCGCGGCGGCGGACCGGGGAGGTAGCGGGAGAAGCGGCGTCGGCGGCCAGGCTGGAGAGGCGGCGGGTGAAGCAGCGGCAGCTGCCGAAGGAAGATTTGTTTTTTTGGATTTGAGATGAATTTGTGATGTATTTGATTTATGTGTGATGTGAATATGTGATGTATTTGTGATGTACTTTTAGAATTTGTGATGTAATTTTTTTGAGAATTTGTAATGTATTAGGAGATGATCGATTTGGGGATTTGGAAATGATCGATTTGGGAATCTTTTGTTCTGTGATGATCGATTTAGGGATGATTTTGATCGATTTGGGGATGTAGTGAAATCAATATTCAAAGTTAAAAACAATGAAATAAAACCAAAAAAGAAACTGGTCTGGCCTGGCTACAGGACTTAAAAATGGATTTTTAATCCCAGTTATTTTATCTTTAGTCCCAGATTCGTGGTCCCGGTTGGATAACAGAGACTATAGGGGGTTACCAACCGTGGGTAAAGCCCCTTTCTCCAGCCGTGTTAATTAAGGCCAGTTGAGCTGACCTATCTATATGTGGTAACATGCATATGGATAATAAATTAATAATCAACTTGGATTGCGAAAGGGTCTGTAGCCTGGTGGTTACAAGAGCCTCAGTAGCACCTGAGATCCTTGGTTCGACTCCCTATGGGAGCGAATTTTCCAGGATTTAACGGCGTTGTGCTTTCAGTGGTAGGCGACGTACCCGTCGACAGCGAGGCACCTGTGGTGACTTCGTCAGACGTACCCGTCGATAGCGAGGCACCTGTGGTGACTTCGTCAATCTCTCCATCTCTCCAGGATTTGCCGGCCCAGTCTTCGAAGATGCTCATAGGGGTAGGGTTTGCGTGCGTGTGTTCATAGGGATGAGTGCGCGTGCGTTGTGAGTGTCATCTCTCCAGGATTTGCCGGTCCAGTCTTCGAAGATGCTCATAAGGGTGAGTGCGCGTGCGTTGTGAGTGTCTGCGTTATACTGCGTAATTCTAAAAAAAATAATCAACTTGGATTCTTCGCTAGGTAGCTCTGGCGAGACCAGACAACCAAACATATATCAAATCATGTACTTTAAGCTCTCATTATTATTTTCTATTTCTTAGGGGGTTAATTATTTTGTATTTAAATATACTGGATGTACATATATAGATTATAGGTCAAGATTATATGACAAAAGGAAAAGGTTACGGTAAGGGCGAGCACAAAAATATACGAGCCATAGGATTGAACAGGTGATGATGAACATTAACTTCGGGTATATAAAACGAGAAAACTATTATCACATGGTTAATTAAGTTTTAATTATTTAACTTGAAAAAAATCCGTCTGATATTTTAAAGCGTTTCTATATAGAAAGTTTTAACATGAAATACATCATTTATCAATTTAAAAAATCATTCTAACAGATACTGGGGTAAAATCCATATCTTAGTCATAAACGAACAGTGTCTAGAGTAGTTGCAACTAATCATTACTCGCTCCATATGTGTATTAGGCAATTTGATCACAGTACCATATCCCAAATCTCCATTAATTGGTACATATTAAGCTATTTGATCACGGTACCATATACAAAATCTTAGGATATTTTTGACTTTTCATGGGTGTGACTTTAACTATTATTTTTCATAATAATAATTAAGCTTGTAACATTATGAAACCACTTGTTCAGTGACAAACCTAATTATGTGTTTTTCATAAAATAAATCTAGTTGATTCTAAGTATATTAAAGCATGAACTTTAGATTTTTTTTTTTTTTGGAAAATTGCAAGGCCTTGCCTAACAGTGTGATTTTTATAACTAAAGTAACCAAACAGTTTGACAGAGATACGTACATAAAAGGCAAAAATAAAGATCAAAGAACTATAAAAGTTGTAACCAATCAACAACAATTTGTCGTAGGGGGGTTATTCATCCTACAGATATGTAGGAGAATCTTATGTCTGAAGGAAGGCATCAAAGATCAAAATTCTGAAAATTCTTTCCAATACACTGTTTCCAAATGTGCCATCAAGCCATGAAGAAAATCTCCAAGAAACCCTTCCACCTAAAATGAAGTTGAGCCAATACATGAACTTTAGAAGATTGGCAACAAAAATTTTGGAAAGATTGGCAACACGGGCAAGAGTGGTCAGAAGTGGGAAAGATCGGACGATTGCACCAGATAAGCATGTGGGTAACCACACAAACACGGTGACCAGCATATAAGCCTATCTATTATGAAGGTGTGGATAGGATGGCTAAGCAGCAAGACCAATTAGGATAGCCTGCACGGGACGAACAGATTGAGGGGTGGGGAGGGATAGACTCATCAAATAGCGAAAAGAAAGCCAATTGTTCAAGTGGGTAACCGCTTTTCATATGTACTATAACCCGTGCAAATCATAATTTTGCAACATGGCACCATGAAAGAACAATAACCAAACCAAAACTCCTCAAAATGATGTCAAATCATTCTCATATACACTAAAAGTGATATTAGAAGGGTTTCATATGTTCTCTTACGTACATATTTAATAGAGTAAATCTGTAAAATTGATAAAAGGCATCATATTGCACAAGTATATATTTAGCATAAAATTTATGATGAAACTATATTTTTTAAGGTGAAGTATTACACAAATACAGATTTACTGACAAAGTTACCATAAATCTATAGAGTTTAGACCTCTAGTGTTCAGCTCGAGTTATAATTAATTGTTGTAGTTTTGTAATAAAACTTACACTAAATGTGTGCTCTTGTTATGCTATATCTTAAATTTATAGTTTCAAAGTAAGCTCAATGTTAAATTAGTTTTGTGATATACCACAGCAAATCTATAAAATAGTTTTATGATAGCTCAATCAAATTATATGTAGTTTTCGGAATTTACTATTGTTAATTTTAGAAATGATGTCTCGTGTGAGTGGTAGAATTTAATTAACAAAGGCATTTGACAAAAAAAAAAGATAAGCGACAAGTGACTAAGTGCTATAACGGCTTACATTTACAACAAAGAAGATAAGAAAAGAAGATTGTACAAAGGTGAGCTGGAAAAACTATATACTTCAAGGACATGTCCTGAGATTTTGGTAGCCCATGACAAAACTAACAATATGGGCCCTTAATTTTATATCTAATAATAATCAATATATACGTATATTTCTAAATGTTGATAAACATTTAATGTGCATCGAAAAGCAATACTTATATGAACAACTTCACAAACATTACCATAAAATAATTTCTTGGACATTTCTAGATGCGATGATGATAGCATCAATATCAATCTCATATAGCAATTTATTTTCAAAAAACATCTAATATTTTTTCTCAATGCATAAAGTTGCCAAACCGTTCAACAATTTAATTTATCGACACATAACATCAAGAATGGGCTAAAAATTGGAAAACAAAGTACTCTACATTTCAGAATATAAGATGTAACTATTTTTTATCAATATTTCATAATACAAAGCGTGCATGCATGTAATTAACTATTACCTCTCCTCCCTTAAATTTGTCTTTTTAATCCTCCACTCTCAAGATTTATAATCTTTCCACTCTCAAGATTTATAATCTTATTGGAGTGATCCAAACAAGGAGGCGGTAATAATTTTAGTTGTCTTATATTTTAGGATTGAGGGAGTAATGTATTTGTGGTCAAACTCATAGACTACAAAACTTAGAAAAAACTGTATATATGATGATTATATTGCAAGCATATGATGATTAGTTGGAAGCCATGCAGAGAAGAGACAAGAAACGGGAATAGCAGCAAACTCTTATTGATTTTTTTTTTGAAGGAAAGACTCCTATTGATTTTGGGATAGTAACAAGGTAAGCATTTATAGGTTGTTAAGGTTGAGGAGAAAATACTTCAATACCCCTCCCTAAATAAGGATGAATTGGGATGAGAGAGTCATTAGGGATAAGATGGAAAAAATTGATTAAGAGGTGATCGATGAAACAAGTAGTATTGTAGAAATATTTATATTCTTGGATAAAATTCAAATGCTTATATTGTTGAAAGGAGAGCTTGTTGGATGGAGAGCGGCAGTTATTTTGTTGCGAGTGGATGATAGATTATATGATTCTATGATAATATTCAAGAGTACAAATAATAATATTCAAGAGTACAAATGAGATATATAATTCTATGATTATATTCAAGACTTCAAATGAATAAATTAACTATTACAAAGTTAAAAGGTTGTTTAAAAATGTATTCTAAGAAACTTATGTATAAAAAAAACTTTTGTAAAAATCACAAGCTTGAAACATACCCTTAACTAGGGCGATCAAAAAAGCTCGAGGCTCGCGAGCAGCTCAAGCTTGGCTCGTTCTAGGCTCGATTCGAGCTCGGCTCGAGCTCCAAACGAGCCGAACCCATGCCTGAGTAAAAGCTCGCGAGCTTTACCGAGCCGAGCTCGAGCTTTACCGAGCTTGACTGTGTATTTGCATGTTCATCTTATTAATATAATAAACTAATAGATAAATATATATATTAGTATCTATTGACACAATAAATTAGCATGTGTTAGCCCAATATAATTATTTTAATCATTTTCTACTCTTTTATTAGTGTGATTAACTAGAAAATAATTATACTTATCAAAAGATTATCATTAAAATATATATTATACTACTTATGGCCGAGCTCGGTAGCCGAGCTTGCCTAAAAGCTCGAAGGTGCAATAGACTCAGCTCGAGCTTGTGTCGAGCTCGAGCTTGGGCAGACGAGCTCGGCTCGTTGACAGCCCTACACTTAACGATCCATAATGTGTAAAGGGGAAAAAGCGCGGCCATACCCTTAACCTTTTTTTAATCAAAAAAGTTGGTAGATTAATTGCCCAAAACCAAATTACTATAGTCAAACGGAGCTGCATTCAAGTTACGGCAATAGCATGATGGTTGGTATGCAGGTATGCTTGCTATTGTTAGAATAGCATTAAAATATCTAGTATTGCAGATGGAGTAGCAGGAAACAAGGTGCGCCAATGCAATAGAAATAGAATTATCCAGTTTACAAGCTGAAACTCAACACATAACCAGAAGTCTAGGACCAGAAGTGGGTTAGAACTGCAGAATTTATAGGCAGAGATGCAAATGATGCAGCAGTCAAACACATCAACCAAAATGGAGGTATACCGCCTTATAAATAATAACAATTTAATAAGACAATCATATTGATATTGTCCTGATATTCCCAGTCTGGCATGTAAAAATTATTTCTATGCTAGCCATTTCCCTACTACTCATTTCGTCAAGGCTACTTGGAAGAAAATAACGCCTTGAGTCTTGCAGACTGGACAAGGCAATAGACATGATGAAGAAATGATTCCGTATGGTTGGGAAGCTACAAGCCCTTGTCTCGCGCAAGCCGCTGAAGATGGTAATTGATGGTCTTCGTTGCATTCTTTGGCCTCCCTTTCTGTGATGAAGTCACGAACAAGCATCAGAATTCGGAAGAAGACTAGCTTAATGGTTTGAGTAAAGAATTCCAAGAGATGAAAAAAGAAAATCAAATAGCAATCTGGATCATGACCTGAGCCTGAGTACAAGCAACCAAGAGATCCTTCTGCCTGACACACTTGTCATCATTCTGCTTGTTCAAAGCTAAGCAGTTGAGGAAGGACACCATCTCAATCATGCAGGGTTTAGCGCCACCACCAAACTTCTTTGGGTTTATGTACAGCGCACCAGCCTTCCGACCCATTCTAGCACTTCACATCATATGTGATTGATAACAATAGTAAGAAGGAACCTCAAGAGCAATAATAAATGAGCAGACAAACAATTTACCAAGGAAAATAATAGAAAATGGAAGATATATTTGCCGTTGGTGTCGAGTAGCATTTTACTAAATATAATAGCAATTGTATATTTCGCCTACTACATCTGTGAATTGCAAAGAAAAATCTTGAAAAGAAACAGCATACTGCATACCATAAATGTTATCAGGGGGAAGTGCTGGTTTCAACCGTACAATCATAGCATCAGGGCAATATGATTGGTACTACAGGAACAAAATCTTAGTTCCCCTTTAAAACCATCTGCAAGAACCCAATAAAATTATTCGATCTCACACCATTTGATCTAAGTCTATCTCCATACGAACCCAATAGGTCGATTGGGTTATCCAATTAGCATGCCATATACAATCTAAGTTAAACATCTTCACAGGACAATTCTAAAATACACCTACAAAAAGGATAGTGTCTACCATAAAAAGGAAATTCACTTGTATTTTCAGAGTTCATCCTAACAACTCCAGCTTCTTTTTCAATTACTTTGGTTTCCACAAATTGGATTTCCACTGACACTGTTTTCAAACATTACTAGAAAATTCCATCGTTAATTACAAGTGGTCTGAAACATTCATAAACTACAAGTAGCAACAGAACATAAGTTTATTTTTTGGGAATACCATGTGATTTATCTAATGGTGTTAATCTAAACAGACCATTTAAATATACATTCACATTTTTCTGGTCAATCAATGTATAAATAGCAGAAAAAAGTCAATGGCAGCAAAGTGTGGTGCTAATCCCAATTAATTTTCCAGAGTTTATCACCTGGGGGCTCCTTTTTTCACTTCAAAGCAAAACAATAGCATGTAAGCATCGCATTGTATGACTTCTTGGAAATCGAAACTAATTAAGTTCTTACAAGCAACTGATCGAACAGGTTACAGGAAACAGAAAACTGCCTCAGTACAAGATAGGACAACAATTCCTTAATGACAAGAAATAATTGATCAAAAAGCAGGCTAAGATCATTTTGGCGGTTTAAGATGCATCAAGCAGCAACCCGTGGTCCAAGGCTAAGATCAAGAGATCAACACGAACAGCAGGCTAAGATCATTTGGCAGTTCAGATGCATCGAGGAGCAACCCATGGTCTGTGGATAAGATCAACACAACCAACGCAAAGGGCAGGCTAAGACCATTTGGTGGTTCAGGTGCATCGAGCAAAGATCCATGATCCAAGGCTAAGATCAATGTAACCAACACGTACGGCAGCCTAAGATCATTTGATTTTCATTTTTGGTAGTTCCTCGGTAGCAAGGGGGAGATTTACACATCAGGTGTGCTATAATACTACATGGTCCATAAAAAGGGCATGCCCTACTTGATCATCCCTAAGAAGCCTCATGTGCAATCTTGTAATGTTCTAATAACAATGCTCCTTTTGAAGTATATGTTGGTTTGTTAATCCTCAATATTGCTGTGGTTATGACTTCCTGCCCTCACTTCCACAAACAATTCAGAAACTATCAAAGGTTTGTCATCATACCACTCAACACATTTTGCATTGCGTAATACTAATATCGCAAATCAACTGAAACTGAGTATATCTAAATTGGCTTTTGTACCAGTAATCACACAGGAGCATTTGTACCAGTAGCACACAATAAACATACACGATTCATTCATACAGGTAAACTCTCTAATGGAGCAACAGAAAAAAAAAAAGACAAACACTGTAATTGCTTTAAGCAACAATATTCATAACCAGTCATGCATAACCAGTCATGTAATCAAAAAGGCATATGAGTCACAGAAAAAAAAAAGAGAAAAATGGGAATACCTTTGCTGCAGGGGAGGAGGCCGGGATCTGGCGAGAGGAGCAGGGCGGCTGCCGGCGGCGGGATACTAGGCGTCAGGGGGAGGAGGACTCCTCGTCCCAGAATGCGGCGAGGGCGGAGGAGGCCGGCGGCGTGGATCAGGACGGCAACTGGCGGAGGAGGCCGGAGGATGAGACGGGGAGGAGACCCGCGACGGCGCGGGAAAAACCCTAGAATCGTCGGCGCCTTCTGAGATCTGATGCAATCTGCGTGACGGCTTGTGCCGATGTTTGCATCTACTCCCTCCGTCGAGGAAAAGCCAACCAAGAACTCTCCTGCTACAATGAATCTGAAGAAGGTCTCAGGATCACATCCCTCCTATCTTAGATTATTTTTTTTATTTTTACGAAGGATTACTTTCCTTTCGCATGACTTATTTTATAAATAAATTTTTTAAATAGAGTACATCTTTTCTAAACCTATTTTACAAATGCAATGAACTACGAGAGGAACTTATATTCGTTTGTTTCTAAAATTGATATTTTAATAATAGGTTATTAAATCCATAGACTTGCCTTAACAATTACTACCTATGTTTCGTATTACAATTTTTTTTGAATATTTTTTATAGTCAAACTTTTAAATTTAGACCAAGTTCATAGAAAATATATAAATATTTTCAATATACTATAAACATATTAACAAAATATATTTAATGTTAATGAAATTTATTTGGTATTGTAGTATAAACTTATCGAACGTGAACTTACTTGATTTAAAAAAGTCAAAATAATTTATAATATAAATCAGGGGTATAAAACATCACATTATTGATGTTTGGAGATTATTGATAAAATAATTATGTGCTCCAACTATTGACATCAATAGCCCGATTTATAGGTTCATAAGGTACTAAACGCTTTCAAGTTTTACTACTCCATTTGTCCCAAAATATAAAAAATCTAAAACTGGATGAGACATTTCCTCATATTACAAATCTGGACAGACTGTCTATCCATAGCAAAATTTTGGGATGGAGAGAGTACTCCCTCCGTCCCATAATATAGAGAGTTTTAGAGTTAAACACGGTTATTATGAAAATAGGTAAAATTAAATAGGAATGTGTTGTTATTGGTTGAGAAGTGGAGGTAAGCGGGAAAATTGAATGGTGGAGGGTTGTGATTAATTAGGAAAGGAATGTTAGTGGAGAAGTTATATTTTGAGACAAATCCTAAGTGATGTAAGTTGTTATATTTTAGGACGGAGGGAGTAGATCTTTAGATGGTTCTATGTGTTCTCAAACTTACATTTAAAACTTAATATGGCTTTTTCATATCAAAATTTAATGTAATACTAGAAAAAATGAATGATTTTATTGTTATACGGTTTAGTGAAGGTGAAATTCACCATGGGAATTTGCTTGGATATATATTCTTTCAAAAATTATGCGTTGTAGTTAGGGGTCTGATCGTCTCAAGTTAACATCCAAGTTTTTTAAAAGAGAAATCGTATACGACTCCCTTTTATTTCCAAAAGCGAACGAACTTAAAAACTTATTCAAATACAAATATGTATTTCCAAAAACGAAAAAACTTAAAAATCGACTCATACACGGATGGTGTACCAAAGTACTAACAAAAACACCTTCAAATTTTATAATACTATAAAAAAGATGCCCATGCGTTGCAACGGGTAAAGACTATTTTAATCTTATTGTTCTTATGTGGTTTAGTTAAGGTGAAATTCATTTTAGGAATTCGCTTGGATTTTTTTCTTTTACATAATCATGAGTTGTAATTAGGAGTCTGATCGTCTCAATGTGCATGCGAGTTTTTTTTAAGAAGATTTCTTATACGACTCATTCTGTACTTTTTAAAACGAACAAACTTAAAAACCGACTCAAACATGGATATATTACTAAAAACGAATGAACTTAAGAACTGACTCAAACACCGCCGATGTACCAAAATACCGGCAAAAATATCTTCAATTTTTATAATTATAGAGACAGAGACTAGAGATAGAGAAGAGAAGAGATACTATGTTTTTAGTCCTTAATTTTACTATCCTAGAAATAAGTTTATTTATTTATTGAGAATTCATTCGCAATAATCAGAGTTTTGCCTTTGCTTCCTCAACGCGCCTCGCGTCGTCACCGACCCAAACCCCGGCGGCGGCCGACTGAGACTGACCAGTCCACACCAGAGCTTCTCCTCCTCACCCACCCCCTGTCCCCCTTCCGGCCCCCCTCGGATCCTCCGCCGCCGCCGATGGCCGGCCGCCACGCGCCGCACCTCCGGCTGGCCGTGCCGCCGCGTCTCTCCCCGCACCCTTCCTTCCGCTTCCCCACCACCCCGCTCCCCACCCCGTCCAAGACCCGCCTCCACCACCCCTCCTCCTCCCCCTACGCCGCCGCGCTGCTCCGCCTCCTCGCCCTCCACTCCCTCTTCCTCCTCGCCCCCGCCGCCCGCGCGCCCGCCTCCTCCTTCCCCTCCCTGCCCCCTCTCCTCGCCCTCCTCTCCGCCGCCGTCTCCCTCCTCCTCCCCCCCTTCTCCGCCGCCGCGGCGGCGCACCACCCCTTCCCGGCCGTCACGCACCTCCTCCGCCCCGCGGCGCTCCTCGCCGTCACCCTCCTCCTCCGCTTCGCCTCCCTCCGCCTCCTCGCCTCCCCCGGCACACTCGTCCTCGCGGAATCCGCGGGGGCCCTCCTCGCCCGCGCGCTCCGCCGCCCTTCCCGCCGCCGCGTCGTCTCCGTCGCCGTCGCCTCCTTCGCGCTATTCTTCTTCGCCTCCCCTTCGTCTTCTTCTTCTTCCACCTCCCACCTCCTCGTTCTCCTCCCCTTCGCCTCCGGCCTCGTCTCGTCCGCCGATCAAACACCCTCCGTGCGCCATGTCACCCGCGGCCGCCATGCCCGTGCCGCGGTATTTGCCCTCGCCGCGGCGTTCCTCTCGGTGCCTGCGGTTCTTGGCCTCTTCTTCGTTGGTGGCAGTGACGCCGGCGATGGTGATGGTGACGGTGGAGCTGTGCTGCCGATCAGCCAGCTCTGGTGGCTGCTCCTCAATGCCGCCGTCTTCGGCATGGTCTTGGGACGCCGGCCAGATTACGACGGCAGTAGCAGCAGGCCAAGCGTGGATTTCGCAATGACTTTCTTGTGCACTCTTGTGCTGGAGCTGTTGTACTACCCGAAGCTGTCCTTACCGGGCTTCTTGATTTGCGGATTGTTGTTGTGGATCGCCAGTCGGGAGCTGGCTGCATCAGGGTATGTGGAGCTGGGGAGCGCGGATGTGTCGGAATCTGTGTACGAGGCAATCATGGGGCCAGTCCGGCATATCCTGAACGAACGGAAGTCGAGGAAGATTGCGGCATTTCTGCTGATCAACACGGCATACATGTTTGTGGAGTTTACCAGCGGGTTCATGAGTGATAGCCTTGGGTTGATCTCCGACGCTTGCCATATGCTGTTTGATTGTGCCGCATTGGCAATTGGACTTTATGCGTCCTACATCGCAAGGTTGCCTGCAAATGGATTGTACAACTATGGAAGGGGCAGGTTCGAGGTGCTGTCTGGGTATGTCAATGCAGTGTTCTTGGTTCTTGTTGGAGCGCTGATTGTGTTGGAGTCCTTTGAGAGGATTCTTGAACCTCGTGAGATATCAACCAGTAGTCTGTTAACAGTTTCAATAGGTGGGCTTGTTGTTAATGTCATTGGACTGGTTTTCTTTCATGAGGAGCACCACCATGCACACGGCGGTAGCTGTTCTCACTCCCATTCTCACTCGCACTCCCATTCACATTCCCACTCGCACTCCCATTCTCATGTTCATGGGCATGAGGATCATCACAATCATGATCATGCCCTTCAGGGTGTAAATCACAATGGGGCATGTTGTGAGCATCATGGAGATGCAAATAAGAGCCATCACCATGATCACCACCATGATAGTAGCAATGAGGAGAGCCATCACAACAGCCTAACGGAGAACTCCTGCAAGGAGAATCATAGTCACTGCCATGGCCACGATCATCATCATCATCATCATCATGACCATTCAGAACATCACCAACAAAGTGGAGATCATGCTCATCAAGATATTAGCAATATCAGCAGTGATCCAGCAATCCTTGAGATTCCCCTGAACAGTATACATACTCATTGTTCAGAAGCTCACTCTTGCAATGGAGGATTACAGTCATCAGAAAACCATAATAAGTCGAGAAATAGACATCACATTGACCATAACATGGAAGGAATCTTCTTGCATGTGCTAGCTGACACAATGGGAAGCGTTGGTGTTGTGATATCAACCTTACTAATCAAGTACAAGGGATGGCTTATAGCAGATCCCATATGCTCAGTATTTATTTCAATAATGATTGTTTCTTCTGTCCTTCCCCTGTTGAGGAATTCTGCTGAAATTTTGTTGCAAAGAGTTCCAAGGAGCCTCGAGAAGGACATAAAGGAAGCTTTGGATGATGTTATGAAGATTAAGGGTGTCATTGGAGTCCATAATTTTCATGTCTGGAACTTAACAAATACAGATATTGTAGGCACTTTTCACCTTCATATCACAACAGAAGCTGACAAGTCTTCTATAAGAGAAAAAGCTTCAGATATATTTCATGAGGCTGGGATTCAAGATCTGACTATCCAGATCGAATGTGTCAAGAGATAGCATCCACTTGTTGATAAATGTGATAGAGTTTGGCATAGAGAACATGTTTATGGTTTTAGGATTTGGCATAGGTAAAACATATTTATGGCTCCTGTTGTCAACGCAGGAGCCATTTTTTTTAATGTATCACGAAAAGGAAGTCAAATTTCAAACACAAATCTGCAGGTATTGATTTTGGAGTTACATGTTCTGTGTGCTGTGTACTTATAGTTGAGCAATTTTGAGTTCAAATGAATAGATGATTTTCGGTGCACTGACAAAATCAGAATCCGGATAATGTAATTTGCATCGAATTTTGTTTGTAAGTCCTAAATCTGACACTGGTCCATTTATATACCTGATGGTTAATACTATTCTGTTAGAAACTGAGGGTAACCCTTGCTGCAACTATTGATAACTCTTGGATTTCATGACATTATTCATACTTGTCAGGCAGAGAGAATTTCATAACTCTTGGAGCTGCATGTTTATTGCTATTTGTGAGGGGTGTGGCCATCTGATAATGAACAAATCGCATAATCTCCTGTACCGGCAAGTGTCAATTGTTTTGAGAATAAGAGTTTATTTTTTACTGTTTGCTTGCAACCCAAACATTTGTTTTCAATCGACACCAGGAATTCCATAAAGCTCAGTTCTGCAATGTTTGAAAATGTAGACATTACATATTCACTTCAGTTAATAATATGTACTTACAAGTGAACCGCATATTACTTGTTCTCAATAACTAACATGTTATTCACTGTCTTGGTCTGAAAAAAGAAAGAAATTTTCTTTGTATCTACACTGTACAGTGATTTGACCTAATAGAAAAGGTATATATGTTCCTTTATCTGTATGTATTTCTTTCTCAATGAAATATAGACTAATTCCAAAAGAAGCTGATTATTCCCCTTGGCGATAATCTAAGCCAGCTCCATACTTCCATGCTTCGAGATATCGTTTCCATTGATATTTGTTCCTCAATGGCAAGGATTCAACCCAAGGCCTTCAAAAGTTATGAAAACAGCATCAACATATGGATATGTTGTGTATATGATAACGATGTTAGAGATAGATGACAACAATTATACCTGAGGATTGGGTCTATAAAGGTGGAAAGGAATGTATAGTAACCAAGCATCACAAAATGGCCTGACCAGTTAAGAATGACTCCAGGTCCAGCCTAAAGCAAGAAGAGATGGAGATAAAATCCATTGACCAGCATAGCTTATCTGAAGTTTCTGAAAATCAAAGTTAGAAAAATAACTTGAATGTTTTTTAAGAGTCTACCTGCTTAAAAATGGAAGGCAAAATCTGTGGTCGAGTGATCATTACTAGACCCAGAGTTTTAACCAGAGGTCCAAATTGTATTACATCCTACAAATACACAATTCAAGTAAATATCGGAAGCTGAGATTTTCACTTTGCAGGGAATCACAGTGGTTTAGAACAATAGTCTAGTATCAACCTGGAGAAATGGCCGAAGTACTGAATCCCCAAGTTTCTGGCCATTGTATGAAATAACTAATCAGATAAAAAAAAATCTGAAATGATGGTATATCTCATAAATAACTGAGGTTACCTGCATCGACTCAAAATTAGCAAAGAGAAGCTCATTGATAAAAGTTGGGGAAACATCGATCTGCGGCCTTGCTGACATTGCTCTTTGGAACAACCATGATGCACTTAAATTTGGCTGCAAAATGAAAACAAAATAAGTTTCTGCTTCAAATTACACATGAAGGGCTATAATAAATTATAAGTACCCTAACCATATAAGGGTTCAGCAGCTGCAAACTACGTGCATCCAGAAGATCTCCTGAAACTGCTTCATATATACCTTTAGCGCCGAAGGGCATAGAGAGAGATAATAAGTATCTCAAAGGAAAGAAAAAGTTACAGTGTGCAGAAATTTCATTGCTGATTCAACATAGCATAACATCATAGCTATGATGTGACCCCTTAAAATCGTTTTTTGAGGAATAGGGTGTCTATCCATGACAATTACTAACTCTGTCCTATAATATAAGAATTTTTAGAGTTTGACACAGTTATTAAGAAAGTAGGTGAAGTTAAATGGTGGTAGGTTGTGATTGATTGAGAAATACAGATAGGTGGAGAAATTGAATGGTGGAGGCTTGTGATTGGTTAAGAAGAGAATGTTGGTGAAGAAGTTATTATATTTTAGACAAAAATTCTAAAGGCTAAAAGTTATTATATTTTGAGACGGGGGGATCAGTAGCATGACTTATTTTTCTTGCTTCTGTGGACTCAGTTTTGTTCATATTAGAGCATGCATGTTACCATTTTATGATCATGCACTCTTGTTGTTAAGGAAAAAAAATATCGATCGTACAGTCGTACCATTTGACAAACGACCAAGATGCCTTGTCAAGCTTCCAAAACCTCCAAAAGAAACAGGTGACTGGATTCCACTAGCATCACCAACCTGAAGTGCAAAGCAGTGAAGGGCGTTACTAGTTAAGGGGGAGAAATGGGTACAGCCAACAGGCTTCCGAAGCAGAGAAATGGCATGCCTGCAAGACACGGTCAAATGCAGCTGGCAAGGGGCTGAAATGAATCATATGAGCCAAAGTTAGCATACAAACTTATAAACAAAAAAACTGCTAAGAGACCATAACCAAGACATGAATACACAGCGTGCAGAGTGTACTAACACTAGATATGCGTAAAGCAGACAAAACATCAACTGCTAAATATGACGGTTTACCACCTTTTCTTATGTCCATGTGTGAAGATTAGACTCAAAATGAACTCTCTTAACTCTTTTAAGTTTCAAGTGAGCATCTGTAAGGAGCATCTACAGTAGAGCAATTTGCATGACTAAGAGAGAACACAAAGGGTCATTATTTTCAGCATATAAATAACCCTGGTAAAATAGTGAAGGAACAAATATTATAGTGAAGGAAAAAATTGTGTCGGTAATGGTGGTGCTTTGACGCACCACGCAACATTATACATTCCTGTTCTTTCTCTTAATATACATCGGCCGGCTATTCGCCGGCCCGGCGAAAAAAAAAATATTATGTGCCAACAATCTGCCATCAAATGGTAGTTGCAGCAGATCATTCATTTATAGTTGGGTTCATTTGTATTTTATTATCATCTAATAACCATGAGGGGAATGATAAATATAAATTTCTGTTACCTATTCCGATAGGTTGGGAAAATTCCAAATATGACTCTCATTATATCCAGGTTTTCAAGAACCACATCCTACAATGAGCACAAAAATAAGAATTAAGAACAAAGCATAGTTATCCAAGTATCTCTACATATCAAAAGTTCAGAATATGCCAATATATATTTTTCAGCTCTTAATTCAATGGTGCATAGATTATCAACGTTATTTTACAGTACACAACCAAGTAGTTCACTAACTTGAAACAAAAGAACTTCCATAAACACATGAGTTGAGTTCTCTTTTCTGTACAATTTATCGACCATGGTGTAAATGTACAGTTGTACACGATAACACATTGTATTTTTTACAACTGTCACATAGGATCGCATTTGTTTACCTCGTAAGCAGGCATAAGATCCCAGAACGTCTCCAAAAGTTCTTCTAGCTTTGGGCCCCCAGAATGTGGATCAACATAGGTGAACATGTATGTAGTGCGATCCGTGGGACCAGAACCAGCAGGAAAACCCTAACATAATTAGTGAGAATAGACTATTAAACAAATCAAAACATGAAAAATGAAATTATTCATGCAATAGATAGAAAGCTGATTTTGCAAATGAGGATAACAGTTAAAAGAAATTTTAAAAAAAGAGGTTAGCAGTGCCAGAAGCATTTTGTTCTAATGAAATTATGTTGAGATAAGTGCTTTTAAAATTTTGAATTTTTTTTTCAGTTCATCTCGAAGCATTAACTTTGTGTCAAAATGCTGGGAGAAAATCAATTACCTCCCAGAACAGTTGTACTCCTGAATTTCCTGCTCTCTTTATGGATGAGCTACTGAAAATAATGTCACTTGTTGTATTTCTGTCAAATCCACGAGCACAAGTACCAACAACAAGGCATACTCCATCTGGTTTTCTGCCTGACCGGATCTTGGATAAGGACAGAAGAGTTGTATTTTAAAATGTGAAATCTGGAAGGGTCAGCAACTGTACGTGACTATGTGCACTAAGGATGCCAAGTGACAGATAAGCATGGTGTTCAACGATCTAATAAGTAATATGCATTATAATATTAAAGTTACAATTCAGTACCCCATTATCCTTAAAGCATGGAATAGTTTGGGCAAAATAAGATGGATGTTTTCAGTTCATAGTAGTTTGGACATAGAGCTCTTACTGATTACAACTACGCACATGCTCTTACATATTACAATTGCACACATGAAACACAAGGGCCGTACATGGAAATGAAGCTTTTTGGTACGAACTTGCTAGAACATAGATTGGAGAGACAGAAATAATTGAGGAGCCTTGTTTGTCAGACAGCAGTAACTTATGTAAGAAATTTTCATCTTGATGCAGTCATTTTGATTAAAAATCAGGAATACCTGTCGCACAATTGGGGAAAAATTACCCATAGCATCAATAACAAGTCGACAAGGCAGAGAACCACCATCACTCAAGTTTAATACCTGAGGAACACAAGTAAAAATTGATACTTATTTGCTTGGCAAAGTGCACTAGGAAGTAATGAATTAGCACATTAATACTTATAATGGTACAAAGTAAAGGAACTTTAGTAACAACCTAGATGAGTTCTTTTATAAAACAGAATTATTCTTATTTTATTGGTCAAATAAAGATCATCCTTTCAAAATCAGATGCAGATAATGCAGCCAATTGATCATAGGCAACTTCATGCGAAATAGAATAAAGCTTTGTAGTTTCAGTTGTGTACTTGTAAAAATTAGCAACATACTTCAAAACATTTTTTATCGTAGCAAGAAGACAGAATAATTTGCTTACAGCAAAGTCATCATGAACAGAAATGCTTGACAAACTTTTCCCCTCAAATATGGCTCCTCCTGAAGAAACGAAGCGTTCTTTCATGATCTCAACAAGTTTAGCAGGCCTAGACAGGTAGAAATGTATAATAGAATCACAGAACAGTTATAGTTATAGAAACGATGCTCTTCAGATCGCATACATTTCTATAGATCTTATGAAAAGATGAGTGAACACTACAACAATTCATCAAGTAGGTGATGATGGATATAAGACTGACTACAAATAGACTAATCCCTACCAATGTCCAACACTAAGGAACATGTTGCACTACACAAAGTAAATGTCGATTTTCATCCTATACATGCCCTGTTACCCTGCACATGATTAATTTGGTTATCAAGCGTAATGTATGTTTTTTAAATCTTGCAACCATCACAATGTCAAGTGCCAACTAGCCAAAGCTGGTCTACATATGGCATCAAGTGATAACTTACGAAATTCCAAGATTAAGGATGTTCTCCACCCAAATTTCACCTTTACTCTCAAATGCACATCTAGTCTGCAAAGTACGAAAAACATGCAATTAGTTAGCCAACAGGAGCTATTTTAAAATGAAGAATAAAACAGAATACCTCCTGGCTAGTTTTATCTGAAAGACCTTACAGGATTGAAATCACTTGATATTATCTGTTCAATCTCCTCTTCAGAAAGGATGCCAACTTCTACAAGTTCCATAAGCTCTTTTCTTGAAATGTTCCACTCTTGTTCTCTCTGTTTAGCAGATATATGTACACATTTCATATTATTCAGTAGAGTGCTATTGGGATAACTCAGGAATAGCCATATGTGGCTGAATTACCCCTTTGATTATGTTTCTTTCAATAATTCCAACCCGAAGGCCTTTATAACTGAGGGCAGTAGCTACAAATATACCTAATGTGCCACCACACACTAATACATCAAAGATCTCTGAGCCATCACCAAGATCATAATCAACCAATGGCCCTTGGACTCGAGTAACAACTTCAGGGACTTTGGAATCTGCATATGCATACATTTCCATCACAATGCTATAATACTACGAGAATGTAATAAAAAACAATAAGTCCTCAGTCCTCAAGTAGCCAAGTTGCTATTTCCCAATACATCCACCAAACACAGTTGGCAAGTCTTATTAAACTGGAAATGTGTACTATCAAAAGCTAATCTTCAAAGGCCAGCATTGTCAACTATGTCAATCTAGGAGCTCACCAAATAAAGCACATTTCAATCTCTTGCTTGCACAGAAAATAATTTTATCTAGGCATAGCACAGAGGGATGAGTAAAACCTGCAATAGTTTGCTTAGTGAAGCAAAGTACTTCCATGTGCTAAGAAAGCTGACCGCGTGTGAGCTAAAATTGGACTGTCACTAATGCATGGTTGATGTTTGGCGAAAATGAAAGAATGAAATGGATACTCCTACCTCTAAACTAAATTATAGGATACTCTAATTGTGGATTTCCTACTTCCAAAAGCACTTTTCTTGTTTCAAATAAGGAACCAGCTACCGGAATTCAATGATTCGAAATTACTGAATTAAGTATCCAACAAAACAAAACATATTTGGTCAGGACGACTCACTTCTCCAATCGCAGACTACCCTATTCTATATAATTGTTGAGTGAGGATTGAGGGACCATACCTGATTGCGCTTCACATATGCTAGACCATATTTGATCCAGTCTTTTCAATGCGTTGTATGAGTACGCACCCCCAGCACCGCCAACTTCTTCACCGCTGGAGATCTTATCCATTATCATCTAAACAAATGATTTAGCAACATTAGGTTGACAGTAACAAAGGTAAATCAAAGGTAGACAGTAAAGGCTTGAGTAAGAATCCTTATTGTTATACATGCTATACAAAGGGGCACACACTGCAGGAATGCTCTTCGAAGTTTTACTGTGAGGTTTGTGAAAGTGAGGACCATGTTGGTTCTCGTTGTCCGATCTTTAGATCAAATAATAAACCTTCAACTGAACTTTGTGGTTATGCAGTGGATGGTTTGGGTATTTTTCATATTCCTCTTTCTGCTAGCCAGAAGATAAAGTATGAGCCTAAGGTGGCTTTGATCAAAGTGACTGGTGGACAGATGTCAGTGAATTCTATTATCTCTTAGTTGGAAAGGTTAATTCCAGGTAAATGGAAGTGGGAGGTTCAAGATAACGGTGACAATACTTTTCGCACTATTTTTCCTTCTGCTGCTGAACTAAACGCATGGTGGAATGAGGTATAGTGTACACTAAGGTTGGTGAAATTAAAATGCAGATAGTGGAAAGAGGGGTTGGTAATGAGGTTAAATATGTGATTCCAAAGGTTTGGGTTCAGTGTAAAGGGTTACCTTCTGAGTTGAGGGAATACTTAATCATTTGGGTTGTTGGTTCTATCTGGTATTACTAAAATGGTTGATATGCATTTTACTAGAAGATATGACATAGCTCGGTTACAAGTCTTAGTGCTAGATCCATCTTTAATTCCTGATGTGGTTGATGTGGGCATTGGTGATTATTTGTACGAACTATCTTTTAAAGTGAAGCCTAAAAATGGGCATGATGAGCCTGAACCCATGGATATGAAAAATGATGGTGATAGGGATGAGGAAAAGAATGATGAAGGAAGTAAGATGCATGGTTTGAGTAAGGAATCAGATTTTATTAATTCTGACAAAGGTAATAAGGTGAATGTTGCTGGCCAGTGTAGTCAGAAGAGTGCTACTTCTTTGCCTACTACTCAGACTTTGTTGTTGCCAGAGTCTAATGGTTTGAATGTGTCGGATGAAGAATATGATGGTTTAGTCAAGGATACTTCTATGGTGGAGCCAGTTCAGTCTCAAGACACTCCAATGGAGAAGTTATCTGTTGTTCCAGAGACGTCGTCAAATTAGTGGGGTTCCACATTTGGTGGATGATGGTTTATCTATTTTTCAATATGCAAATGATACTATTATTTTCTTGGAGCATGATTTACAGAAGGCTAAGAATTTGAAATTGATACTATTTGTTTTTGAAAAGTTATCTGGCCCGAAATTAAATTTTCACAAAGTGAATTATTTTGTTTTGGTCAGGCTCAGGACTGTCAAGAACAATATTCTAATATTTTTGGCTGTAAGCTTGGTACTTCTCCTGTTAGGTATCTTGGCATTCCAATGCATTTTAGAACACTTAGTAACAAAGATTGGAAAATAATTGAGCGAAGAATTGAAAAGAAACTTAGTAATTGGAAAGGCAAGCATATGTAGTAAGAGGGAGATTGGTATTGATTAATTCTATGCTTTCAAGTTTAGTTATGTTTATGATATCTTTTTTTGAAATTCCAAAAGGGGTTCTTCAAAAAATTGATTATTATAGATCACATTTCTTTTGGCAAGGTGATGATCATAAAAGGAAGTATAGACTTATAAGATGGGACATAATATGTCAACCCAAAGATCAAGGAGGTCTAGGCGTTCATAATTTTAAGATGGGACATAATATGTCAACCCAAAGATCAAGGAGGTCTAGGCGTTCATAATTTTAAGATGGGACATAATATGTCAACCCAAAGATCAAGGAGGTCTAGGCGTTCATAATTTGGAAGTTCAAAATAAATGTTTTTTGAGTAAATGGTTGTTTATTTAAACTTATAAATGAGCAAGGTGTTTGGCAAGACTTATTGAAAAGGAAATATTTTAATAATCAATCAATTTTTCAAGTTGATATGAAACAAGGGGATTCCCATTTTTGGTCGGGTCTCATGAAAGTTAAGAGTACTATCTTAAACATGGGTTCCTGGATAGTGAATAATGGTGAACAAATCAGATTTCGGGAGGATAGATGGATAGGTAGTTATTCCTTTAAAGACAGCCAGATAGGTACCCGTCTTTATATGCTATAGTTTGAAGGAGAAATTCTTCAATTGCAAATGTTATGAATTATGTCCCAATGAATGTTTCTTTTAGAAGAGCTTTAGTAGGTCAGAATTTGGCTTATTAGCATAATTTATATGCATCAATAGTTCATATTCATTTGAAAGAAGAAAGTGATTTTTTTTAGATGGAATTTTCATCAAAATGGTTAGTTCTCCATTCTTTCGATGTACTTAGCTTTAATAAACAATGGTAACATTGTGAAGAATATGATTATCTGGAAACTTAAGATGTCTCTTAAGATTAAGATTTTTATGTGGTACCTGTTTAAGAGGTAGTGTTGACAAAGGACAACTTAACTAGGAGAAATTGGAATGGTAGTTTGAGATGTTTCTGTATGAAAAATAAGACTATTCAACATCTTTTTATGGAGTGTCACTTTGCAAAATTTCTTTGGAGAGCTGTTGTCATCTGGTTTATACCTTCCACATAATATATCCCATATCTTTGAAAATTGGCTTGTAGGGGTTGATAAAAACCAGTAAACTTATTCTTATAGGAGCATCTGCTATATGTTGGGCTCTATGGTTGAGTAGGAATGATATTGTTTTTGACAAATCACCATCTATGTCCTATATGCAGGTTCTTTTCAAGGCAACGTATTGGTTCCAATCCTAGGTACAACTACAAAAAGTGTGATGAAAGCTACAAGCTTTTAAAGTCTGCATGTCGTAATCTTGAGACGACAATTATGCAGCTTTTTGTCAACTTCGGATAAAGATTCACAAATAGAATTCAATAATTGTATTTCGTTTATGAGTTTGTGTTTGCTTTATGTTTGGAAGAGTTCTTTTAAGTTTGCTTTGAGTTGCACTCGTTTTGAGTGATTTGGTGTAATAATTGGATGTAGCTCGTTTGAGCAAAGGCCGCTATTCCATTATCTAAAAAAATAACTTTAAAATCCCCTCACAGACATGAAAACTTTTCAGTCAAAAAAAAAAAACAAAAACTTAAAAATACATTGCATGAATGGACAAATAAAAAGCAGAACGTGCAGCTGTTGTATTTGAAGATACTGATTACATTGAAACGCCCTATAGGTGACAAAAACAGAGTGTCAGTTGCGTTAGGCTGAATAGCCTTGAATCATCCACAATATTGCATGAGAAAAAAATTTGACTCTAAACAGGCATTGGCAACTTTTTCTCTCTTTCACAATGTCACAATGGAAATGCACCATTGAAATGCTCATAAACAGCAAAGCCCCTAGCCCCGGAAAGACGGGTGATGAGGTATATAATCCTCTCTTCATCTATATCGTCTTTATAATTAACACGCTCCGATCCCCACCTCCACCCCCCGCCGCCGCCGCCGCTCCCAAACGGCGGCGCAAGCGCAACCCAACCCATAAAAAGAAAAAGTGCAAACGCGAGTGGCGAGTATCGATCGCTGGCTCACCTGGGTCCTGGAGGGCGCCGGCCCGGGCCCGGGCCCGGCCTCCCCCGCCGCCATGGCGCACACTACCCCACGCCGCCCTCGCCCGCGGCCATCACCCCGCGCCTCGATGCCGCCCCCACCGCGGTGGCGGAGAGCTCGCGGCCACTGCGCCGTGGGGGCCGCATGAGCGGCGGAAGGAGGAAGCGGAAGACGAACAACCGGGAGCGGCGGCATGAGCATGAGCTCGTGCGTTCCGAGGCTGGAAGCGCGCGCGCAAGCCGCCAACGGGAGAGAGAGAGAGGGAGAGGGCTTCGCTCCCACGCCAAACGCCTCGCGTTTTTCTCCTCCCCCCGCGTGGATGAGAGCGCGAGTTTTGGATGGATGGATGGATGGGTTGCGCGACGGCGACGTGGTCGTCCTCGTCGCCAGCCACAAAACAGACGCCGTCTCTTACTCTTATCTGTTCGGACCAACTGTACAAAGGGTGTGTTTAGTCCACCATAAAATTAAAATTTTGGTTGAAATTAGAACAATGCGACGGAAAAGTTAGAAGTTTGTGTGTGTAGAAAAATTTTGATGTGCTGGAAAAGTTAAAAGTTTACAACTAAGGCCATCTTTGTTTAGGCTTATAAGCTAACTTATAAGTCGAAAAGTCTAAGCCAAAACAAACAAACAGCTTTTTCATTTGGCTTTTTTGAAGCCATAAGCCACTCTAACACTATTAAGCCAAAAGCTAGGTTGGAGAAGCTTTTTTGACTTATATGAGACAGATGTATGACTCTACCACTAAACTTAGAACATTAAATCCACTGGCTTATAAATCATATAAGCCAATAAACTGACTTAAAAGTCTAGGCCAATAAACCTAAGTCTAAACAAAGAGGGCCTAAACTCGGCCAAAGCTTGGCTCGGTTTAAGCAAGCCGCCCAGAGAAGCAGCAGCAGAAGAAGAAGAAAGCCAAACATTAACAAGAGCAACATTTCAAGCAGGAACAGGAACAGCAGGAGGAGGCAGCCAGCAATGGCGGCCGACAGGCAACAACGATACATCCTCATCAATGGCTCTGCAAGACTACATGCAATACACACACATCTGAAGCCTGAAGGAGATAAGCTAAGCTAGTAGTACACTACTGGAGTACATGAGAAATTCTCGATCATCATCAGTCACAGAGCCTCACAAGGGCTCACATCTCACAAAGGAAATGTTGCTGACAGGAATTAAGTTAACACACACACACTGCACGCAGAGCTAACCAAGTCATCAATCACCACAGGTGTTGTTGGTGTTCAACTCTCTCCCCCCACCTCTAACCAAACGACCGGCGCAGCAAAGCCGTGGCCGTAGCGACGGCTGAGCTGCGCCGAAGCCGTTTTCCTAACAGCAACACAACATAATGTTCTTTTTTTTTTCTTTTCTTGAACAGGCTAAGAGGCGGCGAAGGCCGAATTCTGCAGACGCCTTGGTTCTCTTGCACTGTACACCTCAACCTTCGCCACGGAAAAGCACAAGGTATCCCTCAGCAGCAGATGTTACCCAGTCAAGAGTTTTCACCTCCTCTGCCTTTTTGACTCAGCCTACCATTCACAAACCAAAAAAACAAAAAAAGAAATAGAATAGATGCATGTTAGACAACAAATGATAGGAGTTTCAGTGTTCAGGCACTTGAATTGCTTCGAAATGCTAACATTTATAAATAATATATCCAATGGCCAGCAAAATCCTCAATTTTATGTATTAAAATGTGGAATCTAGCTGTTAGCTCAAGGGCATATGATATTGTGGAATTGCATGTGCTGCCTTCTTTACATAAACTCTTACTATCTTAATGTATGAAAGTTACATTTGAACAAAACCATTAACAGATATGTAAATAATATATGCAAGTGAAAACAACCATATATATGTCAAAATATGCACAAGAATTATAAACCAATGTAGGGAAGATATCCATCTAAGTTAAATTTTAACGGTATTAATATTGCAAGGAACAGGCACAATTCCAGCCCAGTCATCATTTGGCAAATTTAGCAAGTGCGTAAAGCTCTCATCTCATCCATGAAATAAGATGCTTGAATGTTCAGTAATTTACTTTTAAAGCTCTCATATGGGCAGAAGATAGTAACACATATATCTGAGAGTGAGCCAGAAAACAAAATCATGGCCTTCAAAGAAAAGGAAATAATAGTAGGCTGATACCAGTTGACAAGCTAAAACCTTGAATCCACTGCAAAAAATACAGAAAATCAACTAAAAATAAAAGAAATTTGTTGAAAAAATAAGCAATATGGTATATTATGAGCATTTACGCATTCATTCCCATAAAATGAGCATCACACAATTAGTAAGCAATGCCAGGTACTGGAAGGTAGATTCACAATAATAATATTAATTTCAAAAGAAAAACTAGCTATCTTTCTACAGAAAAATATAAATAATCAACCCATATAATATATAGAAAAGAAGAGGCTCACCTTAGGCTCATACTTTGTTGAACCTGCATATGCATGTGAAGGTCTCTTTGCACCGTTTTCCTTGACACAATCTGAGCACACAAAGTGATCTAGTTTTTTGGCCTGCTCAATCGTCATGCTCATGCATGAAGGATGAAACCTGCATACAGTTAGATCTAAATAAGGCAGGAGCCAAAAGTAACATTTGAAGCATATAAAGAAATTTAAAATGCAAAGGACAATATCTCTTTGTATGTATATGTGAACAATCTGAATCCAGTCCTGAGTCCTGATACCACAAACACTTGGAAGAAAGCCAGATATATTACAAATTTTATTTTGAGGAGGTCAAGTGACATGACAAACAAGTGCCTAATGTCTCAGAAGTGTGCATGCATATTTTGCACTACTAAGGTCATAGGACCCATGATTCCACAAGAGCTCAAATAAATTTATATATCATGCTAGTTATGAAGCTTACCGTTTGGAAAGCATTAGACAAACTGAGTGCTTGATAAAAAAAATATTAGCAACTATAATAGTTACTTACACTGCTACAAATATAATACCTCCATATTTTAATATATGACATTTAGGACAATTTAATTAGGCAAAAAGGGGGGTGAAATCAAACGCAAATTTTACAAGCGTGTTCTCAACAGAGTACAAGAGCTTGATGTTGTTTTGCAATCTTCTAGAATCTTTTAGATTGTTGAATCCTTGCCATATGCGAAGATTTAATGACCAAGAATAATGTAGGCTCTAATTGAGTCAAAGGGCCTTCTAGGTCTATCTTGCCTTGGATTAGATTCTCTTTTCTTGTTTGGTGTTATTAGTGCAAGAATAAAGCCTTTCCTTGGAACCCTTTAGCGCACCACAACTACCTTTCAAAGATTTTTTTGACTTTTTAGATAATAAGACCCTTATTAACTGAAAACACAAATTGTCCTTAATATGCATCTCCTACAGATCCAAGGACAATATGCCTTTCCTTAATACGTATCGTTCACTCATTCAGTACCTGAGTACCCTCTATGTAGAAGTTAATATGTCACACACACCCAACTAAAAAAAAAGGGGGGGGGGTGGAGAAGTAATAGACCCTGTAACAGCTAACAAGCTATTTAGATGCACTGGAATGGGTGCCAATTTCATTATTGTTACCATGATTTTCCAGTGTACATTCACTATATAGACTGAAATGCATCATAACAGAGGCGGTTTATTAATGGAATTACCAGTCCTTGCAGTCATCGCACTGCACCATGAGATCATCCGGGTTGTATGGCATCTCACACTTGCAGTATCTTCAGAAAAACGAAAAAGAAAACACAAGCAGAGACGAATCAGCAATCAACATTCTAACATCCCATGGAAATTGAACAAATCCAACATTGCACTGGGGAACGGGAAATGAACAATCAGCATTCAAGCATACACGGCGACGCGGTCGGGGGTGAAGGCGCCGGTGGCGGCCTTGTACTCGAAGCGGCAGAAGAAGTCCTCGGGGCCGACGTTGTCGAGCTTGGTGTAGTTCTTGAAGGAGTGGACGACGCACTTGCCCTCGATGGTGTTGGCGCTCTGCATGTCGAAGTGGTCGGAGAGGAAGAGCTCCTTGGCGCCATGGAACTGCCTCCTCCCGCCCTTGGACTCCTCGGGCCGGTAGTACCACCGCACCCGCACCCGCACGCTCCCGCGCCCGTCCAGCTCCATCTTCTCCACCCGCGCCACGTACGGCTGGTTGTCCGAGTCCACCGGCCGCATCAGCACGCAGTCCCCCACTGCTCCAATCCCACCAAACAACAGCACATTGCTTGCCCCCCTCAGATTTTTTTTCTTTCTCTCTCGCCCGAGGGAAATCAAGAACCCGGGAGATCAGAGGACGGGGAGGCACGTTACCTCGTACGACCTTGTTGGTGCCGGAGATGGTGTAGGAGTCGACGTCCCGCTTGCCCTGCTTGGTCTTGGCCATGGCGAGGGGGCGAGGTTTTGGGAGGTGGAGGAGGGGGGAGGTGGGGAGAGAAACCCTAGAGGCGACGACGATGAGATGGGTGGGGAGCTGGGAGGGAGAAGTGGCCGCGTTCCGATCCGGCCGGAGGAAGGGGAAATCTGCACTTGTGCAGTGGAAAGGGGAGGTCAACACATCGGTCCAGGGAAATGGGGAACCGGTCGCCTGTTGGGGTATCTCCATTCCCGGCCGTTGATCCAGCCGTCGGCGGTTCAGATTATGGCTTTAGAACAATCAAATAGTGCCAAATAAACAACTTGTTGGGAGCTTGTTTGCTACAGCTTCGGTTACAACTCCATCTTTTTGGAACCGGAGTCGAGACATATGGCTTGTTTAGCTAGCAACGGTTTCAGCTCCACTTAAAATAGAAGCGGAGCAGGGTGGAGCACTCTCACAAAATGAACTAGAGAGGTGGAGCTAGGTTTAGGGCCTGTTTGGCATAGCTCTAGCTCCACCTCTATTGGAGCTGGAGCTCAGCCAAACAGTTTTAGCATGGGAGTGGAGCTAGGTGGAGATCTCTCACAAAATGAACTAGAGTTGTGGAGTTAGGTTTAGGCAGCTCCACAACTCCACCCCAGACCCAACTCCTGGAGCAAAATTCAGGAGTTGGAGCTCTACCAAACATACCCTTAGACTACTCCACAACTCCACTCCAGACTCAACTCCTGTAACTAAATTTGGGAGTTGGAGTTTTAACAAACAGGCCCATACAGTTTCGGCTTCATCTAAAAATGGAGTTGAGCGAGTTAGAATGTTCTCACAAAATGAATGATCCGTTTGATAGGGCTCCAACCCCTAAGTTTAACTCTAAGTGTTCGGTCTGGAGTGGAGTTGTGGAGCTACCTAAATCTATCTCCACCTCTCTGGTTTATTTTGTGAGAGCACTCTAGCCGACTCTATTCCTTTTTTGGGGTGAAACTGAAACCGTTTGGTTACGCTCTAGTTCCAGAAGAGATGAAGCTAGAGTTGTGTCAAATGGACTACCTGTAAAAGTAGAGCTAGGTTTAGACTGCTCTACGACTCTGCTTCAAACCCATCTCTTGAAGTTAAATTTAGCAGTTGGTGGACTGCCAAACAGACCCTGAAGCTTCTTTGATTGTTTGGACTAGAGCTTGCAATTCCATTTAAATGGGATATTTTATGAATCTAATCCTCCATCTCCTACACCTTCCGCCTTACCCATGTCTAAGCTTCCACACCACCGGCCGTAGCAACAACAAAGGAAGGAGTGAGGCATCGAAGAGAGGAAGGGAGAAGAGGAGATGAGGCAACGATGACCAGACAATGATGACGCACTCTTTCACCCGCCGCCTTGACCTGGTACCTGATACACAGATGTCAACCCTGGTACCTGATACAATGCATCGATGCTTTAACCATTTTTAGAAAAATACACCAATATTTACAATACCAAATTAATTTCATCAAAATCCGTTATTGGATTGGTCAAAAGTTAAAGAACTTTGATCTAGGAAAAATCTATCGTCTTCCAATACGGAACAGGAGGAGTATGAACTACGGTATTTTGCTGCTTAGTCGAATTCAGAGATAATCAGACAAGACAAGTACCACTGCTAACACTTCCATGTATTTCGGAGTTCAGAACGTTTTCCCCACCACAAACACACCATCTACAATCACAAGTGATAGTGGGGGAGAGGTAGATAGAATATCACAGGATGTGTCCCCATAGGAAAAAGTTGTAAAACTTTTTTAGATGAAAGGTGTTTGTGAAATCTGTGGTACCAGAGCCATCTCGTAAGAAAAATATTAACTTCAAGAAACACGAAGATATATATAAAACATTGAAAAGCTAGTTAGAGAGTGGAGGTTTCAAATTCATCAAGATTTGAAAATCTCCCTGTTGGAGTCTCTCTTTCCAAAAGAAGAGAGTGAATTTCGGTCCATTCCGTACGGACTGGTCATGCGTGCACAACAGAGATTGGAGATCACAAGATCTAGATTCTGATAAATTACTGTTTTATAATCACTGTTACAGCTGATAATAGTTGGGAGGTAGGGAAAAGGGATATGTATTGTGAACAACCAATAGTATTTTTTTTCAAGCAAATTGTGCAGCATGCATCTAGCTAGACTAGCTTTTGAATTTAAAGTCGATTGCTTTTGCTCGCTTTCAGTGGCTTTTCACCCTTTGTGTGCATCTGGGATCCCATCGTCCTTGAAATGGTCACTGAGACTCACTGTAATGACACACTGAAATGGCACCACTTTATGTGATTATCTGTATGTCAGTAATCATGATGGTGACCTGTGCTGTTAACTCTGAAACTCTGAACCTGTTAAAAAATGCTCTGAGACGTGAATAATTAATTAAGCATCACCTTTCCTGCGCTAAACGTGGAAAAAGAATTACTGTATCCCAGTATAGCTACTTTCATGAGCTGACCAATTGGATCAGTGGTCACATTCAGTTACTACTCTAATGCACACTACCTTAATCTTCCTTTTTTTTTATTATTCTCTGGATCTAACAAAATATTCCGAGTACAATCTTCTTTTCTTTAGGAAAAAAAGATCGGAAAAGAACGGCACATGCATGAATGGATTCTTCTTCTTTTTTCCCAGTGGGAGAAGCATGTAGTGCTGGCAGTGCTATTTGTAAGGCTGTGTTTAATTCCACTGGTAAAAAATTTTGCTGGGTCACATCAGATATACGGACACATATTTGAAATATTAAACGTAGACTAATAACAAAACAAATTACATAATCCGCATGTAAACTGCGAGACGAATGTATTAAGCCTAATTAATTCATAATTAGCAAATATTTACTGTAGCACCACATTGTCAGATTATGGCTCAATTAGGCTTAAAAGATCGTCTCGCAATTTATACGCAAACTGTGTAAATAGTTTTTTTAAATATTTAATACTCTGTAAACGTGTTCAAACGTTCGATATGACAGGGAAAAAAAATTTGCCGGTGGATCTAAACACCCCCTATGTATCCTGCTACTGAAGAATTAGAAACCGTTCGGTTCATGGACACTGGAGCCTTTCAAACCACCTTGCGAACATGAGGATTTTTCTTTTTCGGATTTGCTAACATTCGTTGGCAGTGTTTTTTTTTTCAGATTCACCAGTCATATCGACACCAAGATTCGTACTAAGCTTCTTCTCCTCTAGCTCTAGCGAGCTACAATAGGTCCAGCGACCGACGACGGTATGATTAGTTAGGGTTTAGGGATTGGAGTTGGGTTCAGAGTAGGAGAAGAGAGAAGAGGGGCGAGATTGTCAAGTTTAGATGGATGGCTGCTGGAGGTGGTGGCCCAACGGTGAAACAAAGGTCGAAGTTAGGAGGCTGCGAAGTTAGCGAAGCCACGGATCGACAGACGATGGCTGGTGTTAACATAGGGGCGTGAGATCTTGACCAGTCAACATGAAAGGGTATCGGAGATGTCACTGGTGAAAATGGAGCCATCGAAGATGAAAAGATGGTGGGTAGGGGCACTCACTGTTGCCCAGCTCAGGGAGGAAAGGGAGGGATAGGAAGACAACTTGGGGGCTTGATAGCGCCATTGGCAGGGTTTGCAAAACCATGTGGTTATCACACGGTTATCACGTATAGTAATTTTCTCAGTTTTTGAAACCATGGTAACGGTGCGGTTACCATGATAACCGCCTTACCGTGGGGTGGCGATAACCCCACCCAAAACAGTTTTGCAAACCTTGTCTATTGGTGGCTTCCAACCCTAGCGATGATAGGTACATCATGCTAGTACCGAGGAAGAGACGGCGCGCTGGGTGGCAGGCAAGAGTGCGAGCTCACATGTATCGCTGGAGAAGGGAAGATAGGAAAAATGATAAGGTTATTGTTGATGCACGAATTTTAATATGATCCAAGGTGTTAAAAAGTGACCTTAAACGAGGGGTTATATTAAATGTGGTATAAGCATTCCACCTATGAAGATTAAATTGATTCCTCTAGATTTTGACTCCCTTTGATCTTAAATAAGTGACATTTGTACTATTAAAATTTAAAATTTAACCGCTTGTCTTTTCTAAGAAAAAAAAATATAAATACTCAATAATATATTCTGTTTTCGAAGTGCGTAGTGTTATAAATATAACCATACAATTTTAATTTATTATAATATAAATATTTAAAATAACTTGTAGTTAAAATAAGACAACCGTAGTTAACTGTGCAAATTTCCGAGGGAGTGAAAGAAAATTTTCTGTAAAATTCATGGGATGCATAGAAGAGGTTCCGAGAGGCCAAGGAGGAGAGAGCAGATGGAGCTGGGCTAGCCGACGCATGCATATGCATATTGTTGATCTGCAGAACGTTCAGCGCAGATCGGAGTGACCATGTGTCCATGTCGACATGTGGCTGTCTGATGTGGGCGAAGGGTCGACAGTGAGATACCAACCAACTGTCAGGCTTTTCTCCCCTTCGCCAGAACATGGTCACTAACCGAACGTGTACAAAATTTGAACACCGTATAAATCAAAATTAAACATGTGCGCATGCAGATGCAGTACGAATATGTGCACAATTCGGGTTCTAATTGAAGGCACTCAAGGAATTCGAAATGCAAGCATCGGAGGAGCATGTCACAAAGCAAAATTTGATCGGAATAAATAAGGGACATTTACAAATTTGCTACCGGTTTGCATGAACAGTTTCATGTTCTTTTTTGGTTAAGATATACTGTGGATTTTATCTTATTTGCCGTTAGCACGTTTTTTAAATTGTTAAACTATGTATTTAGTATGAAAACTTTTTATATAAAAAATGTTTTAAAATATTAAATAAAACTATTTTTAAGTTTATAATAATTAAAGCACAATTAATCATACACTAATTATTTTTCCCGTGTCCTTATTTAACCTTTATCATCAGTAGAAACGAACACCACCGTAGTAGCGACATGGATATACGTAGAGCAGACTGTACTTGTACACTCTGTATACGTACATGTATAAAGCATGGAGACAGATCTGTGAGGGGGGCAGAAGAGGGGGTTAGGTAAAGAGAGCTTTACACAAGAGGGACGAGCCATGGCGTAGAAGATAATGCCAGATCCATGGAAATTGGACTGGGATGTGATCAGCTCACTGATCATCAGTGGTCACTGCATGCAGTGCATGGCCCGCCCCAGGCCAAAAAGGGTACCTGCTACCTGCCAAGCCGAATGAGTACGTGCATGCAGCTATGATGCGCCTGGAGATATCCAAAGTTTTTCACCAACAAGGGGCAAGCAATGCTGCAACAAATAGCAAGATAGTTGAGGAGGAGATCGAAAGAGGGGGTTGGCTGATCTGGCTTTGTGTGGCTGGATCGTGTGTGCATGCAGTGTGCTGCATGTCCTTTGCCTAGCCAAGTCCGAATCCGAGGTTCTGATGATGTAAACGGGATGGAACTATAGATGTAAACGGGAGGGCATCCACAATGTAGCATTTTAACAGGTAATAAACTATAAATGTTCTCTTCTTACCCAATAGTAATCATTGTGAGACTAGTAAGTAGTTGCAACCTGGTAACACGGCTACACCCAAGTAACATGAATTAAACTATCTTGTATGCATAATGTTTCTGACAAAAGTCATGGAAATAAGTTACGATCAGAGACTGTCATCGGTGATTTTTTTCTGAAGCTGGCACCACCTTGTTTCCCACTAAAATGCTGATACGTTTGTGGAGTGCATGATTGTTTACTACTGCCTGTAGCCCTAGCCCACACCTTCGAATTTTCTATGGCATCATGCCTATACCGTAATCGTATCTCGCCATAATTGAATAGTTATCGGTTGAAATGGATCCGCGGTAGCGAAGATGGATGGATGGTTTTTGACATTTGCTATAGCACCGATGCTACTACATTTTGGAATACAAAATAACTAATCGGACACTATTGCTACAATAGTTCTTTCTTCAATAGTATTGTGCATTACACTATTATTGCAATAAAATTTATCGTGTAATCCATCCGTCCTATAAAAAACCCAATTTTACAGATGAATTTGGACATATCTCAGGATTATATTCTTTTCGAGACATGGAGTATAGTGTTAGTGTTGTGGATTGGTTTTACAAGATGCTACTACTTAGCTCCGTTCGGTGGAGCACTTTGGCTGTGCATAAGAGCGGCACCCAAAACGAAATGAATCTTTAGCGTGTGATTAATTAAATATTAATTATAACTTAACAAATGGATTTATTTGATTTCTTATGAAAACTTATATCTCGAATTTTTTTTAAAAAAAAACATATCGTTTAGCGGTTTGTGAAGCGTGCACGTAAAAAATCAAGTAGTCATTAGCAGAACCGAATGGGGCCTAATTTTGACCGTCTCTTCCCTTCAGAGTCAAGCTCCTCTTCTATTATGTCTTCGTCAATACTATTGTGGTTATCAAACCACACTTCACTTTATCGAAATTTTTTTTTGGTATCACAACATATGTTTTAATGTGTTTTTTTATTACTACATTATAGGATGTGATGGCTCAACTAGAGCAGCTACAAACTGCACCCTTGTTTCTGAACAAGACGATCACGGATTTCTCTTGAACAAGAAGTAGTAGGGTTTAGATGAAGAAGATAACCCAATGATGAATGGAATACAATAATCTCGATATCTTCGTAACATATAATTCAGTCCTAAAAAATTATCCTTCAAAATTTGTGTGTTTCAAAATTTAGCTAGCCACGCCTTCTTTGATATCATCAATTCATCATACCCCTCTCTACCTACCTCGGAGAACAAATTGCCTTAGAAAAAAAAAACACAAAGAGAAACCTAACCCTCGTTCTCCATCGTTGGTACTCGTTTCCTTTGCATGCACTGTAGACGCCGTTCTGCTCTGCTACTACACCCTGGTCTGGTTGGTTTTCTGTGCGGCGCCGCTACGATTCCTCCCCTCTCCCCCGCGAAAACGACTCCCCTGCACGGGCGCACCCCAACCCCAACCCCTCCCACCTCGCCACCTTTTTTCACCTTTTCCCGCGCCCCCGACCCCGACCCGACCCGCCCGCGTGCGCGCGCCCAACCGCAACATCCCTCGACCTGGTCCGCCCGCAGCCCAGTGTAACGAACTACTCTAGCCAATCGATCGATTGACCCGTCGTCCCTTCCATGCTAAGTCACCTCTCCCCCCCGGCCCCACCTGTCAGTCCCCAACCCATACTTAAGTACTCCCCCCACACAAACCCCCCGGAGGAAAACACACCCACGCCGCCGCCGCCGCCGCCGCCGCGACGAGGAGGCGATCGAGAGGCAGCCATGGGGGCTCCCCGCGCGCGGCGGTGGAAGCTGCTGCTCCCGCCCTTCCACTCCGCCAAGCGCAAGCCGCCGCTGCCGCCCCCTCCGCCGGCGCCAGTGGCTGTGGCTCCGGCCCCGGGGAAGGAGGAGGAGGAGGAGGTGATGCCGGAGGAGTTCCTGTGCCCGATCTCGGGGGCACCCATGGCCGACCCGGTCATCCTGCCGCCGGGGAGGACGTACGAGCGCGCCTGCGTCGACGCGTGCGCGGGCCTCTCGCTCTGCCCGCCCGGCGCCTCGGCGGCAACGGCGGCCGCGATACCCAACGACGCGCTCAGGGCGGCCATACGGACGTGGTGCGCGCGGCACGGGCGCGCGCCGCCTGCGCCGCCTTCCGCCGCGGAGGCGCGGGAGGCGGCGCTCCTCCGCGCGGTGCCTGCGGCTGCGGCGAGGACAACGACGGTGGCGGCGATGGTGCCCGCGAGGTCGTCGTCCAACCTGTCGTGCTCCTCCCGGGCGTCCGCCGCGTCCACGTCTTCGTCCGGGTCGTCGTCGGAGATGGCTACGGTGGAGGTCCCGCGCGCGAAGGAGGTGGCGGAGTTGCGGGTCGCTGAAGCGGAGGAGGAGATGGAGAAGGAGAAGGAGGTGGCGGTGTTGCGTGTCGCTGAAGCGGAGGAGGAGAAGGAGGTGGCGGTGCTGCGGGTCGCTGAAGCGAAGGAGGAGGAGGAGGAGGTGGTGATGGTGGTGGCGAAGGTGGTAGAGAAAGGGGACGAGGATCAGGTGGAGGCGGCCATGGCGGTGCTGCTGCGGGAGACGCGGGAGAGCGAGGAGAGGAGGCGAGCGCTCTGCGTGCCGCGGCTACTCGCCGCGCTTCGCCGCGTGCTGCACTCCAAGCGGCACACACCCAAGGCGCACGCCGACGCCGCCGCGGCGCTGGCCAACCTCACCAACGAGCCGGAGAACAGGATCCCCATCGTCCGCGCGGGCGCCGTTACGGCGCTCGTCGAGGTGCTCTCCTTGGGCACCGCATCACCGGAGGCCTGCGAGCACGCGGCCGGCGCGCTCTTCGGCCTCGCGCTGGACGAGGAGAACCGCGCCGCCATCGGCGTTCTCGGCGCCGTCCAGCCACTACTCGACCTCTTCACATCCCGAGACCACGCCCCGCGCGCGCGCCGCGACGCCGGCATGGCGCTGTATCACCTCTCCCTCTCCGCCGTGAACCAATCCAAGCTCGCCCGCGCCCCGGCCGCGGCCAAGAACCTGCTCTCCATCGCGTCGGACTCCACCACAGCCGAGCCCATGCCCATCCGCCGGCTGGCGCTCATGGTGATCTGCAACCTGGCCAAGTGCGCGGAAGGCCGGGCCGCGCTGATGGACACGGGCGCCGTGGCGACGGTCTCCGCCATCCTCTCCGACGACACCCACCGCTCCGAGCTGGAGGAGCTCTGCGTCGTGGCATTGTTCGGCATGAGCAGGGGGAACCCGCGGTTCCGGGGGCTCGCCAGAGCGGCCGGCGCGGACCGACCCCTCATCCTCATCTCCGAGCGAGCGCCCGCCGGCGCGCACAAGGAGATGGCGCGGAAGGCGCTGCGCGTCGTGCTCGGCCTGGGCGACGACAGCGAGCGCGACCTGCCGGACTTCATGAACAGTGCACGCAACGTCAACGGCATCGCCGGTTCATCCGTGCCGGTCCATCGCCGGCGCGCCGCGAGCTGGGCGGCGGCTCCTCCTGCCCAGACACCACCGAATGCCCATCAATGGCGATCAGTATGCATCGATTGAAATTCGCTTCTTGAGCTAAAAAAAAAAACTCTCTGCTCATCAGAGTGTTGAACCATGCTGTGTTCTCATTTCATTTTCGCGTAATTGCTTGGTGATTTGTCACTTTGGATGGCTGGGTTTAAACTTACTAGAGACTGATTGTGAGTTGTTGGAATCTGGTGCATATAGGAGTAGTATGTGTGTGTCTGCACTCTGTACTGCTAATTTGTTCTATTATGTCAGACAATGTGTACATAGGTGTCAATGTCTCTAGTGTTCATTTACTAGTTGTTGCTTGCAAGTTTGTGCATGTCCTTCTCTGCATAATTGCAATCTTGAATCTTGATTTCTTGTATATAGTGAATATACTGTAGTAATGTCAAAGCATAAGCATAATTTAAGACTAAACCCTCCCTAGTAATAGAATGCCAAAGAAGATTATTTTTAGGTTGGTGTGAGCTGACAGTTGATGAATCCTGGATCATCTGGTATAAAAGGAAGTGCTTGTCTAGATTGCTTGTCTGCTGAGCAGACTCCAACCATAAACAAGCTTTGCTTATTAGTAAGGTGGCTGGACTGGACCCAAATGTGCCATTGCATTGCTTTGTTTTGGATGCAAGATTTGGCTGCTGCTTTGATTGGCTTCTTCCAGTGACAGTGAGAGTACAATGGCTCAAAAATCATTTTATAACACATGACCCTGAAGAGTGAAGACACTACAAGAGATAAACTGATGTCTGCAAAGGATTATGTTAATTAATTGGAGTCTGGATTGATAAGAGGAAAGCGTCCTATTATAAGAGAGCTGTCCAATAGATGTACAAAGTGCTTAGTGATAATTGACAGATCATTTGGATCAATTGGAAATGGCCATGCGAGCTGTAAAGGGGGAGGATGGGCTGCCTGGAACACTGTTTGGCCAGCCATGGCTGTTTTTCATCTTTCTTTTTGAAAAACAATATTCGTTCGAGATTTTTTTATTTATTTTCTATTCAAGCTTTCAAAGTTTAATTAGTTGTTTTTGTGTGTGCCAACTGAGAGAAATTCTAAACAATGTGTATATGGGAAGCTTCCTGCAAAGTCGGCATCAAACTGGATTTCTTTGCCGTTTGGAAGGAGTTCTTGGGCACCTGTTTCTTTGCCGTTTGTTAATGCAGAGGCTAGCAGTACTTCCATAGTTTAATTGCGGATTTTTTTCAAAGAAGAAGAAGAAGAAGAAGAAGAAGATTTTTTTCCATTACTCTTCCAGTCCTTCATAAACCATAATGAATATTTTGATTGCGCCGTGCATGTACCAAGTCGAGTTGTAACTACAGGAATCAGAACGCGAAATGAACACGTTATGCCTTAATAAAATGACGATAGGACACATCAGAAATGGGAAGGTCTTTCATGAACAGCTGGAGTCAGTTTAAATCAAGGTTACACTGTTATCCTTCCTAGCAGGCCAATGGAACTAGCAAGTCGTGGGCTAATTCAACACACTTACTAACTGGGCTAATTCAACATTTAGATAATTATATTGTCATAGGGCTTTTTAAGATTATACCTATTGTTAACCTTATCAAACTATTGGTAAACCAAAAAATTGGCAATGCTAAGTTTTTGGCAAGCTAGGTTTGTTGTTTAGCCTTTTCAAAATTTTGGGTACAAACCAAATGAACCTAAGATGCTTTTCATTATCCTTTTGTTTTTTTTGGCATGGTTTATTTTGCAATCAACCAAACACGCCCACACTTTTTTTTGTGCGAATTTGATTAGTTTTGCAAATTATAAACTGTTGATGGTGTGTGGTCGGTTCTTCCTTTTCGCCTCTCGAAAATTGATACGGCTCGTATGCAGTCCTTAGTGTGAAGACGGTAGCTTAATTTTGTATATATTATTAAAGTTTCATAAAAATATGTGCGTATAACATACGAACCTCAAATACTTGAACACCGTGGCAAGAAAGCAGACAATTCAGAAACAAGGTGAAGCGAAGTTTGATAAAGTGTGGCCGTAAGAACGTGGAATCTAACTACGAATCTTAGAGCACACCTAACGTCAGATTTTAAGGGGGAAATTGCTATGCATACCGTCCAACTCAGTGCGACTGAGTATGATCAACGGTTGTAAATGGTTGGAGTGTATATGAACATACTTTTATTTAATTGATCTATGGTGTATTTCTCTAGTTGTATATGAGTTGTACAAACTGAGCAGTATGTAAAACAGTACTTTTAAAAGGTCATGGAAGAGATAGAAGATGACGAGATCAATCCTATACATTACACAACTTTTGCTAGCCAGTCCAAAGAATAGGCATCAAGCATAGCAATAGGTTACAAAAGGAGAGAGAATACCCCACACTCATCAAATAACAAATTCTCATACTCTTGACCTACAGCTTATCATCTTCGATTCTCTTTTATTTCATAATTTAAAATGAGATTTTCTCCGGTCCAACAAAAAGTACCTCGAGGTACCGGTACCCCACAGTACCAAATCGTTTCTGATCGTTCAATCTAATTGGGCAGGATTTGGTACCGTGAGGTACCGGTACCTCGAGATATTTTTTGTTGGACCGGAGCAAATCTCATTTAAAATAGGTATGCCCATCTATAGGATCAATGGTGGATTCTACCAATTGCTACCACACAAGTGGATCCCACCTTACATCCCTTCACGAATTATACCATGCATATTTGCCAACTCATGGATGCCCATTTACCCACAACATTCTATTGAATGCATATTTCTCATAGTGTCGAGTCTATATTAGGTGCAAAACTATAATCTAGATGAACTAGCATATGTCGGTGATATCTCTTGGTCGATTTATTTGTATTTCTGTCATGATTATGATGGTAGTAAATATGTAAGCTAGAATTGACCACAAGCTTGTACTTCCGGCATGTATTTGGCTAAAGAGGCGAGATAAACACGAACTCATTTTTTTAGAGTGTTTGGTTTGAGGAGGACTAGTGGGGTGGTTTTTTGAAATTTTGACCAAATCATCCCTAAGCATCTAGAATTTCAAATTGACGCGAAGTGAAGGTAACTTAACTGGTTATGTTTCCTGTGATGTAACTAGCTCACTTAGGTGTAAGTTATAGATTTATTCCGAAGATACTCATAAAATATGGTATATACGTTTGAATTATGCCTTTGAATTAAATAAATAAACAAATTCCAAATTGACTTTTAGGCTGACGCGGAGCCCATCCGGCCCAAATCAAGCGTGGAACACTCGATGACTCGAACCATCCCCACTTCCCTCCTCCCAAATCCCGTGCTCTCCTCCTCTCCCCAACGGTCGAGAGGGGCAATTCCGTCCCGCTCCACCGCCATCCCCCGACCATTTTCAAAATCGCGCATCCACCGCCGCTCGACCAAAAAAAATTCCCCAATTCCCCAACTCGATCCGCTCAAAATCGCGCATCCAAACCCTCGCCCTCCTCCTCGCCGCCGCCGCCGCCGCCGACGACGACCATCCCACCGACCGCGCGCGCGCGAGGGGGCTCTACTACCACCGGCGATGCGGCGGGACGACGCCGCTGGCGGAGGCGGCGGGGGGTTCCAGGAGCTGTTCGACTCGGTGCGCCGCTCCATCTCCTTCCGCCCCGGGGGCAGCGCCGCCGCCGCGGCCGCCGCCCTCGACGAGCCCGCCTCGGCTTCCGGCGGTGGGGGGTTCAGGGGGCGGATCAGCACGTGCCTCCGCAAGTCCAGGGGGATGGGGCTGCTCGGGATGGTGGCCTCCAAGAGCCCCTCACCCCCGCGCCGCCGCCTCCTTCCCCCGCCGCGTTCGCCGCCGCCCGCGCCAACGAAGTCTCTCTCGCCACAGCCTGCGGTGGTGTCCCAAGGGGGAGGCGGTGCGGGTGGAGTCGGAGGAGGGGAGGAGGAGGAGGCGAACCCGCCGATCCGGTGGCGGAAGGGCGATCTCCTCGGGAGCGGCGCGTTCGGGTCGGTGTTCCTCGGCATGGATCTTGATTCCGGCGAGCTCCTCGCCGTAAAGCAGGTCAGGAGGCCTCTTCCAAGATGCTGATGCTTCAAGTTTCGAGCGACGGCCGATTTGGTCTGGTTTCATCAGCCTTCTGCTCTTTCTGGTTGCAGGTTTTGATCGGGAGCAGCAACGCAACGAGGGAGAAGGCCCAGGTGAGTGGCTTTGCTCAATTACTTGTTTATCTTTGTTTTCCTGGCCAATTGTGCCATTGAAATAGTCTTCTTTAACCTCCTCTAAGCTCTAAGTGTTCGTAATTGGATTTTTTTTTATTAGGGGCACATAAGGGAGCTTGAGGACGAAGTGAAGCTACTCAAGAACCTCTCACACCCCAACATTGTTGTGAGTAATGCTAAATAACCACATATGTTTTGTTCTTCAATTCAGTGGTGGTGTTTGATCTATCTGGTGTGCTTTGAGCAGCGATATATTGGAACGGTGCGGGAGGAGAACTCGTTAAATATTCTGCTGGAGTTTGTGCCAGGAGGATCGATCCAGTCACTCCTCGGGAGGCTCGGATCATTCCCTGAGGCTGTAAGCACTAACTGTTATGTTCATCCTGTCTTCGGTAGTTTGGTTAATCACAAAAGAATCGTGTTGATTGAATGCATTTATTTATCAGGTCATCAGGAAATACACGAAACAGATTTTGCATGGCCTGGAGTATTTACATCGCAATGGAATCATACACAGGGACATAAAGGCATGAAGAGTATTCGAATTCCGAATTTTGTTGCCTTGAATGCTTTTGTTGCGTGGGTTCTAAATTTGTAATGTGGGATTACTGTTTTTTCCTATATTCAGGGAGCAAATATACTTGTTGATAATAAAGGATGCATTAAGTTAGCAGACTTTGGGGCCTCCAAGCAAGTGGAGAAGTTGGTGAGTAGATGGACTAATTGTTTTAATTTCGTTTGATCATTTGTTCAACTATGTATTGGCTCTAAAGTTAACATTATAGATGCCAGGTTTATCTTGCATTTCCTTTTATCCATAGCATGCTAGTGTTTCGCTTAAAGGTGAAAAGGTAGAAGACTGGAACTCACTTCATCACTGCATAGGACAGGGTTCTGTTGCTTGTTGTGTGTTTAAATGCAGGATCATCCCTACTGTTACGTTCCACATGTTTATATTTTTCTTTCACATGCTATTACCTTTTCAGGCGACCACTGCCAAGACAATGAAAGGGACACCATATTGGATGGCCCCAGAAGTAATTGTTGGGAGTGGGCATGACTTGTAAGTGGACAAGCTCTTTATCTCATCATTATAGTTAACTGCTCGTTGCTCGATCCTTAGTGATGCTTGTGGTCCTCTGACTCTCTTATTTCTTTAAGAATAAGAATATCCGTGAACTAATGTTTTGGCTAATCATGCCACCAAATGACTTATTTTGTGAAAAATATCTTAAAGGACAAAAAAAATATCCTATGAAAAAAATGGGATGGTACAATTAGCTGATTATCTTTTCTGGCCCCGATGCCCCATTTATAGTTGCCATTTCATTGGTGATAAAATTTCACCAAGCTTGCTGTTCGATACCATATCCAGAAACTATATGATGGTTTTGTTTCTTGAATTAATCCTTGTCATCTAACTATCTTTGCAGTTCAGCTGATATCTGGAGTGTCGGATGCACTGTAATTGAAATGGCAACTGGTAAAACTCCATGGAATCAGGAAATTCAAGAGGTAAATTTTGGCATCAGCATTTAACAAGAAACTTATAAGCATAGCTTATTCTTGACAATCACTATTTCAGGTTTCTCTTCTGTATTATGTTGGGACAACAAAGTCACACCCACCGATACCAGAGCATCTTTCCCCAGAAGCCAAGGATTTTCTGTTGAAATGCTTACAGAAGTATGACTACAATCACACTTTTGAATAGATGTTGATTATTGCAGCAAAATTGACAATGGGACCTATAAAAGTTTAAAGTTTAACTTAAGATCAGCACTTCTATTCTTGAGAATTTTCACCACAAAGAAGTGGAAAAATCGATTCAGACAATCTAGTAAGAGAAACTGAGAAATAGTTTGGTTGTGCTAACTCAGTTTTTCCGCATAGCTGTTGTTAAACATTGAGCACTCTTATGCGCTGTGAGTCACACCTAGAATTACATGTGTGGAAATAAATTACTCTCTCTGTATTCGAAGTTTTGAAAATTGAAGGTGACATCCATTTGATAATGAACTGCATTACATGCATCCTAACAGCGCGATAGCTTTATATATTCTTGTGGTAGCCTACTTCCAGTGAGCCACGTTTATGTACAACTTTGTGCTCCATGTATTTCAGTATGAATAGTTTCATTTCTTTCCATTGTTATTACCTGATTACATAATAAGAATAACGAATTCTAGATTTGTTTGTGTAACTTGTGCTGTTTGCCTGATTCCTATCTTCTTCACACTCCGTGATTTTTGTCTGTGTAGTTTTGTATATGCGTTTCCAATTAACAGCTACAATTCAGTGGCATTTGTTGTGTAATTATCATTTGTAAAGTTTATCTAGAAATGATGAGAATCAAGCTTCAAATGGCACATTTTCCTGCATTTGGATATTATAATTAGTAAATGTCACTTCATTGCCTTCAGCATTTTGTTACTCCTTTCAGGGAACCAGAACTGAGATCTACTGCATCAGACTTATTGCTGGTATAATAAACTCTCTCTCTCTCTCTCTCGGCATTTTAGCTGTTGGGGAAGTCCTCTGGCTGTAAGGATATGTTATGTACTTTGTGAAGAGTAATACCTTAAAACATTTTTTTTCCAGCACCCATTTGTTACAGGAGGATTGGAAGATCTTCACCAGGTTAATCATGCAACACACAAGGTTGGATTACAATAAATCTTTTTACTTGTCTATTTATCCCAAAATGTTACTCTAAGAAAATGATGTACTCACAGGAAACCTCTGAGCTTCCGGCATACGATATGCCAACTGGTGACCTGTAAGTACCTTGCAATCTTGAGCCAGGCAGATCGTTCATCTTCAGTTTGATTGAACAAATTCTTCAACTTGTAGGGGCTTGAATCATTCTGGCAACCCAAGTAACTTGAATTCCTATAAGTCATCAGACATGAGACCAATATGGGATGGGCACAGCAGTGATGACATGTGTCAGTTTGCTGAAAATGACGTGGTAATGGTTGGATCGGTAAGTATCCATACCTATTCCTGACTACTTTAGCCTTATGTTTTAGTTCATACACAAGTCACATAACAAATCTACACGGTATACTTATAGTTACGTAATGTCATTTCCAGAGCTTCAACCCTATGTCTGAACCATTTGATGACTGGGAAAGCCCAGAACAAAGATCTAGTCAATCAAGGGAATTTGGAGGATTAGCCAAACATGTTGAAAATAACATGTCTGAAAATGATTTTACTTTCCCATGTGAGGGAGGCTGTGAAGAGGATGATGAACTCACAGAATCAAAAATAAAGGAATTTCTGGATGAAAAGGTATTTTTCATGCTTTGAGGCAGCAATCCCTTCTGTTGCATGTCCAGTTGTTCTTAATCTACTATTGTTTACTTTTGCACTTAACAGGCCATAGATCTAAAGAAACTACAGACACCTTTGTATGAGTTCTACAACACAGTAAATGCTGGACTTTCTCAAGGAGTTGGTGAAACTTGCCAAGTAGACAACATTACTGATTTGCAATTGCCCCTTCAAGGAAGATCACCTCCAATTCAGATGGAGGGAGTTGCAGCAGTAGGACCAACCAGCGATATTCTGAAGAGTGCCAGTCCAAAGAGCTGCACTAGGCGTTTCTCAAGAAGCGGTGTGGAGAATGGTCGAATTTTAAGAGAAATTGCTTCGCCTCAACTCAATAAGTTTGAGGACAAGGTCCACGATATTCAAGACAATCCCAGGTTTGTTTGGAGTAGATTGCTTTGGATATGAAATTATACATGAGACAGCTATCACTTTACAGTTATGCTACAAAAGACTGAATTCACTTATTCTCTTGCAAAAGTGCTTACCTTTAGGTCAATTTAATTATGGTGTTTTCACTCCTGTGAGTTATTTACCTGTTATTTTTTTTTCAGCATTAGCTTTTCTGAAAGACAGAAGAAGTGGAAAGAAGAGTTAGACCAAGAACTTGAGATCGGGAGAGGTAAATGAAAAGCTTTTTCCTCTCAATATTAACATGAATTATCAGTGACTTACAGATGCTTATCTTGCTCATTCCATTTGTGAACTCCAATAGTGATGAGGTTGGGTAGCTTCGGTAAAGCGCCATCACCAAAGAGCCGAGGCATGACCAGGAAACGGGATCGCGTCTACTGAATGGAAACGAGAATTGTCATCTGGCAGGACTAATGGTGACTTGACTACAACTGTACAATGTCAGCGATTGGTGGCCATACCAGTACAGTGCACTGCCTCGCCACTCGTGTGACCTAACAAAAATTTTCATAGCTGCCAAATCCTTTTGGTGCTCATTTGAGTTTGATATGAAGGCTATTCCAGGTGGGCATTTGGATTTGAAGCCAGGCTGTCACGATTTGCCCACAGGGGAACAGTTTACTGGCTGTTTCGCCTACAATATGCAGCTTTATGTTAACGATGCCTTGGCGATTTTGGGAGCCCTCCAAGTGTGGCAGGATGGCTTATGCGCAGAAGGAATAGTTGTACTTTTATTTTTTTTCCCTTTCTCTTCGTTGTTTTTGTAAGAAAGATACTCCAAGAGCTTGCCGTTTGCGAGCATGTAATAAGCAATGTAATGCTGAGTGTGTTATCATCGAGAATGTAGTATGCGTTTTGCAGTTCTTGACTCAAATTTGTGGGGGTTTTATATTTCGCTCAACTTACATAACAGTATGCTGCAATTGATTTTTTTCCCCCAACAAATAACAACACACATTGTATTCATCATACTGTTGCATTTATTTGAAACAGCTGACAAGCGATGCTACACTTCCAAAATCCAAACTAGGCGAAACTGTACATGAAGCAATGTACAGAAAATAGACAGCATCAGCTAATTTTGGATTGCACGAGAACATCTACGTTAGTTCAACTTTCGGTTTGTGGTGTGCGTGTTGCATAGTAACTGTACTGATTTAATTTATGTTACCTCAGTATGAGATTTAAGTGGAGATTATCCAAGCAATCAAAGGTCCTAATGCTATTGTTCTTCATTAGCTGCTACATAGTTCATTATCCACAACACATCGTTGGGCATCGCATGTACAAGAAATTGTCACTAATCATTCATTTGCTTGCACATATTACCACTATGAAGAATGAAGATGCAACAAACAGACATAGGATGCAACATGACAGCTTCATCGCTTCACACTTCGATCTGGAATGCATAATGAGAAAAGTGCAAGGCTAACGGTATCTGCAAACTGAAGACATAGATCATTGAGAAAACTGAAGAACTAGATCTGCTTCACAGTTCGGTCTGAAATGCAGAATGAATAATGCAGGACCTACAGTATCTGCAAACTGAAGAAGTAGATCATTGAGAAAACTGAAGAACTAGACCTGCTTCACAATTCGATCTGGAATGCCGAATGAAAAAAATGCAGGACCAACGGTATCTGCAAACTGAAGAACTAGATCACTGAACAAAAGTATATCTTCCATGCACCCAGCATCTTCCCCGATTCCCAGAACACAAGTTTGCAACAGCGTGACCAACATGCAATTGCAATGTCTTTGCCAAAAGCATGAGGCCATGGCCCATAACTACGAGTCGAGAATAAAATAGCTCCCATGGCCCATAAGTACTATGTCTAAAGAAGCCATCAAAGAGAAACCTAACTAGACAACCAAAATAAGCCTAATTTGCTCTAGCAACTAAGTTACCAACATGCCTATCATCCTTGAGCATTCCCTTGTGGTTTCTACATCCAAAATAAGCTGAAGTTAGGTAATGCAAAGCTCAGGAGACCCAGCTCATCCTCTGCAATCCCTGGCGATGTGCCCCGGCTCGCCGCAGTTGTAGCACGGCCCGCGATCGTATCGCCTCTTCCGTTTCGGGCTCCGGTGATCTTCATCTGGGTAGTCTCCTCCTCCTTGGTCGTCGTCGTCTTCCTTGTCCTGAGTGTGCTCGCCACGGCGAATTTCGCCGCACAAACGCATCCTCTCTTCAAGTCGAGCCGTGTCCCAGATGTGGTCCATGGATGGAGGGTCCGGGTACGGCGGCGACGCGAGAGCGATGGCCTTCACCAGAGCCGGCGGGAGCTTCTGGTGCACCAGGCCGTACATTGTACGGTCATCGAGCTTGCCGGCGACGCCCATGGCCTCCAGGTGCGCGAGCTGCTCCAGGACGGGCTCGCCGTCCACGAACCTGTATGCGAAGAAGCGGTCCAGCGGCAAGTTGGGCAACTTGCCGTCCATGTCGTAGGTGCGCGCCAGGGCGCGCCACGCGGCCGCGGCGGTGGCGTGGTGCGCGTAGTCCGGCAGGAGGCGGTCGGAGAGCGTGGCGAGGATGTGGCCGCGGCAGAGCTCGTCGTCGCGCGCCCGCTTCTTCTTGGCAGAATCACTCCTCCCGTCCTCTGGCTGGTGCTCGGACAGCACGTAGGCCAAGTCGAGGGTGCGGAGGCGGAGCAGCACGGACTCCTTCCACCGGAGGTACCCGCCGCCGCCGTCAAGCGGGGCCACGGGGAGCAGCGGCGCTGGAGTCGGCGACGACATCATCGCCCGCGGTCGCGCAGCAACACCTGGACAGGCAGGCAGGACAGGAGGGATCCTTTTGCTTTCGTGATCATTTTCACAAACAGTTGGCGTGCAGCCCAACTGCGAACAAGTGATTAAAAGAACAAAGATAAGGTGGTCGACGTCAGCTACGGTGGTGCGGCGCGGTGACATACCTCAGGTCTCGCAGATCGACGGCGCTGCGGCGGCCTTCCCGTCGATCGGCGGCTTTCCTCGTCGGCGCCGGTGGGAGGAGGCGGCTTCCTGGACTTATGTGGATCGGTGGTGGAAGGAGGCTTCTCTTTCACGAATCACATGCCAATGATTTTTAATTTTTCAAATAATATTCTTTTGAATTGAATTCAAGAAACTTTCATATGTACTCTCTCCGTCCAAAAAACGAATCTAGTACTGGACGGTCTCACGAAAAACAAATCATATTCTAATTTAACAAATCTGGACATGGACATGGATTATTTTGCACCGCCAAATCATAAATTTCTAATCATGCTAAACCGTAAAATTATTTCAATTAAATTTTATAAACTATATACCCTTTGTAATCTACTACTACTTAAAAAATAAAGATGTTTCCTTCGTCCGTCTAAATAAAAAATAGCGAAAAAACAAAAAACAATTAAGAGAAAACAAAAAAAACCGGAGAAAAAATATAGAAAAAAACAAAAAAAAAATCCGATTCCCCTTAAAGACAAGGAAAACCAAAAAAAAAAGTCCGATTCCTATGGCAAGGCGGAAAAAAACATGTCCGATTCATATGAAAAAAAGTGGCGAAAAAAAAGTAGATCCGATTTCCTTAAAAGTTGGAAAAAAAAATCATATTCCTATATTATCCTATTTCCACGTACAGTTGTTTGTTTTTCTTCTTTTTTCGTTTCTTTTCCGTTTTTTCTTTCCCCTTTTTTTTCTTTTTTCTTTTTTATTTCTTAATATTACATCTATATTTTAATGTATGACGCCGTTGACTTTGTGTCCAACGTTTGACCATTCGTCTTATTAAAAAAATTTATGTAATTGCCATTTATTTTATTGTGACTTGATTCATTATCAAATGTTTTTTAAGCATAACATATATATTTCTATATTTGCAAAATAATTTAAATAAAACGAATGGTCAAACGTTAGTAAAAAAAGTCAACGGCGTCATACATTAAAATACGGAGGGAGTACTATGTATGTATATAAACTTTATATACACGTATACAAACTTTATATATTGTATATTTTTTCTTTTTTATACGTACGTATATAAGCTTTGTATACTTCTCTATCTTCACTATTAAAAAATTCACATTAAAAAGTCTGTCCGATTCCTCAGAAAGTGGCAAAAAAAATGGTTCGTAAAAAATAAAAGAACAAAGGAGAAGAAAAGTACGAAGGACGAAAAAAAGCACGGCAAAAAAAGTCCAATTTCTTTTAGTTTTTATTCCCTATATATCTCTTCTCTATCTCTAATCTAATATAATCTAAAAGAGAAGTTTTCACTGTACAACTAAAAAGAAAAAAATACGAGAGAAAATAAAAACTGTTAAAAAAGCGTGAGAAAAAAAAAGCAAAAAAACGCGTGAGAACAAAATCAGAAAAAAAAAGGCTAAAAAAGGTTTCCGTCGTCCGTAAAAAATAAAAAAGAAACATGCGAGAAAAAAACGGTTAGAAAAAGCACGCCATTTCTAAAAAATGGTTTGAAAAATCCTCGCACAAAAAGCACCGCTTGTAAAAAACAAGCTGCTCTGAAATTGATAGGCGCTTGAGTCGGATAGGATCAATCGATTTTTTTTCATCTTCTACGCGGCTTTTGTTTCGTCATCTATTATCAAATATAGCTAATATTCCTGATAACATATGATATAGAAATTATATTAAAAAACAAACATATTTTTAATTGTTATTTAGAGAAGAGTACATAGTGACTCTATTTTGTGTAGACTTGACCATGCGAGGCAATGTAGGATTTGATTGATCCTATTATTGGTAGCAAGAATGAGATCAAAAGAGTATTTTAGATTTTATATATATATATATATATATATATATATATATAAAATCTTCCTTGAACAATAGGAACTACTATATATTATACAAGGTAGGCTAAAGGAACTACTACTAAGAAAGATGGAATGGAGGGTGAGAGCACGCTTGGAAGCTTTGCTCTGAATGGTGTCTTCGTGGTTCTGTGTCCCCGGAGTGAAGGCCAACGTCTCTTTTTATAGAGGCCAGGGATGGCGTCGCCTGTGCCTCCTGCTTATCTCTTCGCTACTGTATCTTCACGGGAGCTGGCTAAAGTCGAGGCCTTTCCACCGAAAGTTTTATTCTTCACAGGGATATGTCATTCACCGCACCCTATATTGTCCCCTTATACTTTATAGGGTGTCCTTCTGGATTCTTTCTTGGGTAGTCTTCTGAATTTCTTTTATTCTTTTATTCTTCTTCCACGCCCAAATTGTTGATATTCTATTATCAATATATATTGAAAAACATATTTAGCTTATATCAATTTATTCATCTGGTTGCCCATGGCCACCAAGATCCATTGTGTCCAAATCAGAAAAAGAAACTTCTAATTTCTCATCTACTGCTTTTTTTATTTGCTCAAATTTCTGATCCATTTCTTGTTTTAATTCTTTAAGTATTTCTTCCTTCAATTTCTTCTTTAATTGTGGGGAGGCTTCTTCAAATTTTTCTATTATCTTCCAATCAATATATTCCCCATCTAATGGATCCACTCCTTTTGTTAAGCATTCCTTGTATGTGGGTTTTTTAAAAAACCCTTCTTCTTTTATAGTCATCTTAATGGGTATTTCTGAAGTCTTCTTTCCTTTAGCTTTTTTGCATTTTTGAATATATTCTTTTGCAGCAGGCTCTAGATAATAATTTATTCCTAATATTTTTCTAGCTTGGCTTAATGCTTCATCAATATCCTTATATTTCTTCCAAGATATTCCTCCCATTAATTTAGCATCTATTTTTTGAGCCACAATTTCTTCAAAAGAAATGTAGACCCCAGGGAGCTTTCCATCAAATACTACATATATAGGCTTCTGTTGGATTACTTCATGATCTTCATTGGCAGGCATTAATGACCCATTTATTAGGTGAAAATATTTAGAGAGGCTATTCAATATTGATAACATATACCCTTTTTCTTCCCTTTTATTATTGTATTAGTACCAGAAATTATCCAAGATGCACTCTTGAACTTCATCTAGGATTATATGGTCCTTTGGCTTAAATTTATATGAATTTGGTGGGAATATTCTGAGTTTGTTGTCATCTCCAAATGTGAAGCACTCGACTCCGGCGTAATTCATTGATCTTTTCATACCTGAAATATGGGTAAACGAGAAAGCATGTCAGGTAAACTATTATCTTTCCCCTTAATATGTTCAAATATAACTCTATAACCATTTCCTGTAATAATATCTTCAAATAAAATCCATCTTCTAGTTGAGCTTTTCTTGCTATTAAGCTGGTTATAGTATCTACAGATGGCTTCACAATCGGTTTTAACCGTGAATTCTTTAAACCCTAGGTATAACCTAAAGGCATTGATTGCATTGATAATTGCCATGATCTCTCTATCTGTATTATTGACAGTTTTTAATTTATAACTTCCAGAAGCATACCTACATATTTTTTCTTCTGATTTAGCGGAAAATTTAGTAGGTCTTTGCTTTAATATAGCACCCCAACCTTGTTGTGATGCATCGGTTTCAATGATGAAGTAACTTTCTTCTAATGGTAATTCTAGAGGTTTTAGTTCTTTCACTTTTTCTTTTATTAATCTTACTAATTTAATGTCTTCAGAATTAAAATATTTCTGACCATTTTTTCTTAATTTAGCGTATAAAGGTCCTGCTAGCTTTGCTAAATTGTTGATGTGATTTCTAGCATAATTTACAAGTCCTAGGAATTGCTGTAATTTCTTTTTGTCATTCATAGCATCAGGAAATTGTAAAATTTTCTTAGCAATATGTTCTTCCAAATGAATTTTGCCTTCTCCTATTTCATGTCCAAGGAAGTTAACTTTTTCTTTGCATATCTCCATCTTCTTTTTTGATAGGATTAAACCATTTTGCTCAACCTTTCTAAAAAATAATTCTAGGTGAGCAATATGATCCTTATAAGTTTTTGAAAATATTAACAAGTCATCTATATATACTAACACAAATTCTTGATTATCGTTAAAAATGTTTTGCATTTTTCTTTGAAATAGGGCAGGTGCGTTTTTTAATCCTAGTGGCATCACTAGCCATTCATAGTGTCCCTGGGAACAGGTGATTGCAGTCCATTCTATAGACTCTTCTGCCATTTTTACTTGCCAAAATCCAGCTTTTAAGTCAAATTTCGAGAAATATTTGCTACCTTGTATCCTATTAATCCATTCTTGCTTATTTGGGATATTATAGGCATCTTCTATAGTATTATCATTTAGCTTTTTATAATTTATGACCATCCTAGATTTACCTCTAACTTCTTCCGCATGATTTCTTACTATAAATGCTGCAGACCTATGTGGACTTCTACTCTCTCTTATTGCTCCTAGTTTCAGCAGTTCTTCTATATCTTTTGGAGTTGCTTCTATTGGGCTGGTCTTAATAATATATTCTGGGTTTATTATATTAATTTTACACTCGATAGCGTTTTTCTCCCAATATTTCATAGGAATTTCTCCTATAATTTGGATATCCTCTAATCTTTGAACAATTTTTTCTATATCCTTTTTAGACTTAATATCCCTATACCAATTTGGTGCAAATGCTTGTAATCCTATGCACTCTATATTGGAATTTGATATATAATAGATGTCTATATTCTCACTAAGTTCATATTCATTAATTCTTTCTTCAGACTCAAGGTTGAGTGCTTCAAGGTTGTCGGGTTTGATTCTGACTCCACCACGCTTTCGTACCTCTGAGATATATGGCACATTGTTTTGATATGGGATAAAAGTAATTCCCTGCTCATGTATTACTGTGGTTTGTACCGATTGTTGTAAAAACCTTAGGCCAATTATCATGTCATCACTTATCATGGATAAGTTTCTTATTGTAATCTCATCTATTATATATTTAGTTCCATTAATGTATACTTCAACATTATGAGCTAACTGATTATGAATTTTCTTTATTCCGGACATGTCTGTAGGGACTTCTGCCTTATTATCATCAATTGTATGAACTATCTCTGGACATTTTATGAAGTACTTATCATGAATAATATTTTTTGTACACCCAGTGTCTACTAGTGCTAGAATTTTATATGATACCTTGGGTGATAGTTTTACTTTTACCGGTATTCTTATTCCCAAAATTTCTTTGAAAGGCAATTTTACTATATATTTATTTCCAAAATTAGTTATGGCATCTTTTAGTTGAATTATTTTAGCAATATTACTGTCTTTTAATGTTATCACTTGCTCTTTAAATTCGGTATTTTGTATATCCTTATTTTCTGTTAATGCCTTAATATCATAGTTAATTTTTAGGTTCTCTAGTTCTACTTCTAGTTTATTTATTCTGTTTTCTAAAACTCGTACTCTACTAGATAATATCCTTTCATCTGATTCTAATTCTATCTCTTTTCTCCATTTTTGTTTATTTGCTTTTATACATTCAGCACAAGCTTGTTTTAAGCATATACTACAGGTTACTCTATTATCTTGGCTTGGGTAATAGATGCAAAAAGCACATTTAATGTTATAATCTCCTTTTCCTCTAATCCAATCATGTTCACAATTTAATTGATCCATCATTTCTATTTTTAAACCGGCTAGTTCGTCAATTAAATCTAACTCTTCATCGGTTGATTCATACTCTTCATTGGTGTTTTCAATTTCATCTGTTTCTATGATAGAATATATTGATTCATCATCTTTTATTTCATCATCACATACTAATATATTTTCATTTACGCTATCTATAATTAAAACTCTCTCTTGTTCTTCATATTTACTAGAATATCTTTTTTGATCTTTATTTGGGCAAGTTCTACTTAAATGATCTGGTGAATTACATATGAAACATCTGCATGTCTTATCAAAAGTTTTCTTTGGGTTATATCTTCTTACATTTCGTTTATGTAAGAAAGGTGCTCTATTATCTGATCTTCTTAAGAAGTACCTTTTCTTTGTCTTTATATTATTATTATTTCTACTTTATCTATGGTTTCTTTTATTTCTAGGCCTATCTTCTCCATATGATAAAGGCATTTGTATTATTTTATTGCAAAAATTATAATCAGAATGTTTCATTGACCTTTGGGCTTGTATTCCTGTGCATATTTTTCTTAATTGTTTGAACACGAAGGTTATGGCTTGGGAAATATTAATTTCAGCTCCTTCAGTTTCCTTTTTATATTCCTCAAAAATCATACTACCTAATGGGTCAGGTAGTTTATTAAAATATCGCTCAACTATTCCCTTATTGTATCCTTGCTTAGCAGTTGTTGCATTATATAGATAATGTTGAGAAAATTCCTTTATACCTTTCCAGCTTGTTAAGGTTAATTTTTCTATTTCTTTTAATCTTTCATTTTGCAGGGTTGTATATCCTAATTCTGGGTCTTCAGCTATGATAATATTAGATACTATATTTGCAAAGTTGTGAGGATTATTTCCTGCTCTTTTTAGCTCTTCGTAGTTATTAGGATTCTTTTCAACCCATTGTTCCCATAGGACTTTAGCAGATTCACCCAAAAATGTTTCTAAATAAGTTATCATATCCTCCACCTTATTCCCTATATTATGCTGATTTTGTATATATTTTTGAACTATTAACCCCTTCCAAATACTAATGATATTTGGCCAGTCTATGGGATCATGTGCTGCTAGATTTAGTATAGCCCCATCACTTTTTTGATTTTGAAATTTTATTGGTTTCTCAAAATCTCTTCTTTTAGTGCCCATGTGCCTATACTGTCCTGGGATATAATGATATGAATATTCTTCTTTTTCTGGAGGCCATCTTCCTGCTGCCCTAGCTGGTCTTTCTCTTTCTCCTTCATTTTTTACAGAACCCTCTCCGTATCTTTTCCTTTTTCCTGTTCCCAAATCTACTTCCATGGCTTCCATTGCATTATCTAGATTATGCAAACCTACCTCATCCAATGAGTCTATAAAATCATTATATTGTTCTGCATTATCTTCTTCTTCTATATTCTCTATTTCCTCTATCAGGTTGTTTTCTTCTTCATAACTCTCTAGTAATAATTTCTCATTTACTTCCCATTGCTCTTCCTTACTTAATACCTTATCAAACTTAACTTTTGGATTTCTTCTCTTGGTTCTTCTGACTTTATTTGTTCTATTTTAATTTCCTGGGTTCTGGGGGTTTCTATGGCCAAGCTTTTCTCTTTTTTTTTTTGTTTCTTAATCCTGGATAGTTCTCTATAGAAATAAAGTTCCTTGTCTCTAATTTTAGGCCACTCACTATTTATAGAGTTATTATATTCATCTGCTATATCTCTTAATTTATCTTCATAATATTTTATTTCACTTTCATGATCTAATTTTTCCATCAATTCAGAAATACTATGTCTTCTGTTATCTATAATATTTCTGTCAGATGATTCTGCATCCAAATCATCCGAAGCTCTGGTTTTATAATTTGTAAATCTAATACTAACATTCCCTTTGCTATCTTGGTAACTTATGAAGTTTTCAGGCTGACTCAAGGTTTTATTTTTTATAAATTCACTAATTGGCCATTTTTCTCCTGCTCTTTCTTCAGAGTCTATTGTTAAAGGGCTCATGAATTTTATTCCTTTAGAATGCATTTTTTCTATCAAATCATTTACATTGATTTTGTATTTGGAGGCACTTCTATTAGTCAATCTTCCTATAAATTCTATACTTATTAATAAATTTGTTCCTTTAAACTCTTCGTATCCTTTTGTTTGAAAACCAAAACTCATTTTATCTATGAATTCATTTACAGGCATCATTAAATCAGGCACTATATAGGTTATCAACATATTTTCATTCATATCTCCTTCTAGATAGCCTAAAGATGCTTTGTTTATTGTGTCCCATCTTTTATCTAATAAGGTTATTAACACTTTAGCTCCTAATTTCTTTCTTGTCATTCCTTTGATTCCTATTATGTACATACCTTGGTGAATATATTTATATCCTGAATATTTTAAACTATTTTCAAATTCTTTAGCTACTATTTTTAATTCTACTGGTTTTGTTAGAACACTTAATTCTACATCTCTAGATATTCTATATAGCCCATTCTTATTCTCAAAAAATCCCATGCAGTATACTTGTTGAGGTCTTATTGCCCTTAAAGTATCTCGTTGATATCTTTCGAGCTGCTTATCTACTTGTGCAACATCTTTCAGCTCATCTATGTCATCATATTTGCCTTTTTGTTTATCAAAACAGTTATCGTCTCTGCTTGCTATTCTTCTAAAGAGACTCCTAGATATGTCCATTTTTCAGAATTAATGGCTTGTGAAGATGAGACTATGCCGGATGAAGCCAAAACTATTTCCTTACCTTTACTAGAGTTGATTTTGTCTGGTAATTCTTTAATATAATCACTATTCTATGAAATTTTATTTTGCCTTATCTTATAATCTTCTAATAATTCTAATGTAGTATTTAGCTTATTATTAAGAAAAGAATATTGTTCTACAAATTGCTTTTGTTCTTTATATATATCTTCTAACTTTTGCTCTAAATCTTCCTGTCTCTTACCCCAATTTATATAGAAATTATATATTAAATCTACAATTAAATTTAGTTGGCTATTATTAGAGTGCCAACTATGTTCTTCAGTATGGCTTAATCTACACCTTATATTGATATTATCTTTGATATTTATTAACTTTCCAATATTAGCTTCTAAATTTAGCTTCTCTATGATTACTAGGCTCTGATACCACTTTACTAGGACTAACACTATTCACTACTATTCTTAGTGCTGAATTCACTATTATGAGTAGCAGAATTACTGTTCACAGTCGTTACTGTTCACTTGAAAATTTTCTTTAAATTTTTAGGATCTTTGCAGGGTGGCGGATCCAAAAACAGCCGGCGCTTGATTTAGAAATTTTAAAGTCCTACTCGGTACTAGCCGTATGCCTCACTTATCTGCCTATTTAAGCAACCATCTTCAAGTATCCCTAGTCATATTTGAACTAGCTAAGTGTTTACCGTCTCCCCAGGCAGTTTTACCCGAGGGGAACACTTCTCTACGGATACTGGTTCTCCAGACGCCTATACAAGATGCAGGTTAAAAACGAGAACAACCGAGAGGTTTCTCCTATAGGGTCCCTAGCATAAACGCTTGTCTAGAGTATTTTAGATTTTATATATATATATACACACACACACACACACACATACATATATATATACATACATACATACACATATATATATATATATATATATATATATATATATATATATATATATATATATATATATATATATATATATATATATATATATATATATATGTACATCTAGTACATATATATGTATATGTATGTATGTTGTCGCGTGAATAATCCAATTATTTTAGGTAAAGCAAGCATCGGTAAGGTTGTCATCGTTGAGGTTGGGCCATTACATTAAAGATGTTCCAATTTTCACCCGTTGCAACGCACGGGTATTTTGCTAGTATAATTAAAAGATTGTACCAGTTAGGCTATTACTACCTCTATCCATATTGATAATACTATTATACTATTGAGAGACGTCTATGAGATGGGATAGGAACTCAGACTACAACTCTAAACGATAATTTTCTTATTTTCCATAAACACGTTTCCCGATCCGTTAAATATCACTCCATTTATTCCAAAATGTAACGATTTTAACCTTTTAAAGGTTGTCTCAAAATATAACAATTTTCCCATCAACACTCTTTCCAACCAATTACAACATTTCACCATTTAATTTTCACACAATACTTTCAATTCTTATCCAATCACAATCTTTCTCTATTAATTCTAGCCAATTTTAGTAACCGTTATATTCCGTAGCAGAGGTAGTATGTTTTTTCTAAAAAATATCGAAAAGTCTCTTTTAAAAAATTAAATAAATCAATTTTTAAAATTTATAATAGTTAATATTAATAAATCATGCATCAACGAATCATTATGTTGTCGTGTTGCTAAACTAGCAATAGACACGCGCTACGCTGCGTGTAGACATGGATAGAATCGAAATGAGCTCATGACATGCAACACATAAATTATGTTCAATATATATTAGTAGTTTTAATGTACAATATATACGCTGTAAAAAATTGTTACAATCCAAAATACGCATGACAAGCATTTAGATTATAAACGAACGCCCAAACGTCTGCTTGTTTTTGTTTGTTTACTAATACATTGACAATTTTGAAAGAGAATAATAAGATCTTGATGGGGCACACAACCCAGTTTTTTTTTTTTTATCAAATGCACAAACAGGGCCTATTTACATGCTTTACCTGCAAACACAAAATAGCAATCAATACATAGCATATATTATTTTGTCTGTATTATTCTTAAAGTTAAATATTATCTTGACTCCATCACACATATATATAACACTGAATGATACCCCGCGCGTTGCTGCGGGATATTTGTATTGAAATAGAATTTAAAAATCTAGGTACACTTTGTGAGATAAAAACAATAGTATGTAAAGAAGGGAAATTGCCGCAATACAAACTGCGGTCTGAAATTCTGGATGATAGTGGGGCAACTTTTTGCACAATGCTTCACTTTCAGTGCATTGAGAGTTGAGACCTCATGTAAAACAGCACGATAGTACCTGACAGAAAATAGGAGTATATTTATTTACGATGAACCAATAGGATAAGGTTAATGGTAAAGTCAGTGGCAAGAGCTGAATGGTTGTATATGTTTTTTTTCTCATCTGCTGTAGGCTAGCTATTCCCGAACTCAGTTTATTATTTATCAAACGCTAGCTTCCAAACCTATGGGGGCAAGAAGAACAATACTGAAAATACTCGATATATATATGTAGTACAGATGGAAGTTTGAAGATGATAATCATATCTAAAAAAACAAACAGGATTCACCTAAGATACAAAGACATGATGGTACCTCATATGAGGAAATGGGATTCATGAAAAGTTGATAAATTATGCAGTTTCTCAGTACATGAGGAAGATAAACTTGATATATGAATCAATGTAAGTTTGAGATAAAATAGACAGTAACTTATTTTTAAGTTAATTAGAGAATTTTGAGATCATACTATTATGACTTAAAATTGTGAACTCAGGTCAGGTAATATTTGGTAAACAAAATCAAAGAAGACTGGGACCTGTACAAACTGTAGCTGGCACTTACATCACTGATGGTTACAGAAAGAATTGCCAAAGCCTCAAGAATCACACAAAAAGAATCTATATGAAAACACCGTGTTGCATATGATAAAAAAAAAAATCTCCATATGAGCCATTGCTTCACTGAATCATGCTCACAAGGCTGACTAAAGGGATCACCAAACTTTTGATAAATTGGGAATTATCTGAGGTTATATTTCATCTTATCATCTAGTACCCCAAGTACGCAAAATATATATATAATCATTGAATCACTAAATAGCATTCAGTGATAGGAATTATCTGTAGTGATTCAGTGAAGCAAATGTACTACTAAACTTTCCATGTTACATTATAGAATACTAAAACCTTAAAATACAAAGGTGCTTGACAGATGCAAGGTAACCTGAATAATCACAAAATAAAAAATAAAAATGGAAAACAAAGGAGCATAATAATAGAAATTGTATAGTTAGGGGAAAAATGATTAAATTGTTACGTATTACTGTCGAAGAAATTTCCCCACAATAGTCCAACAACATCGATAAAATGGTTGTGGATTATTTAATCCTGTAATAAACCCAAGACGAAATCAAAGTAGTTAATCCTATGAAGAAATTGAAGGGAATAATTAAACTGTTAGTGCAAATACTGTTATACAGGGAAAAAAAGAAGGGATCAATTTGGGATACTGAAATCGGTTGGAAATTCATAATTGAATCACGAAGAAATTAGTGTGATTACTCAATTAGCATCAATCAATGTATTATAAAAAGTTTTAGCTGAATGGGAAAAGAACCTACGCAAGCAGTGGAACAACCCCTTTGTTGGAAGAGCCGATCAATCTACAGATGTGGTTATATGGAGGAGAAGCTACTTGCTGGCGGAGCAGAGATCCAGGGACGACTGTTCTTGTATGGAGAGGCTGCTTGTTGGCCGAGCAGATCGATCCAGCTGTTGTGTACCACTTTTCTTCAACTGTTGTGTATATCATCATACATAAATAGGATTAGAAAAAAGGCCAGAATAATGCAAGTAACGTATTGTTTCAGAAAATGAAGATGAATAGATGGGACTGTTCCAAACAACTAAAGGATAGTTAAACATTAGATTCAGGGTGGGCAACAGCCAACAGAACAGACTGCCACCAAGTCTAATTGCTGCAAAGCTCTAAATGACTAAATAACAAAACTACTACTCAATCAAGCTGCAAATCACCACACGAATACTAACTTCCATTCTAAATATCTTCAAGATTGAATCTTTACAAAGAACAGCATCCAAAAGCTCATACAGACACCACATGTACACTAAATTCTACCCAAGGCATCGTCAAGATTGAATCTTTAGAGTTCAGTATCCAAAAGCCCCAGATTTAACTTCCAACCCTGCAATACCCATACCATAAAGAACTCCTAATTACACACTATAGTTTTTTTTCCCATGTACTTGTGAGGACCGCGAAAGCAGCTTCACCCAAGGCATCGCCTGCTGCTGCTGCTGTTGTTGCTGCTCCTTCTTCCTGCGCGAGCTCTTCGCTGCAGCGATGGCCGTCTTATCCCCTTCTTGATGTGCAACGAAGCATCAAAACCCTAACAGCTCTATCCAACAAACCCATGTGCGTCCCAAAAAGAAGGAAATCCCTCCTCACCTCTCTTGGCCGCCACATCCTCGCCCGAGCTGGCGCTCTTGGCGGACGCGGTCGCTGCCGAATCCTCCTTGATTCTCCCAGGCACCGACGTGTCGGCAACGTGGGCGCTGCCTCCGCCTGATTCAAATCGGATTAAAAACCACCCCGATGGAAAATCAAATCAAGAAGAATCTCCGATCCATAGGAGGAGGAGGTGAGAAAAAAAAGTCTCTCTCACCTTGGGGCGCTTCGGTGGAGGGCCGGAGGAGGAGGAAGGGGACGGGAGAGGAGCGCTAGGATGCCTCGGTTTTCCGTTTCTTGCTGTGTGCGCCCACCGACGGTTCCGTTTCTCCATACACGCCGAGGAGGCGGCTGCTGGGAGCGTGAAGCACCTGTGGCGCTAGGGTGCGATGTCGCGGGGAGGAGGGGGAGGGGCGACTGCAGCGCCAGGGCTAGGGGGAGGCGATGCGGCCGTGGGGCGGGGGCAGGGCGACCGGCCATCGGATCCGTGCGGGGGTTGGCCGTCGCCCGCCGGATCCCGTGCCTCCATCCCCACCGTGTGGAGGAGGCCGCCACGCGCCGTCGCCTATGCCCACCACCTCCACCGCTGTCGCCGTGCGCCGCAGTGCGGTCGGGGTCACCGGATCCGGTAGCCTGGGCTCGTCGCTGGCAAATCTGATGGCCTCGCTTGCACAGAGCGGTGGCGGCGGCGCAGAGATGATGGACGGATGAAGGTGTGGGGCGGTGGCACGCGTGAAAGGAGGAGGAAACCAAGAGGGAGCAACAGCAGCGACATGACGACAATGGCTGGAGGAGGGCAAGACTGCGGCTGCGGCGACGGCGACGGCGACGACGTGCGTGAGTGGAGGACTGTGAGGCGGCGCAGGATAAGAGGAGGGCAAGAGCAAGGCGACGTAGCCCAGGGGAGCGATGCGGCTAGGGTTCAGTCCAGGCTAGGGAAATCTGCACCGTCCGTTCCTGTCACGCCCTGAAGTTCTTCTCCCTAGCAAAAATCCAATTGATAAATTGTTGGAAGAAATTATTTGTTTAAAGACAAGAGAGAAATCCTAAATTAATAAATACAAATAATAATCGGAATCGACATGTGGAATTTTTCTTGGATTCTACATGTCAAAATATGCTAACAGGAATTTTAGTGGAATTTTCAGAGCATTGGAAATAATTTTAACCAATTAAAATAAGCAATGTGCAATATTTAAATCCCGGGAAAAATCTTTTTCCTTTTTCTTCTCTTCTTTTTCCCTTTTTCCTTTGTTGGGCCGTCGGCCCACTCATCCCGCGCGCCCGCCCTCCTCTCAGCTGGGCCGGCCCACTCCCTCCCTCCTCTCTCCGGGTCACCGACAGGTGGGGCCCACCTGTCGGCCCCTTCTTCCTCCTCCAGCCGATGGCACCGCCGCCGCCGAAACCGCCACCGATGCCGCCGGTTTCCCCGTTTCCCGCGCCCACTCCGCCCGTGCCGCACGCCCACGTCGCCGCCCACGTCCCGCCGTTTCCCGCCCTCGCGCGCGCCCGAGAATGGTCGGATTCATTTTGAATCCCTCCTCTCTATTTCTCTCTCCACCCCCACGTCGCCGGCCAAATCGGCCACCCCCCCGGCCGTTCCCTCCCCTCCCTCGCCCATAAAACGCTCCCCCGAACCTCCTCTCGCGTTTCCCTCCTTTGTTGCGCCCTCCCGTGCTTCCTACCGCCGCCGCGCCGTCGCACCGAGCTCCGCCGCCTGCCGCCGCCCTCCGGTCGCGCGCCGCCGCTGCTAGAGCCGCCGCCGCGCGAAGCCGTCGCCACCGCTAGCTTCGCCGTCGCGGGGGCTATCCCGGCCGCCGCTCGCTTGCCGCGCGCCACCGCCGCACCGCTCTTCCCACGCGCCGCCGCCTCCAACCACCGCTAGCCGTTGCTAGTGCCGTCGCCGCGCCGCTCCGTTGCCGCTGTTGGCCTCGCGAGATCGAGGCTCGTCTCGTCCATCCCGCGCGCCCCGCTGTCCGTCGCTTGCCGCCGCCGGCCGCCGTCGTCTTCACCCACGCCGGCCGAATCCCCGGTGAGAACTCCCTCCCCTTCTCTTCCTCTCGCGCGCGCCGCCGCTCCTCGCGTGCGCGTCGCCGTGATGCGTCGTTGCTCGCGTCGCCGGCCGCCGTCGTCTTCTCGCCGGCCGCCGCCGTCGGTGGCCGCTTGCGCCGCCGCATCATCTAACCGGCCGGCCGGTTTGAAGCCGAGCCGGGCCGACCGGGCGCCTCGCCGCTCCCCCCCTTTGTGACACTGCCCAGTGGGCCCGCCTGCCAGCCGCCCCCTCTCCCTCCCTTAGTGCCGCTGACCAGTGGGGCCCGCATGTCGGCGCCGCCCCACCCTTGCTGACGTCAGCCCTGGGATGAATTATTGCGCAATAAATTCATTAAGGTTTTTCTTTTATAGTAATAAACACAGATAATCTTCTAAAAATCATAACTAATTCATCCGAGCTCCGATTAAGTCCATTCAAGTCTCAGTAAATCAAGAAAAATGTGTAGAATCCATTAAAAATGGTTTTGTTCTCTGTTTTAGTAGTCTTATAGCATGTTTTGCTTGTGTGCTTTGTTTGTCGCGTAGATTTCGGCCATTTCGTCGATCCGCGGTTCCTTGAAGACGTTGCTGTGGTCTCATCAGTGCGAGAGCAAGGCAAGTCATGCATTACAATTGATCATATTGTACATAATTTACAAATGTCCCGCATTTCTATTAAATATTGCATTATTTTACAATATCATGTGGGATGGGTCCTATTACTCAGCTATATGTTGTTTCCCTTGTGCCATTGATAACTTGGGTATCGAAATGACTAGATGTTGGTTTAGGAAATGCTTAGCCATGCCTAGTTCAACTAGTACACAAAAGGGGAATCACATTAATGCATAGACTCTGATTATCGGCATAGCTTTGGTTTAGTGCTACCGTAATGGTGTTGGTTAATTAAAATACACTACATGGTGGGCTGTGGGTGCATGGTTTTGCTAGTCGTGCCCACGGCAATTAAGGACCAGTTCGCGGGATGCCCTGGAAGAACTTATCGTACTTACCACAAGCCAGCGTGGGCAACGGCTAGGCTTGTAGTGTAGCTTTTCTCTAGCCGACGTACCTAGGCGAGGGTGGGCGTGATGGAGTTGGGTCGGCCGGGGTGTCCGGTTGATCGGCTTCCGGATTCACCGCGGCACGAAAGGGGGGCTGCCCGTTGCCTGCTGGGGACGGGGGCGAACCCTAAGGTGTGGTGCGATCGGTTAGAGGGGGTTATGCGAAGGGTCTTGTCACGGCCTCTTTCTGGTATGTCGTGGTGGCATGTCGGCGTACAGAAACGTGTCGTGGGGCTGTGTCTTGTGGGTACAGTTGTACACCTCTGATCAGAGTAAAACTATTCGAATAGCCGTGCCCGCGGTTATGGGCGGTCGACCAGATTCACCGTGATTAGTCTCACCCCTAGTTAGCTAATGAACTGGCGTAGTTCAGGTGGTTGGTCGGGCCTGTTGCAACGTGGTGTAGCGTTGGACAGTGACTGGTTAATACTGATTAATTACTACAACTGTTTTACTGCTTTCAACTACTGCTTTTAATGCTAGCTTTATGCAAATGAGCTCTTTAGCCTACCTTGGGTATATCCTGCATCCTACCTCCTCTTCCGGTATGACTTGCTGAGTACAGTGGGTAGTACTCAGTCTTGCTCTTTTTTCCCCCACACCAGAGTTGAAGTCCTTCTCAGTTGAAGATGTCTTGAAGAGGTTGGTTTCGTCGTTGCCGTCAAGGATGCCTGTGGAATGGAGTCGCCCGCTGCAGGAGTCAAGTCTTCAGGCTTAGCTCGCTTTTATCTTTTCCGCTGCATTTGTAATCCTTTTTATATTTTTGTAAGACGTGGATCTGTATGTCAACAATTGTCGTTTGTGTACCCTGGCTGGTCCTGGACAGGGGTTTAATGCACATTCAGCTTAGAAATTCTGGTTCATGAATTTCTGGGCGTGACAAGTTTCCCGACCCGACGATTGCACGGGCGTGGAAGGGCCGGCACAATGGGACACGTATTCTAGGAGAGATCGGACGGTGGACGGTAGCGATGACTGATATGTAATTAACTGGAAGTACAGGGACTTTTTTGCAAAAACTACACTCATATAATCTCCTAAGTGCGGGGGTTTATTTGCAAAAGGAACCGCTGACGTGGCATGCCTAACTCTCCAGCGATCCCACGCGCTTTAAGTAAACAAATATTACAGTTTGGAGCTTTTTTTTTTTTTGAGAGCTATATAGTTTAGAACTCAATCTAAGTGCTCATTTGATTTAGCGTTTGAAATGAGAAGACCTATTACAGCATGATCAATTAAATATTAACTACCATAAAATTAAAAATAAGTAACATCCAAACCATGATGAAAAATATATTGTCTAAATTTTATAATATAAAGAATATGAAAATGATAGATGATTTCGGGCCTGTTCACTTTGATGCTATTTTCAACCATACCATTTTTTGGCAAAGTTGCATACATATATATATATATATATATATATATATATATATATATATATATATATATATATATATATGTGTGTGTGTGTGTGTGTGTGTGTGTTTTTAGTTTGTTGCCAAATTTAGTAAATACATAAAAAATCCTGTCAAAATTTTGGTAAGTTTTTTTTTGCTACAATCTGAACATACCCTTCATTATTGCCCACGGTATAAGATGAGCTTCCTTCCTCGCCATAAAGGGCAATAGCAGTGCATGTATCCTATTTGAGAAGCTAAAGCCCCATCTAGGGCCTGTTTAGATCCTCCAAAATGGTAAAAGTTTTGCCATTTTAGAGTACTTTGTGCTATTTTGGATCTAAACACTAGTAGCAAAAGTTAGCATTTTGTCATTTGTCATTTGCTAGTCTAGGGTAGCAAATTTTGCCAAAAAGTGCTCTAGGACCGCGCGCTCTCTCTAGTACTAAAATGGCAAAATTTTAGGATGCATCTAAACACTCCATGCTAAATCTTTTGCCACTAAAACTTTTACCATTTGCTATTCCAAATGGATCTAAACAAGCCCCTAGATAAGAAACGGTGTAAGAAATACCCTCCACAGTGCATGTGGTCTTAAATAGAGGTCTTTCTTACTTATTATAGTGGGTCCCACCTTTCTCTTCTTTCTCACTTTTCATCTTCCCCCCTCTCTCTCTCTTCCCTTTGCCTTTCCCCACTGGCCACCGACGAGTGAGGCGTGGACTACCCAAGTGGCGACGTGCCAAGCGGGGAACAAAGCAGCTGCGAGGCAGCACCACCTCTCCGGACGACGGCGCCGCTGAGGCTAAGCCACATACGACGGCACCGCCGAGTTCGATGGATCTGAAGTCGGGTGGTGGCGGCGATGGCTCATCGGGGCACGGCTACGGCTCGTTGGGAAGGCATCAGCAATGTGAACCACTGCTAGAGTGCCCTCGCTAACTAAGGGCACTCCTAGAGGAACTCATCTGCTAATAGAGGCCAGAGGTAGTTGGGTTCTTCAAAATCCGAAGCTATTCGGTGAGGATACTCCAACCCACAATGGATGTCCCGGCCTAAAGTAGTCCCAGGTGACAAAATCCCTCCCTAGCGCTCTCGCTAGCCCACCGACGTCCTCGTTGACATAAACCAATAATGATATAACACTATAGGTTTGCTTTAGTTTGGGTAGAAAACCAAAGTGAGGCAGTAATTATATAGTACCACTTTTGATTCGTACCGAATCGAGTGATGGGCCAACATGGATTTGTTTTTCCTTTTTACAAACGGTTTTGCTATTTCACCTGTGACAGATTTTTTGGGCTTATGTTTCGATTTTTTTTCCATACGATTTATATTTCTCTAGATCTTTTGGGCTTCTATGTTTCGAATTTTTTGTCTGCAGAATTTATATTTCTCTACATCTAACTTTTCCATACGATTTATATTTCTCTAGATCTTTTGGGCTTCTATGTTTCGAAATTTTTGTCTGCAGAATTTATATTTCTCTACATCTAACTTGCAGTTACACTCACTTACAGTGTATCAAAATTATATTTTTACAATCGTTTTTCTCTAGATTTACGATTTTTTTATATGCTTGTCCTTTTTCTGATTTAATTTAAACGGGCCATATTCGTTGGTTAAAAATTCTGCAAGATTTAAAACTCTAAATCTGTCGAGAGATCATGAGAAGATCACGTAGTTCCTTAATGTGATCATCCCATGTACATTTTCTTCCGGGCATACAAAAAACCAACTCTTTTTTATAGTATATCGGTTACTAATAAGCACTACTAACACTGCGTGTATTTAACATTAAGATCACATATTATAACTGCTACTCAACTAAATAAGATTTTCCACGTTACTAATTAACCGCACGAAATTAATTAAGCCATCAGCAAGCCGCTCGTCGCCGTCGCCGTCGTCGTCGTTCCAGCATATCATCTGTGCCACTTTCAACGCATGCAGTTGCAGCCATGGTGCCTCGACCTGCCGCACTTCCTGCACTTGCCATGGAGCGCCTCGTCTTCTCTGCGAACGCGCTGCGCCTCCATGATCCGGGCGACGCGCCACACGTCGCGCATGGTGGCCGCGCCCGAGCGGATGGCGGCGGCCGCGTTCGCCGGGAGCACCGTCTGGCACAGTAGCTCGGCGAGCTCGGCGTCGCTCAGGCTCAGCGTCACCCTCGTGGCGGCGTTGAGCGCCTCCGCGCGCGCGATCCGCTCCAGCAGCGGCGCCGGCGCGCCGTCGAGTGCGAGGTCGTCGTAGAGCATCCTCTGCGCGACGGCGGAGGCGGCGTCCGCGTTGTCGTAGGTGCGCGCCACGGCGTCCCACGCGTCCCTGGCCGTGCGGTGGCGGACGTAGTCCGGGAAGATGCGGTCGGAGAGCGCGGCGAGGATGTGGCCGCGGCACACCGCGTCGTCGCGCGCCCACATCCTCCTCCTCGCGGCGGCATCGCCGTCCTCCTCCTCGACCCCGGCCGGCGGCGGCGGCGGGGGATCGTCGGAGAGGACGTGGGCGACGCCGACGGTGTGGAGGCGGAGCAGCATCGACTCCTTCCACCTGAGGTACCCCTCGGCGCCGTTGAGCGGCTTGACGTTGACGTTCGTCGCCGCCGCTGCCATCGCCCTAGATCAAACCGAGAACCTGGCAGAGACAAACCAAAGCAGGCGTGGCGTCAGGTAAGCAAACAATGAGACTCGAAGCGGAGGCGCTTCTTGCTCCTCTCGAGCATTTGCACGAACAGGTGGTGCGCGTACGAGCTGGACTCCGGTACCGATCGCCGTCGATGTTCGTGCAGGTGATTGAGAACCCGAGGGGCGAGGGCGCTGTTGGCGAGGAGGAAGGGATAAATAGGGAGATATTTTTTTTCCAAAATAAATAAGAAGCAGCTCCCGATTTTTCTGCCAGATTGATCAAGTGCCGACTTCATTGTAGATTAGATTGATTCGAAACAAAGTATTAAAATGTGACACGTTACTATGAGTCTGGACACTTGTTTTTTATAGGACGGATGGAGTACTCTCCTAGTCTCATTTTAAGTGCAAGTGTTGATTTATGTGTTTATGTTCTCTTTTTTAATTTTTTTTATGATTAGTATTTTTGTGGTTATTAGATAATAAAATATGGATAATATTCTTTGCGTGACTTAATTTTTTAATCTTTCCATAAAAGTTTTAATAAAGCATGGGACAGCTGCACTTAAAATTGACGGGGAGAGTAGCGACAGTTTGTTTCAAATGCTAGTGCGGAGTAGTAGTGTTCAGTTTGGAAAACATACGAGGATGTTGGACAATTCCGTGAGTATCTAACTAAATCTGATAGTTGAGAATTTTGTTTGTAAAGGTTTTGTAAGCAAATTTTAACTACGCGGAGCAGTGCTCAAAGATGTAACGTGCCAATTTGTCTGTGAAAGTACTTTTGTAATCTTATAAACTCATGAAAGTTGATAAACCTGTTGTAGGGAATAATTATAGCAAAGTTTTTTTTAAGAGAATTATGAGCACCCCAAATTTATTTATGAAAGAACGTATATACTCCATATAGATCCACCATAATTATGTTTTGGATAAAAGTTCCCTTTTTACTGGTTATTACTCCCTTCGTTTCAGATTATAACATGTTTTAACTTTGGTCAAGCTTCAAATTTGATCAAGTTTATAGGAAAAAAATAGTAATATTTCCGACCCAAGATAAATTTATTATAAAAATATATTTAACTATTAATTTAATAAAACTAATTTGGTAATACTCCCTCCATCTACTTTTGATAGTCATATTTCATCTTGACACACAGACAAGAATATGTAATTCTACTTATCATCCATTTAAATATGCTACTAGTTATTCCTCGTAAAGAAACTATTCATTAATATTTATATTTCTCGATGCCCATGGAGCCAATCTTGTGTGAAAGAATGGAGAGTCACGCATTAAATCTAAGAAATTCATTCAGATGTAGGTTGTTGGATTGAAATATGCCTATCAAAATAAATTTTTCAGATTTGGAAATATGCCTATCAAAAATAGTTGGAGGGAGTATAAATATTACTATATTTATCTATAAATATAATCAAACTTAAAGCAATTTGACTTTAAAAAACCAAAATATCTTAAAACCTGGAACGAAGGGAGTTATAATTAACAGCAGCAAATTAATTAAGCCATCAGGAAGCCACGTCGCTCGTCGCCGGCCGTCGTTCCAGCATCGATCCAAAAGCACCATGATCAACCCATGCAGTTGCTGGTATGGTGTCCCGGCTTGCCGCACCTCCAGCACCTGCCATGGCGCTCCATGTCCTCCCTGCAAACGCGGCGCGTCTCCACGAGCCGGGCGACGCGCCAGACGTCGCGCATGGTGGCGCCGCCGCCGGAGCGCGCGGAGGCCGGCCCGCCCACGCTCTCCGGGAGCATCTCGCACAGCGCCCCGGCCAGGTCCTCGTCGCCGAGCGGGAGCCTCGTGGCGGCGTTGAGGGCCTCGGCGTGCGCGATCTGCTCCAGCAGCGGCGCGTTCGCGTAGAACTCGAGGTCGTCGAACGCCCTGCGCGCCACGCCGGCCGAGAGCGCGCCCGCGCCGTCGTAGGCGCGCGCCACGGCCTCCCACGCCGCCCTGGCCGTGCCGTGGCGGACGTAGTCCGGGAAGATGCGGTCGGAGAGCGCCGCCAGGATGTGGCCGCGGCACACCGCGTCGTCGCGCGCCCACCTCCTCCTCGCCGCCGCGGCCGCGGCCTCGGCCTCGCCGTCTTCCTCCTTGACTCCGGCCGCCGCCGCCGCCGGCGTCGGTGGCGGGGGCTCGTCGGAGAGCACGTGGGCGACGCCGGCGGTGTGGAGGACGAGGAGCATCGACTCCTTCCACCGGAGGTACTCCTCGGCGCCGTTCAGCGGCTTGACGGTGACTGCCGCCGCCATCGCCTCGATCAAATCCGCACCTGACGAGACAACAAGAGCAAACCAAGCGTCGCGTCAGCGTGAGCGAACCGTGGAACTCGAAACGGAAGCGTTTCTTGTTCCTCTTGAGCATTTTCACGAACAGGTGGTGATCATACGAGCTGTACTCCGATGCGGATCGACGGCGATGTTGATCGGGAACCTGTGTGTTCGTACTTCGTAGTTGTTGGCGAGGAAGGGGATAAATAGGCTGTTCTTCTGAAAAGAGGTAACTGCCGATTTTTCTGCCAGACTGATCGAGTGCCGATTTTTATTTTAGATTTAAATTGATTCAAAACGCCGCCGATTTCGGTCTTTCAAAATAGTGACAGTTTTTGTTTGAAATATTTAGTTTGGAAAACATAAAAAGATGGTATGTGCCGATTTGTTTGTAAAAAGCACTTTTATAGTCTCATTAAGTTATTTATCAAAATTATAAACTTGTTGTAATGAATAATTATGAGCAAAGTTGTATGATTATGTTGGAAACAGAGCGGCTGGTTTCAGGAAATTTCAATTGGTCTGAGAGAGCTGTGAAAGTTCTGAAAATGTTTGAAGCAAAAGTGTCACACAATTTCATAATATTTTGGACGGAAAGTTCCAATAGAATTGCCGGGTTTTATGTTATATACGAATGAGTTCTAAAAAAGAAAAAGTTACACAAATGAGGAACCGGCCCAACGATGGCGGGAATGACATTACGTTTCCGGGCCAAAATTGAAGTTAAATGTTTTACAGTTTTCCGGGCCAACATTTTACGGTGGATAAGTTCACACTATGTCCCACAATTTGTCACCCAGTTTGATTTTTGTCCTTGAACTGAAAATCCAAACACAATTCGTCCCCAAACTTATAAAACCAGTGCAAACGAGATCTCTCGATAGTAAGTTGATGGGCTAGTCGGTACAGGCTCAAGCATCACCATCTCTTAATAAATAAACATCGATATAACGTCGAGAGCCCCTACTCTCATATCCAGCTTAATAATTTTCCTACTTGGCCCCTGAAACTGCTAGCTGGCACACATGGGATCTGTTTGGAGGGAGGTTCTGGCAGCTGCAGCTTCTCCTAAAATCTTCAGCTGTAAGAATCTCTCTCAAATAATCTAAATTTTTACCCAGATTTTAAGAATATATAGTTGTAGAATCTAAAAAATGAACTAGAAGTCAGAAGCTAGAAAACTTAGCTTTTTCATATTCTTATCAGCTATTTCTCGTAATCTTCAACTCCCTAAAGCCTTGTTTGGTTACGCCGGGATTTAATCTGGGCCGGGAATGAAAAGTATAGTAAGAAATTTATGATAGATACAATGAGAGATCGATATTTATTCCGGACCTGGAACCAATTTACTCATGATAGGGACAATAAGAGACCGAGAATCAATCCACTAGTTAAGAGGTGTGGAAACAATCCGGATATTTTGTTGTCTTGTCTCTATTATGAGTAAATTGGTTTCCGACCCGAAATAAATCCCGGTCCCTCATTGTATCTGAGTTGAGGCTCCCCGCATTCTATACATCTGTTCATTTCACTCATTCTAGATTTCTGCATATATACTCCCTTTCTGCACCCGTGCTGCCAAGTGCCAGCCACTACTGCAAACTGCACCCACCAAACACGTCCACTACGTACGTACCACTACCCCCGCCGTCTTCTCCTTCTCCACTGCGACTAACAACCATACCCCAGCTTCTCTCACTCTCTCTTCCCCTACACCAATTCAAGATAAGAGAGCCACCGATCGATCGACGTCCGGCCAGGCGTCGACGGTGGTGCCGGCCCCGGCCTCATGGGGGCGCCGGCGACCGCCGCCAGCGGCGGCGGCGACGACGACGACAGAGACGTCGTGTTCGAGTACCTCCTTTGCACGGAGGAGGACGCCGCCTCGGCCGGGTCCTTCTTCCAGCAGCTACAGGGCCCGGCGCCCGCCGTGTCGTCGTCGCCATCAACGACGACGGCGACGGCGCCGGCTGCTGCTGGTAGCTGCGATGATGGCGGAGAGGAGGAGGAGGAGGAGGTGTGGACGGTCGACGTCGTCGCGGAGCTCATCGGCGGCGAGGCCGAGCGCTCGCACTCGCCGCGGGCGGACTACCCCGGCCGCCTCCGGTCCGGCCGCCCCGCCGACCTCGCCGCCCGCGCCGACTCCGTCGCGTGGATCCTGAAGGTGATTTTAAACCTGATTAGGAGTACTAATAATCCTAATTAAATTAAACCTCAGTAACTACTCCCTTTCTGCTTACATTCACATAGATACGAGTGAATATGAGAAATGCTAGAATGACTTATAGTGTGAAACAGAGCAAATAATGGACAAAGTGTATGAGGATTAATTAATACAAAACACAAATTATTAGCAGTAATTAATAATACTTGTGTGCAGGTGAGAGAGTTGTACGGTATGCTTCCGGTGACGGCCTACCTCGCCGTCAGCTACATGGACCGCTTCCTCTCCCTCCACCGTCTCCCGGTACGTATCTTATACGTGCGTATATACGTACATTTTGTACGTGTGAGTTAATCATTATCTCAACCCATGCATATGGTTCGTTTTGGGCTGTGTATATCTTTCTAAGTAGAGGCCGGGTTAATATAATCCATTATCTGCTGGACTGTCGTATATATGTATGTATGTACGTGCGCGGTGTGCGTACCCTGCATATGTATCGTCCATCTTAAAGTATACTCCCTCTATTTTTTTAATATATGACGTTGATTTTTGTTATAGCCTTTGATCATTCGTCTTATTTAAAAAATTTGTACAAATCTTAAAAATATGAATAATGCTTAAAGTTCAGTTAGCGATAAATCAAACCACAACAAAATAATAGAAATTTACTTTAAATTTGTTAATAAGACGAATTGTCAAATATTATATAAAAAGTTAACGAAGATATACACACACACAATTTTGCGTGGTTTATTGTCTACAAGTAATTAAGTTGAATATAATGTCATAGAAGTAGGATGTTCGGCAATAAATTTAGTCTAAGTTTAATGGTCTAAGAACTAATAAATTTTACTGAAAATTCTAAGTTTAATTGGCTTTAGAGCATGTTCATAGGTAAAGCCTTCCATTTAGATACTATTGTAGACGATAAAAGCTCTAACTAAAATAAATTTGTATTAATTACCTTTCTTTCATTTTCCCTATTCCCATATAGTAAAATTTTCTTTCACAAACGTTAGAAGTTCATATTAAGATGTTCAGCTTAATATCGATTTTTCTCTCTCGTTTTCCCTCTCCTCTTCATGTCAACAATTTACCTTATTTTCCCCAAAAAAAAACAAATTACCTTATTAACAACTGGAGTATAAAACCTGTTATTATTTGTTGTTGTACATGCTCATATATGTGTACGCGCCACGCATGTCTTTTTAAGTTTGGAGATAGTTGCTTAGGTAGGTCAATTAAACAATTCTCAGTTAAGATAATTTTGGTTGAGTGAGCACTCGAAAGTCGGGACATTGAAATTGGATTAATTAGCTTGCGGACCGTACTTTGATTAGGCCAATCATGAGTTCATTTTCTTTTCTAGTTTAGGTATACATGGGCACTTCACGTGCGCACGCACGAATTTTTTTATTTGTTGAACCTTTTTACTTTTTTATTTTAAAACTAAACTCTTTTGAAATTTATTTGTAAATCTGAACCTTTTGACCACGCCAGCTCGACAAAACAACACTGGCAAGCCACCTGCAGCGAATATATCAGTTTTGTCCTGCCACGTCAGCGAGAGTGGCGTGGCTAAATAACGATGCCATGCCGTGGACAAATAACGCTATCACGCCAGCAGGAGCAGCGTGGCGGTATAATTTTGCCACGCCAGTTTGGCTGGTGTGGCCAAAAAGTTCAGATTTTGAAAATAAATTTTAGATGGGTTTATTTTTAAAACTAAAAATTCAAATGGTTGTGTTCTAGCACTCTGAATATCTGATTAATTAGAGGTTTAGGTTTACATGGCAGGCATACACTTTGATCATTGAATGCACCAACATATGTATGTGCTTCTTCTCAGGATTTAATCCCAAGGAAAATGTGGACATTCATATGCTGAATCAGGGACGAGATAGAACCTGTGGGATGGGCTGGTTCCATGCACGACAACCACAAGGATGAAGGATCCTACTCCCTCCATTTCAAAATAAATTAATTTTTAAAATTTAAATTTTATCTCAAAATAAATTAATTCCTACCAATCATGGTTCATGAATCGAGAAATTTTGTCCCTCAATTATCTCTCACATACTCACTCATGAATATTGCTTTTCTATTAATGAGGGGCATTATAGTTTTTTATCCTACTAATTTTAGGACCAAGAGAGCAACTAGCTGCACTAGCAACACTCGATTTATAATAATAAATTATTTTTTATCTTTAACAAAAATATAACCATACGAACATTTTTATGCTTGGATAAATAATATTGCATTATTATGAAGTTTTATAAATATATTACAATATAAATGTCGCAAAAAATGCACTTTACAGGCTGTGTGTTGATGTCCAAAATACATATAGTCCCATGAATATAACTTCTTAGCCGAGAACCTGGAGTAACCAACAAAAACCATGTAGTGCAATATTACTAATGCTAGCAGACATACCATTAATCAGAGATATAAAACCTAATAAAATCCTTGCACTCCCTGTGGTATATGAAATATTGCGAAGCAACATTCTTTCTAATCATCATAAAGGCCTGGATCACATAACACTAATATTAACTGCTCTTATAGGACAGAACCATAATATTAACTGATCTGCAACAAATTAATGTCCCTCTTAATTTCCTTGGATAGTACCCTCTCAAGCTAGCTCTCATAACAAACCAATTAATCCAACAAAAAAAAAAGGCTCTGGAAGCTATCATGCAATTCTATATGTGCTGGTGATCATGTGGAAATCAATTAATATCCATGAAATTGAATCTACATGGTACACTAGTACAAAGCCCAGCTATAAGGTGGTCCATTAATTGCACATACTTCATTTCAAGATTAAAGGTGCTCACCAGGACCATATATGCAATGATTCAATTGATGCATGACTCATCTTGTTCAGTTATATACATAGGAGTGTATATATCATGATTCATCTTGACAGATGGCTAGCTAGCAGTTTGTTGTGTCAATGGCTATAAGAACACAGTACAAACACCATTCCCTTGATTTCTGGATCCTTGCCCTAGTCTTTAATGCAGTACATTTTGTGTTTTTATCATGTGAAACTGCAGGGTAATGGATGGGCAATGCAGCTGCTTGCAGTCACCTGCCTCTCCCTTGCCGCCAAGATGGAGGAAACTCTAGTGCCATCCATCCTAGATTTACAGGCAATTTAAACCAATCACTCAATCACATTGATGTTTTGATCTCAATTAAATCCTCTTTGGAACAAAGGAAAATGAAGAATTCTTTTTAGGATTTTAATCCTATAGTTATTTTTTAAAAAAATGGTCCTTTAAACAAAGGACTGGATCTATGATTTTTTTAATGGCTCAATCCATGAAGATGTTGGAGAAAAGTTAGCATGGGATTCAACCTCGTGAAAAATTTATTTGAGTCTATCTCTCTCATTCAATTCTTGTGCATTTCTTATGGTCTTTCCAAATAACCATTCATCATGTGTTTTCTATTTCTCTATTTTGCATATGCATTTCTACCAAAATCCTTTTTCTTCTATTCCTGCCGTTTACGATTCTTGTGTTCCAAAGGTGGCCTAAGTGCTCTTAACCAAATATTTGTTCCATTTATGGTATATTTGCATTGTTTCTGTCAATATTAATTCATCCTAGGGTCTGATAGTACTTCCTTTACGAAAATACTTTCTTACAACATGCATACATGCACATTGTTGTACATTTACAGATGGAGGATGCAAGATACATATTTGAGCATCGGACAATTTTTCGGATGGAGCTTCTAGTCCTTGATGCGCTAGATTGGAGGCTTCGATCGATAACACCCTTCACTTTCATGTACTTGTTTGCTGACAAGGTCGATCCAAATGGCAAGCACATCAGGGAATTGATCCATCAAGCCACTCAAGTAACATTAGCCACAATTCATGGTATTCCACGCAAAATAGTATATGCAAAATAGTACTAGATTGGTTTTTTATGGGACGGAGGAAGTACCAAATAAGGGCTCGTTTAGAACACAAGTATTTTCTTCGAAAGCTAAATACTTTATATGAAATCCTACAAAAATGTTTTAAAACCCTTAGTTCAAAATGAGCCCTGATCATAGTATTGTTTTCAATGTGAATTCTACAAATCTAATTATCCAAAATTGTCACAGACACTGAGTTCTTGGATCACTGCCCATCATCCATCGCAGCAGCAGCAGTGCTATGCGCCTCCAGTGAGATCATGCAACTTGTGTCCATTGATCATGGAACTCTGGTTAGCTGGCGCATTATTGGCCTTGACGAGGTAGTACATGCTTACCCTGCAGAGGGTTTCAGAGTTTCAGTGATTAATCATCGTGAGATTCTCGCGTGGTCATCACTAGATGGGAATGTAGTGTCCTGATAACCTTCAAATTAACCTTTTGCCTCTGTCTTGTCCGTGTAGGAAGCAATCATCAGGTGCTACCGGCTAATGCAGCAATTGATATCTAGTAACAATGTTGGGAGAGAATCGACAGAGATAACAATGGCGACGACGACGACGACGGCGACAACTGCTGTGAGCTCAGAGGAGGTTGTGTCCTCTTCTCCCCCATCAAAGAGGAGGAAGATGTGACCAGGCACATGACAGAATTTGATGCAACATTGTTAATTTTCAGTGATTATTCAGCATTTGTGTTTGTGATATACATAGGGGTCCTAGTTTAATTAGCAGAGTTTGGTTTTGTGATGTTATGTTCCTGCAATGTTTTTTTTTTTTTTTGGCCCTTCCTTTAACCTTCTTGTAGATAGCCCTACTGGTACAGTTGAGTCATCATGCCAGTGGCTGCAGGTTCTGAACTGCCAGTCTGTGAAGGAAACAAAATGAGATAGATTTGTGCTTGTCCAGTTGTCCTTGCTGGATTGTAGTACTAGCAATGTGTGCAGCAGGACATGCTCTGATTCACAGAATATTTACATGGATTGGTGAATGAGGCCTTGTTTAGTTACAAACTTTTTCTTCAAACTTCCAACTTTTTCATCATATCAAAACTTTCCTACACACATAAACTTCTAACTTTTCCATCACATCGTTCCAATTTCAACCAAACTTTTAATTTTGGCGTGATCTAGACACACCTGGAAAGGGCACTGGAGTGAGCTGAAATTGAGCTGGTCAGGCATAAAGTCAAGGCTTGGGGTCAGATACTACATTGTTGGCTACTCCCTGCCAAGATCTGTTCATGTTCATCAGGGAAAGTCTGTCTGCTCCTGATGAGTGATGTGTAGTTTTTTTATTATTATTTTTTTGGCTTGCTCCTGTGTGTTATCAAGTGAATCCAAACTTGAAAGGGGAAGCATAATGCCTGTACTGCGAAAGGCACATGCAGCCATAAGGCTTTGTCCATCTCCTGCTGGCTCATTGTGTATTTATGTGCAAACAAAGATATCAGGGCATTTGGGGGACTTGCCATAATTTTTTGATATCTGTACTTTCTGTATTGGTTATCATTACATTCATCGATAAGAATCGTACATCTATCTATACCTATGTTAATATGGCTATTTCTTATGAGCTTTCACATTAACAAAACGACCACTGATTAGAATGATCGAATTATCGTGCGTAGATCGTGTTGGGAGTCCATGTCAAATAAATCACACAATTGAAAATAGCATACACTATAATTTAATAGTTCTGAATTTGTAATTAATAAATACATTCTATATTGTATCCATCTTGGATCTCAATTTAATGCTCTATTAATTTAATTCTCAAATCTGAAATTAATAATTATTAAGTTGTAATTGAATGGTCACATGGACTCCTTTTTTAATATAAGCACATATAATTTCAAGAGCAATTTTATAGTATTTGAGGAGGTAACATGAGGTATTACTTTTTCTATTGTAAATTTAGTACATCTTGGTATCTATGTACTAGGAGGTACAAAACTTTACACTAAATACCTCATAATACTTACTCAAGAACCGTAAAATTGCTCTGAGTACTTGAGTTTTCCACTCAATGAGTCCCTTAATAGGGATGGCGCCTAGTCAAAATGGTGAGATGTTGTAAATTGGTGAAAAACAAAGTCTCGGAATTTTCAACAAAGAAGGTAAAACTAAAGGTCATAAGGGAGAAATGTAGTATCCGTATATCCATAAAGTAACTTCAAGATGAAACCTACTCATATTTCATAGTAAAATATAAAAACAGGAGTAAATTGCATATTGGGCTATCTATGGTTACCAAGTTTTCACTTCAGATCATCCTCTCAACAACGTTTTCACTTCGGACTAGGAATAATTACATTTTGTTACAATTTGGACCACCCCATCCCACTCCAACTCTTTCTTCTTCTCATGCTCTAGCTAGTTGGTGTCCACAACTCCAAATCGAGCTTTGGCAGTTCACTGGCGAGCTGGTGGTGTCCACATCGTGGTGTAGGCAAAGGTTGGGCATGAACAATTTGAGCAGCCAAAGTGTGGGAAGAAGAAATGGATGGAGAGGGTGGTCCAATTCTAGCTAGTCCAAAGAGAAAACTTGGTTAAAGGATTACTCCAAGATAAAACTTTGGTAATAATAGGTACTCTAGACCAATGTGCAATTCACTTAAAAAATGTTTGATGAACAGAGGACAATACCATTCATGAAGTATCTTTTTGTTCATGTCTTATAAAGGAGGTCAAGATTAATCTTGCACTTTTTGAAAATCCTTCCACATTTACCCTAGTTTGACAAGTAGTCAAGTACTCCAATTTACAATACCAGTTTGGATTGCTATCAGATTTAACATACCGATTTTGGTCAAGACCAAATCCCAATTGCAACCCAAACCAAACAGTGGCTAAAGCATGGGGTTTGGTAATTTTCACTACCAAACAGTGGCTAAACCATAGGGTACGTAGTATTTGCGCACAAATGCATTACTGTTCAAACATTTGCAAATCTGAGGATGCAAATAGTACTTCTCCTGGTGATCATTGGATCGAATAGCCGAAAGCAAAGAAACATGTCTGCAGGTCCGTCATACATCTCTAGTAGTATTGTGTGTCATCTTGTGTGCTTCCAAAACAATGGAGGAAGCATGCAGCAAACCAACTCACAAGGGGCGTGTGACATGACATGACCCAACAAGGGCCAAAGGCAGCCAGCCAAGCAGGGAGGCGGAATGACATGTTTCTTCCCTTCAATGACATATCTGCCGTGAGGGAGATACTTAATTTAAAATTGGTTTTTTTTTAAACTAAACCGGTAGGAGAGCTGCCAATTATATTTTTAATAAGCAGGAGTAAAAACCCTAGACGGGTTACAAGAAAAGAAAAACCAACCACCGGCTGGCTGATCAACAGTTACACAGCACACGCCAGAACTCACTAACAGCTGAAACCACTGACGGAGCCCAACGTAGGATGTCGTTACCAACGTTGACCAAAACAACATAGGGGGTTCCGACTTTACAATTGTGTCATCGTTGCCGAGCTTGCCGCCAAGCGACACAACAGCTCCAACTTCAAACCGGATGCACCATCAGAACCTAGATGCTGCAAATGATCAAGTGGCTTCGACTTCTCACGATGAACATCAGTCAAAGCCGCCTAAGCGCCACAATCTATTCACGGCCAACAACAAAACCCTTAGAAAGAAAATGCAGTGTGTCATTGTTGCCCAGCTTCGTCACTCTGACAAAGCAGCTCCGACTCTATCTAGCAAAATCAAACAAAGAGCGAGGTCGTTCACCGCAAAACAAAAGGTGGAGCTAGAAAGCGAAGGCCTAGTCAAAACCTAGGGCTGAAAAGCTTCGAAGCAAATGCATAGACCATCAACGACATCCTTGCACGAAGAAGTTTCTTCAAAGCGGTGCCCCCAAGGAGGACGCGACGTGGATCGCCGCCACCGCTCGTTCAGAAGCCGAAGCAAGGTTTTCACCTGGAGAATGTTAAGGAAAGGAGAGGGGTACGCTAAAACGACGCCTCCAAGGAGGGGAACGACGCCAAAAGGCGTCGCCGTCGTCAGCCGGCCAAACGGCTCGGCGAGGCTTTCGCCAGCGATTCCCTGTCCAAAGCCCCACAACCAATCCGCACAAGAAGGACTGTCGTCGGTCGACACATTGTCCCTTCAGCGATCCGGCCTAGGCCACTGCCACATATCTTCCCGCCGTCGACGTTGCGCCTACACCCGGTCTCCTTCCCCACCTCCACATGTTGCCGCCGCCGCCGACACACCGTCAGCCCCTTCGGTTGTGATGGCCTGCCAACCATCACCGCAACAGGCGCCACCGTCGCCAGCCGCCACCGCCACCGCCACCGTCGCCATCCGCCACCGTCAGCTGCCACCATCGCCAGACGTCGCCGCCAGCCGGCCAGATCCGGCCTGGGTGGCGCGGATCTGGAGGTGCAGCGCGCCGCGCGGGTCGTCGGCGTCGTGGAGGGAGCGTCGACGAGGGTGTCGCGCCAGAGGTCATGCGGCGAGGTCCTTGACGAGCCCGGCCGGTGTCGCAACACGCGCCGCGGCCCGCCGACGTCGTCGCCATATCCGCCACCAGTGCCGCCGCCGCCACAACCGCCACCAGCGCCGCCACCACCACCGTCAGCCCCCGCCACCCGGCCACCTCCCTGGCAGATCTAGCCGGACACAGCACGGATCTGGCCACCACCGCAGCCGCCACGGACAGCTCCCCCGGCCTCCGAGCGCAGCGTGGGCGAGATGAGGCCCTGCCGCCGCCGTCCTTGCAGCCGCGCGGCTTTGGCGGCGGTGAGGCGGAGGAGGAGGCGGGGAGAGGAAGGCGGTGGCGGGCGCGTCACCTCCCGAGCCGCCCGGGGGAGGGCGATGTGGGGGTCGTGGATTATACTAGGACTTAAAGGACAAATTGGTTTTCTTGTGAGTTCTGTTCTTTTTACCTGACATTCTAGACAACGACACATTATATCTGATCTCAAATGTAGGTATTTCATTATTGCTATTACTAAATATATATCTACAAAAACTATTAAAATATAATTACATGAAGGTATTTATATTAGGAAAACGTAACAACCTCTATGTGCGCGATCCGGAGGCGACCGCAGATCCAGCGTTGCCTGGCCTCCTTCCCACCATCTATCCTGCCGCCACTGGAAAAACCGTGCGGTGAGCAAGGAGGGTGGTGACAGGAATGACCATTGGTGCCCTTAATCTCGTACGCGGGTGACGTGTGGTCGTGGATGAAGCCCGCTGGCTGTTGCAGCGCGGTACGATGGCAAGGTGGGTAGCCAGCGACAGCTAGGATAAGGTGGAGGTGACGTGTGGTGGCGGCGGTCGCGGGGGACAGCTCCATGGTGGCACCGTGTTGCCAAGCGGCGGCAACCCAACACGACGACGAGTGCGCCGGGAGACAATAGCCGCCTATCCCTTCGATGGATTTTGGCATATCCGAGTTTGGATCTGGCTATGGATATTGATCTATAAGCTGGTGCCAAATTTTAAATCTTAAAATTTGATTTTTGAAGTTTTTTATTTTTATTGAAGTTTATTTTTCAGCATTGATTTTTTAAATCAGTAATAGCAATACATATATAAAAGTTTGATTTTATTTTATTGCTAATAAACCGTGTGGCTTATAATCAGCAATAGTCCTGATAACTCAAAGTTACACAAACACTCTCTTGTCCCAGAATGATGCACACTGATTTGTCAGCCAGAGCTGCAGATCAAACTGGGGCACGGGCGCTCCCCACGCGCGCAGAACAGAGCACCACGAAGCTCCAAACACATTCCTCCATCATCTCATCTTTTGACCGGTCACCGGCCGGCCGGGGACCTACGCGGCGGCCACCACCACCACCACCGGCAGCGCCATGACAGCCTGAACTTGTGTTTAAGTAAGCCCCAAAGCGTAGCAAAGTATTGCAGGACCAACGAAAAGGTGAGGCTGTGCTTTGATTTGATCTTCTTTTTTGTGTGCATGACCACCTACTATACCTCTCTTTGATTCTGCAACTCTGAATCTGAAACGCATTGTGTTCTGACATTGCAGGTTTCTTTTTTTTTTTTTCTCTTTGGCCTCTGGGGCTCTTTCATGATTCCAAAAGTGCAATGTTGCATCACTGGAGTGAACTGATTGTTTGCTTTGCTGAATTGTATTATTGGAAGAGTTAAAATCTTCCTTAGTTACTACCAACATCCCACCAAAGAAAGAGCTATCTAGTCTGTTCTACACGTTAAGTACCCACTATTACGTCACTTCGAAACCACATGGGACTAAACTACACTATTACTGCAGTCTATATAGGTTTCAAATGGAGTGCGGTGTTACACTTCCAATCCTCTATGGCCACGTAGCCTTGCGGCCAGGGTTACCGATTTCGAGGTAAAAACCGGTTCCTGTTGGCCGCAAGGCTACACAAAACCGGACCCTACTGGTTTCAAGAACAAAAAAAGGAATGGACTCCCGCACTATCTCTAGTTCTTTACACATGTCATGGAGGAATAACTCAGTGAAACAACGCACTGTCTGGTGCTGTTTGTTAAAAAAAAAAAGAAAGAAAAAACTTAGAGTGACTGACCAAGAAATCCATGATCTGGTCTACGTTCTTGGTTCGTCTACCGATTCATCAAGAAGAGATTCCACACCGGCCTAGCTACGGTGTCCCGTGATGTCGGCTGTCGGCAAGATCAACATGTATGTTTCGTTCAGCTCCTCCAGTGAAATGGCCCCGGACAGCTATATAGCCTGAATCCCAATCAGAGATGCAGTCATGGATGATAACCATGCGTCGTATGCTTCAGTAATTCAGTTTAGTAGGCTCATGTGCCTCTGAATCTCTGATTGGGAAGTTGCAGTAGGCAGACATTCCAGTTTGGATGCCATGATCAGTTAGTTATCAATGCCGATCCTGTGCTGATGCAGTTGTTGGGTTGGGTCTGATTAGTGTGACGAGCAGGAAGAGACATTTGCCAGTTTTTCTGGATCTGCTACATCATTCAGAGGCTTTGCTAATTGATGCTGTATTTCTGTCTCCAAAAAAAAAAAAAAGTAAGTGAAATCTTTGAGAAATTATGTGATTCTTGGATGCTTGCCCCGTTCTTTTTAGCATATCGACTTATCGAGTCATATAGATTATTCATGCCATGCTTTTAAAAGTTCGATTTCTGAGCTACTTTCCTCGTACTTAAATATGTGATACTAAATTTAAAACTTTGATCATCAATAACTCTAAAAAAATCTAAAAAAATTTAGTTTGAAAGCATAAAAGACATATGGATAGCATACTAAAATCTTGTTATAGATGTGGAGTAGAAAAAATAGTGGTCAACGACGTACATCAAAGATCAAAAAATCAATGATATCATATACTCCTATTTAAATACAACGATAGTACTCCCTCCTTACCAAATTGATCATTATACAAGTTTATATACCAAGATCAAGAATAATTTAAATCACATCAATCAATATACTATGCACACATTCTCTCACAATGCATGCATCGATTAAAACACCATATCAATTACACCTTAGCATGCATACATTCTCCCATACTGTATTAATTATATTCTGATAAAATCCGTGTCCATGCGGTTATATGATGATTAATTTGAGAAATTTTAAATACTCTGCAACTCTTGTCCCAGCCCATATACACGTCATTACGTAACCCAAAAATGTTATAGTGGGCTTGGACTAGCCTAGGTTATGGGCCAGCCCAGCCCAAAATGCATATAGGTTTGATCAATATGGGCCAGTGTTGTTTTGTGCCAGATTCAGGCCTGCATTTTTCTGCCGAAAGAGGCCTCGCTGATTTGAGTGAAACGTTAAGAACACATTGAAGAGATGATGAACTGCACAAACAGATGCAAAAGAAGAAAATAAAAAAAATTGTTGATCTCTTGGCTTGATTTACACACATCAGTTTCCTGAAAATTCTCACTCTGTTTGGCTAGGATATTATCGTTATCGATTATGGTGATATAATTACTCCCATCAAACTATCGTCAGGCTCAAGGATGGTACGTAATTGAGTAAGGATGCTTATTCCTTGTACATAACAAGAGCTTTCATGACAACAGAAAAAATACCTGCCCTAACCACAAGTCAACCACACAATCTTGCAAATTGTCACGTTATTAAATCTCTCTGTCTCTGGTCTTCTTGAAGCACCAAGTGAGCAACTTTTTTTAGTGACACGAACTATCACTGCTTTATCATTATTTTTTGTTTACTTTGTGGTTTGTGCACCACCAACAGGCAGCAGTTCAGGGTTTACTTTTTGCATGTCGACATCCCTAACTACAACCCTGACAGTGATCAGCAAACTTTCAGAAACAGATGTGTCAATCCATCTCAACCTTTCTCAGGTGCATACATGTTATAATAGTTATTGTTTTTGTAAGTGTAATTTTATCTGAACAATGTGTAGAAAAATGACTAGAAAACCTCCACTTTGGTGCTTAGAGGTTCCTTTGGAATTGAGAAATTTGCTGCATTCTTGCAGAAAATTGGAATAGTTGTATGAAATTTTCGTAGAATCATTGTGTTCCAAAGGATCCCTGAGTTTGTTCTTCTTTTCTCTGCCTCTCAAGGGAACAAGTGCAATACATAAAAAGTGAGGCAAAATGGTATTTCGACAATTAAATACTCAAATTTCCATTAAATAATAAACAGGATATATGCAAGTCATCTACTCATCAGCCGCCCAAGTTAAGAATTAAATATTGCCCATTTTCATCATGATCTTGAAACGTGCCGGCCAAATCAGTTGTTGTCTTGAGCTGTTGGGAGCATGTAATGCTACATCCTACATGCAATGTATTATCAATGCAAGATGCCATTTTATATTGCGCTCTTTTTTTCCACAGAACATTTTATATTACAATTTTTAAAAATGCCGTCTTTGCTTGAACATACCTGTATGCCTAGTCAAAGCACTGTTGGAGTTGTACCCATCATTTGAACATTATTGATTTGGTGCTTCGCTACATTAAGCATGTGTGGCAACCGACCAGTCACTAGTACTATGAACCATTATTCTCCAAAAAGAAGAATAAAAACAAAATTTTCTGGTTTAACCTCCATATCAATGAATAGGCCCTTCAAACATCTGTTTGTCAATAGTGGAAAAACAGAACTTTTTTTTAAAAAAAAAGAGGTGAAAATGGAACCTACTTATTCTCCAAAAAGAAAAATAAAAGGAGTGAAGATGAACTATGTTCCCTTGTTCAGTCTTTTCCTCTTTCCCTAATTCCTGCATTATATAGATTTTGCTGGTCAGAAAAGTTCAGCCTTTCCACAACCATGATGCATTGCTCTAACTTTACTTTCATCAAAAACACACTAGCTATGAACACTGTCTTTTCAGGCTTTTAGCCATCCCATGATTGCTTAACATGCACATATAGGTGTGTTTAGTTTCTAAAAAAAAGTTGAAGGTTTGAAGAAAGTTGAAAGTTTGAAGAAAAAGTTAAAAGTTTATATGTGTAAAAAAGTTTTTGATGTGATATAATATGATGGAAAGTTGGGAATAGAGGGAAACTAAACACCGCCATATATGAGCAGGTAAAATTGACCAAAGAACCAAACTATCAAGACATTAGACATGCGCATCAGCAGTAATTACTAGCTACAGCATGCACATACTTTACTGCATACGTAATCTCTTGCTGAAAAGAAAGAAGAGAAAAGAAAACGAAGTGTTCAGAAATCAGAATTGTTTACTCTGCCCAATGCAGAGCAGCAGTTCACAGTTCACACCACATGACATGGCCCTGTTTAGATGGGACTAAAACTTTTAAGTCCCTATCACATCGGATGTTTGAAAATTAATTATAAATATTAAACGTAGACTATTAATAAAACCCATCCATAATCTTGGACTAATTTGCGAGACAAATCTAATGAGCCTAATTAATCCATGATTAGCCTATGTGATGCTACAGTAAACATTCTCTAATTATAGATTAATTAGGCTTAAAAAATTTGTCTCGTGAATTAGCTTTTATTTATGTAATTAGTTTTGTAAGTAGTCTATATTTAATACTCTAAATTAGTGTCTAAAGACAGGGACTAAAGTTAAGTCCCTGGATCTAAACACCACCGAAATCGCCTGCCGCTCTGGCCTCTCTGCAGCTGCCACAGCCTCTGGATCCGGATCTCTCTCCCGTTTCTTTTGCCGTCTCTATCCTGTGCAGTTACTTCATCGCGTCAGGATATGCAGTGAAAAATCCGCTGGGGTGTTTAGACCTGTTTAGACGGGACGATGTTTTGGACTGTAATTATAAATATTAAATGTAGACTATTAATAAAACCCATATATAATCTTAGAGAGATAAATCTATTGAGTCTAATTAATCCATGATTAGTCTATGTGATGTTACAGTAAACATTCTCTAATTATGGATTAATTAGGCTTAAAAAATTTGTCTCGCAAATTAGCTTTCATTTATATAATTAATTTTGTAAGTAGTCTATATTTAGTACTCTAAATTAGTGTCTAAATATAAGGACTAAAGTTAAAGTTCCTAAATTCAAACACCACCTTACTGTGGTGGATGCATCACCAATCTAATCTCCGACGAGCTCATCTCATTGAGCATGCAGGAGTTGATCTAGGGGTGTGTTTAGTTCGCGCCAAAATTGAAAATTTGATTGAAATTGAAACGATATGATGTAAAAGTTGAAAGTTTGTGTATGTAGCAAAGTTTTGATGTGAAAGAAAAATTGAAAGTTTGAAAAAAAATTTGGAACTAAACTCGGCCTAGGATGGCACTGGAAATGTTCACCAATTGGTTTGCAAATTGCAATGTACATGTGCCTGCGACCTTATGGATATCGTTGGGGTAACCATTGGTTCGAAACGATCCATGAAACCAGCAGCAAAATCGTAAGAACTCTACATAAAGTGTTGTTTTTTGGTGAAAATTTACGGAAGGCATTCTGATTCATGTGTTCTGAAGAAGACTGGTGCGCAATCTCGGAGAGGGATCTCGCATGGTTACATGCCACTGTGGGCTCAACTGATGCATGGCCCTGTAGCATCTTGAAATTCCATTTTCATTCTGAGTAGATAATAGATTGACCATTTTTCCTTTTTTTTTCCCCAAGACCACATGGATCCAAACAACAAAGAAGATCACACCATGAACAGTCCCCCCCCCCTGTTTTTTATACTCATGTTTGAATCAGCAGCTAGCTGATGAACTGATGATCCTACCATCCTAGCAGTAGCAAGCAGTAAACTACAGCAGTAATTATTAATTAACAACCCTGTGCTGTTCGTTGCAAAACTACTCTGAAAATTCTGAAGCTGCGAGTTCTTCACTGTGCAAGCCAGCAGCTACGCTTGACCTAACCGAGAACTCTTCACCTAATTTACATTTCTGATTTCTACCTTCCCAATTTCCAAACCAAACCCTCCTGTACTAATCGTAGTTTAATCCTGGCCGTACGATGTCAGCTCGCCGACTCCGAGATGCTCTGCAGCGACGGCCGCCAATTCCGCCCTCTGCCGCCGCCGCCGCCGCCGCTGCTCCGGTGCCGGTCTTTCTCCGCCGGCTTCCGCTCCTGAGTCACCAAGAAGAGGGGAATTCAGAACACAAATTCAGCTGGTCGGAGAAGAAGAGAGAGAGGGAGAGAGCAAGAATTGGGCGGAGCGAGTAATCACCTGGTGATCGGAGGGTCGCCTCTGTTCTTCTCCGGCGGCGGCGGAGTCGCCGGTCTGCGGTTGCCGGTGGTGGTGGTCGGTGACCTCCTTGCACCGCCGCATCTTCTCCTGCCGCCTCGCCTGCAGCGCCTTGGTCACCTCTGCGCGGACAAGGAGCAGACACGGATTAGATTTTAGCCTAAGCCTCCATGGATGGAAATCGAGCAAGAAGCAGAGCAATCCAAGAAAGAACATAATCTCTGATTGATTTGATACCTTGGGAGGTGACGAGGCGGTAGACCTTGCCGAGGAGCAGCGTCTCCTTGGGCTTGAGCAGCTTGATCTTGGTGATCTTCGCCGCCGCCCCTCCGGACTCGTCGCCGACGGCCGCTCCGACGGCGGAGTGTTCGGCCTTGCCGCCACCGCCACCACCGGACGAGGAGGCGGAGACACGGAGCAACACGAGGGCGACGTAGTGGCCTGGGTTGCTGCGCATGACGTCCGCCGCGGTGGCCGGCCAGTAAAGCCGCTCCACCTTGCCGCCCGGGTGCTGGATCACCACCGCCGCCACCTCCGCCGCCTGGCAATTCCCCATCGCCGCCGCCGCCGCCCGTACCCACAGCCCACCACCTCGCCGGCGTCACCAATGGCTCCCTTCGACGAAGAGGAGGAGGAGGAGGAGGTCGTCGTCGCCGGCGGCGTGGGAGCTGCAGCTGAGCTTGTGGTTGCGGCGGTCGGGGAAGACGGGGGGTGGGTGGTTTATATCGGGGCGGGAGGTAGGGGAGCAGAGCAAGCGAGCGAGAGTGATTAGGGAGGTAATTAAATTAAATTAGCCTTTGTTTAATCATAATGGTTGGCTGTTAGCGACGTGATTAACGAAGGGGTCAACGTGTTAATTAGGGTAATACTTCTCCATCCACAAGTAGTAGTCCCCGTCATTAAATAGGTAAGTGAATGTTCTAAATAGATTGGATAAATAGTGGAGGTAGGTGGGAAAGTGAATGGTGGATGGTTATGATTGGTTCGGAAGAGAATGTTGATAGAAAAGTTGTTATATTTTAGGACAAATTCTAAGGGCTAAAAGTTATTATATTTTGGGACGGATAGAGTAATTTTTTTTCTCCTTCCATGTGTATTCTATAATAAGTTTATTTTTAAATAATCATTACGTTGAAGTTTGTAGAAATAGAAAATAATTGTATTATTTTGGTAGATAAAGTAAAGAATAATTGTATTTAGATTTGATAGAGCAGATGTATTTTAACTATTTTGATTTTATGTTTATATGTGTGAAATGGATGAAAAACGAATTTATTTTGGGAAGGACAAAGGAGGAGTACTCCCTCCGTCCCATAAGAGCAAGTTTGATAGTATAGCCATCTACTAACTACAAATCATCTATAGCCAATTTAATAGCTCATTCATATAATAGTTATCTATAAACCATTAATATATGGTCCCACATCTCGCACACACACAACGTATTGTAGTTCGTGCTGCAGCTGGCTACAAATCTGTAGCCCGCTTTTCTTCTCTCTTCTCTTCTCTCCTCTACATGTGTTTGCAGCTGACTTGTAGCCTACTATTGTACTCATTCTAAAAAATGAATTTAGGATCGGATGTGACACATTCTAGTACAAGATAAAATGTATGTCTAAATTCGTAGTACTATGATGTGTTATATCTGGTACTCTCTCCTTCCCAAATTAATCATCATATAATAGAATCCAAAATTTCTCAAATTGATCATCATATAACCGCATGGACACGGATTAATGCAGCATAGGAGTATATGTGCATGCTAGAGTATAATTGACATAGTGTTTTAATCGATGCATGCATTGTGATAATATGTGCATGGTGTCTTGATTGATGCGATTTAAATTATCCTTGATCTTTGTGCATAAATATATATGATGATCAATTCAGGATGGAGGGAATACTAGGTTAGTTTTTTTATAGGACGGAGGGAGCACATGTTTAGGCATGTGAATGAACAGGAAAAAGGAATTATTTCTTTCTGCCCGGCCGGATTAATTGATGTTTAACAGTGGGCTGCCCAGTGGATAGACTTGTTCTTTTGTTTCTACGTCAGGGCATGTTTTGAGCATGCCATATGTGTGTCTCCTAGATAGGGTTGAAAAATCCACATGGCTGTATACGGTGTAAAACTCTAGTTATTAGAAGGGAAAAAAAGGAATGTTAACATCCACAATATTTGTCTAAGGCCCTAAGAGATGTATATCTAGTTTGCAATCGACGACGATATCGATGGTGGTCATGGTCACATAGATATCGATGTTGGTCTTGATCATACACGCATAATGTATACCCTACGTTCTTTTAGAAAAATAATTTCTAGTTATTAATATTTACATGGGTCCCATCATCAGGTTTATAATTTAGAAGTTGATTTTTTTTTAGAATGGAGAGAGAGAGAGAGAGACCAAGTATAGTAGTTAAGAACAGCATAGCCATTTCATCTCAATTGACTTTCTATATTCTTTTCCCCCACTTGTTTTCTACTAATATCAATATGATTAGGAATCTACCTGACATCAATTTCTACCATTACATTCTTGAATGAAAAGAGAGAGAAAAAAATGCAATTCCACATTTTACACATTGGGTTTTTGGATCTTGGATCACACTTCCATAGTTCCATGTACCTTCCTCATTGGATTCCCACCCTTATTTTTCTCCCAAACTTCCAATCTCAGTGAAACATCCACAACACCATATTATTCTCTCCCCACATTTTCACCCTTTTGCTGCCTTTCCAGTGCACAAAAAAGGCAGATCTTAAGCTCTCCAAATGGCATCGCCCATCCTCGACACGTGTCACGACCCCACTGGTAGAAACTTTAACTATGCCAACACCCAATCAATGCAACGTGGGCCACGTGGCACCAGCGAACATACCGGTGGGCCCCACAGGTAAGGGCTCCCAGCTGCTTACGTACCCTAGCCTGGGAACATACGTGTCGACGTCTACGAGATGGCCGTACAGCTTCCATATGCTCCTACCGTAGAGAGACGCTATTGTTCACTGTACAAGTGACAGAACGCTGCACAGATCAGCGTGTCAGTGATGTTACCTCGGAGACGTGGTACTTGTAGTATAATATACGTATATAGATCCTGTACACTGTATAAAATTTCTTTAGTTAGGTTGTGTTTAATTCACACCAAAATTAAAAGTTTGGTTGAAATTAGAACGATGTGATGAAAAAGTTGGAAATTTGTGTGTAGAAAAGTTTTGATGTGATGAAAAAGTCGGAAGTTTAAAGAAAAACTTTGGAAGTAAACACGGCCTTAGTACTTCCTCAGTGTTTTAATACATAATGCCATTTACTTTTACATACACGTTTGCTTGATGAGTCGTCCTATAAAGCTTACTTATCATTTATTTTATTGTGAGTTATCTTATCATTAAAAATGATTTAAAATGATTTTTATCTTATATATTCATATAAAATTTTTAGTAGGTCAAATAAAAGTTAACAGTATCATTTATTAAAAAGAATGGACGGTTATATTTTATTGGAAGCTTCTAAATGGGCGGTGATCATCCCAGCCGTCGGATTAAGATCGGACGGTCGTGCCATGCTTTGGAAAAATCACCTCGTGAATGGAATGGATGTGACTAGAGATTAATCTGAGCCGTCAAATCCATCAAGGGCGCCCATGATGTCCATGATGTCACTCGCAGCATGGTGGCATCAGTGATGATGATAAAAAGGGGCCAAAATAGTGGATGGGCCAAAAGAGAACTCGTGTTCATCATCTCAGGGCTTTTTTTTTTCTTTATTGTGTTTGACAATATGTAGATGCTAATATGCAAATAATGAACCATGTAGTTTCTACAGAAACAAATGATGCACTAATACCACTTCTAGTGCTCATCTTGCTTGATTCATATTATAAGCTAGCACTATAGCATATCATGCCTTTGGTCTAGAGGCATGCAGCTATGCAAGGTTTTTTTAGCATTCCAAGTTTGGGATGGTCAACAAAATGTAGTTTATGTCGTCCATATGCAGCATTTTCAATGCATAGCCATGAAAAGAGTTTATCAATCACCATGTACTTAGTCTAGGAAATCATTAATTTATGTTAGTGATATTACTGTATATAATTGATTTAGTGGGGGATCCAGTAATTTTCAGAGCTGGGTCGAAACCTACCATATATAATACTCCATTTGTAAATAAAAAAGAAGAGATTTTGGGTGGATGTAATACATCCTGTTCAAATTTATGGATGTCATATCTATTCAAAATTTCTTATATTTTAAAACGAAGGGAGTAGGCTGCTAGCATTGTCTGATTCGATATTGGCTAACAATGCGAAACTTCCACCTCTTGCAATGCACCAATGAGCTCGAGGACGAACATCCTAGGTTAGATCTAGCTACCTGTGTGCTTCGCAAGAATATCATATATGCTTAAAATATAAATGGTTTGCTCAAAATGGAGATATGCCACACGATATTATGCAATTATTGTACATCTATCTACATGTGTGGATGATGTAGCTCGCCGCTTTTGCAAGATGCGGTTTCAATTTTTGGAAGAAAGATCGATAGCTTAAGATCGATCTTTGTCGTATGATACTATTTTCAAAGTTCAATTGCAGATTATACTACCGTTTAAAATGAACCTCCGAGGCAACATCCTCATTATGTGAAGCATGCGGGACAATGACAATTTAGATAACAACGCATACTTTTTGAAGTGCATATGGAACATAGTTCGATTCCATCCATCACCGAATTCAAATTCCGAGAGAACAAAATCAGCGATGATAACCAATAAATATATATATACTACCAAAGAGGATTGCTGATCTTAACTAATTACGCTATATATACTAAAGCAAGATCTTTGTGAATAAAAAAATGTAAAATACAACATAAGTGTGATAGAGGAAGCACCTTTGGTGTGTGCGAGAGCTTTCACAAGCTTCACTCCATATACCAGTGTTCAGAGACTATATTTTTTTAATGTATTAATCACAAATGTGTGTACAGTAGGGGACTAGGGATGTATGTGGGTCAGCCACGAACCCACTTATAGATCAAAATAAACGGGTTTGCGGCTTATCTTAGCCTATAAGTGGGTTTCGCAGGTTAGCCACTTACACCCCTAGCGTACAGTATATATGTACATGTATGATGATATGTGCATCTTTTGTGTTAATAGATACCTGTATATTACTATTACCGCGGGATTAATTTTATTGAGAAACATTAATTGACCTAATTGTTGATATTTCATCGACACTTTGATCGAATATGGATACTCCCTCCGGTTCCATTTTAATTGACGTTTTGGATAATGACACGGTCTACAAAATATATCTTTAACCTTACTTTTCTATTGTAATATATACAATAAATAAATGCATGCTTACTTTTATTATAGTACTTTAAAAGACAAATCTATATATGTTGTTTTAGTTTCTTTAAACTAAATATTTTTAAAGTTATTGATGATCAAAGTTATAAAAATTTGATCTCAACTTTATCCAAAACGTCAATTAATATAAAACTGGAGGGAGTAGTTGTTAAACATGAAAGCTCCTTTATAACAAATAATCATATTAACTTTTTCTCTAGTCAAATTTTTTCAAGTTTAACCTAATTTATAAAAAAATAGCAAATATTTTTAACACAAAACAAATATAATATCAAAATATATTAAATGTTGGTTCTAATGGAACTAATTTAACACTATAGATATTGCTAAAAAAATATTTAAATTTAATCAAACTTAAAGAAATTTTATTAGAAAAAAGTTAAAATGATTTATAATATAAAATGAAGTAGAATATAACATGGAAATAGATAAGGAACGGGGTAAGAAGAGAGATATATTATAGGCATGTATGTATCTTTGTTAATTCTGTCCTGATCTCTTGCTTTCATCCGATCGAGGAAGCTAATCTCGTGAGAACTTAAGAGTCAAAATTAGTCTGCTCGAGCATGCAGGGTTACGTTTTCCACGCACCGAATCAAATCAAGAAAGAGATCAAGAGCCGTCTCCACGAGGCCATGTGCCCTGACTGCTGCTGATCTTGCCTTAGTTAACCGAGAAGATCCTACCACTCGTAATAATTAATCACTGCCGAGGCTTAATTAACTTACAGCACTGTGTGACAGTGACGACATGCCCAACTTCTGCACATCACTGTTTGATTTGATCAATTACTTGTAGAAAAGTGAGTTTATACTGACATGGGAATTGGGACTTTGGCTGTGTGCATTCTGAATTTAAAAGATTTTCCTTTATCACCTTCTCTGTTTTCTTGGATTGCAGGCTAATGCATGCAGTTAAGGTCAGGAGTGTTCTTAGTAAAATTTTATCTCCTTCATGGAATTGGATGAGTTCAACAAAACTTTCAGATGATTTCAATAAAACTTTCATTATCTTAAAGATATACTTGTAGTTATATATGGTATCAAAATTAACCTTTTGAGTTCAGGCATGATGGAACCACTACTCCCAAACTAATCATGGCCATTCTAGAGTGCCCAAGAGGCTCCAATCCACATGCTCAAAAGGGCCATTAGCAATGCGCACACCTAATTCATTTTTAATAATGACCTAATTAATCCTACCATTTGCCTAATTGCCTTTTGCATCGCACAACTTTACTATGATCATTGGTCTACCTAGATTGTATTTAAATCACTAGGCACCATGTAGTTAGTGTGGTGCCGGATCATCTTAGCAAAAGTGCAGCTAACCACAAGTTTGTTGCTGCTGCCATCACATTCAGAGACATTTAATTTCTTGCCTTAACCTTTCTCATTTACTAATTCTCTTCTCTTCCAATTCTCTTCCTCTTGCGTGTGCCAATCCTCTTGCTTGAAAGGGATTTATACTGAACGGAATAAGGGATTTTGCGTCTTGGCCATAAATCCTTTGAGGCCTATCAATGTCGTCTCCTCGTGACTATGTACTAGATACAAATCTCCGGAGAAATACTTTGTTGTAGTTGATGGGTCCAATTGCAAGAGATTCTTCAGCTAATTATTGGGTAGATAGACATGGCAATTTTTGGGGGTCAGGACTCAGGACAACAATGACTCGTAAGAGTGACATTGCCACTGAACAACCAGACCTAGCTAAACATGGTAGGAGAAGCCAAACAATTAATCACAATTTAGTGAAAGTGACCGGACCCAAATCATAGTACAAAGACACAATCATTGAAACCCTTGCTAACTGAACTCTAGAGAACAAAGGTTTTTTTTTTTCTGAAATCATTTGGAGCTTGCAAAAATGAAAGAACTGAGATTGAATTAAGATGTTCACGAAGCTGAAAAAAAAAAGGGCAAAATATGGCTCCATTCTAACGCAGGAATCTATAAAGGTGTAGCTTATTTCTCAAATTTAAGTTCTTTTTGTAGTTGATTTTTAAAATCAGTCTTAAAGTTCTTGATTGATTAAAACTCAATTTTCTAGTGACACAATTTTTCAGAATTAGCTTTTAAACGCTAATAACACACATATAAATGTGCATTAATTCGCGAAAAACACACTTATAAAAGTGATTGCTTCTTAATTTCTTTTTCGTGGCTTATCAGCATATATAGTTATCAGAGCCGCACAAGAATTGCAGGCCAAGCAGGGTTCACATTGACTCCCAAATCCATGCCTAACCAGTAAACTAATCCCCAAGTGTTAGCCGGTTATGGCACAGCCAGCCGCCATGCACAGAATACCCTAGGCAAACCAATACAACAACACATACTCTTTCTCTATTAATTAACACACCCTAACACAATTAATAAAGATTTTTTTCCTTTAATACCATTTCTTCTGGTTGGGTATGTTTCCTAGCTTGGTGATAACACTAGATGGCAGTGTAAAGGGAGCTGGCGGCGGTAGGTCGTCTTCCTCGTTGCCGGTCGGCACCCTCGCCCTTCCTGGAGCTCCTCCCCTTCTTTGTGGGGAGTTTCTAGGTTGGATTGAGGCGGCAGCTCGTCAGCGGGGGAAGCTCAGGATGCCGAAGCAATGCCATCTAGTCCCAGGTTCTCCTTCGGCCAAAAATGGCGAGGTGGCCGGCTGGTGGTGGAACGGAGGAGTCCTGGACCAGCTCTCAGGGGTGGTGGTTCGATGAAGTCGGCCAACGAAGGGGCGTCGGTGCGGTGTGGTGGGTGCTGCGTGCTGCCTTTTGTCTGTGTGGGGGTTCTGAGTTGGTGGACGGCGATCTGCAGTCAAGGGTGTAGGGTCCCAGGTAAAAGCCTAGTCCGGTGGTTCACCGGGCCGGCAGTGGCTACGTCTTCGGGCGTCGTAATCTCCTTGGGGCGTTGTCGAGGGTTTCCCTCTCCCTTTCTCGATGAGTTTCTCTGGGTGAAAACCACATCTTTTTTAGATGGGTGATGGCGGCATCCTTGGATGTCGTGACCACCGTGGTGGCATCGTTTTCGGAGTCTCTTCTCTGTGGTGTTGCCGTAGGCCTAGCGGCGTTCGGCCACGCTTAGCGGGGGTCGTCTGGTGCTAGGCTTCACCCTCAGCGTTTTGTGCTTGGGTGGTAGTGCGTGGTGTGTGGCAATGCACCTCGGTGCATTTTGTTGTTTTTTCTTGTAACTTTTACTCTTTAATATACTCGGCTGGCCTCCTTCGGCCGTCCCGGAGAAAAAAAAAAGATAATACTAGGCCTGCAGCCCTGCATGGCTGCAACCCAACAAGCAGAAATGGACACTGGAATCTTCTTGTGTTCCTGCTGTCCTAATTTGTCTCCATTAGAGGACATGGATCCTTCCCAAGTGCAAATCTCCTCATGGACTGCCCTCCCCATGGGGGAAATTGCAGGGGGCAGGCTTGGGACACAGCATGACACTGGGTTTTCTTTGAGCCTCAAGAAAAGGTTTTTTGGGTCTATGGTCTAGTGGTGTTATGGGCTAAGCAAAGGAAAGGATTTGACTGGTGTGTTGATTAATCAACATGCTAATTATTGGGGACTGACTGGAAGTTGGTGTACCCCTGCAAATTGCAATCTCTGCACTTTTTATCTGTAACATAGATGTGCATATTTTCTTTCTCTGTCAAAAGTTTTTGGCTGAAGTGTCAATGTGTCAAGGTGGTGTTACAGCCTTTCTTCTGAATTTCTTTTCTTTATCTTCACACTGAGTCCTGACTAGATAAAACACTACTGGCCCAAGCCAATCCAATCTAACCTACCAACCTGCTGCTCCTACCATTTTATTCCATTTTTGCAAGAGTGAGTCATTGCTCTTGTCTACTACTGCTACTAATTATTCACTCATGTAGTGTTGGAATGATGGTTCAAAGGAATCAATCGATCACTAGCTTGCAATACAAAATTGGGGAGGACTCCTGTCATGAAATGGATTATTAGTATTAACAAATCTGCACTTTCACCTGCTGTCTGGGCTGTCTAGGTGTCTCCACGTGTTTCAGAGTTGCCGGGAAGGTCCTAATGGGGATTAGATTTATTGGGAGTATGAACCAAATCTGTTGTTTTGTTAATTTGTGCAAGATTTGATTATGCAGCCGGTCAGTGTGAGAGGTTTATTCCATGGACCACAAAGAATTGTGCCCTAACTACTAAACAAATGTGTAAAGTCCGTGTGTAATGGCGTTAGGGAGGGTGAAGAAACTCGGTGAAAAACACGTGTAAAAGGTACTGATGCTTCTCCTAGCTGCCACTAATGGTTATGGACAGCTGCAAATGATGCTCAAACATGGTGAGGACAGATTATTTTGTTCAAATTTTTATGGCTATGGACTCGTAACTAGTCGATCACACCACACTTACACCAACACACTCAAATATATAAGCATATTACTTAGTCGTAGAAGAACGAACAAAACAACCAGAAGATGAAAAGAAAAGAACACTAAAATTAATTGTGGAAAAAACTCCAAAATCAACTTTAAAATTAAATTCTAAAATTTAAATGAGCCATGGCGGTAAACCAACCAGTAAACAAATATTTTGTTTGGGGAGCTTAAAAATCTAAAAACAGCTGGTTTGTATCTAGCTTCCGAGAATTTAAAAAAGTTGATTTTCCCAACTTCTGATTTCTAATTTACTGTATGGGTTCTATAACTACGTATTTTAAAAATCCTAGCCAAAAATCTAGATTTTTAAAAAGAACTAGATATTCTAAAAGAAGCTATAGCCTCCAGGTTGTTGCGGGTCGCCGCCGTCAGAGCTATGTCCGCCCCCAATTGGATCGTTGCTGGGGGACTGAACTTACTCTTGCTGGCCCATGTGGCCATGTATATGGGCCGGCCCAAATCCATGGCCCATGTGACCCATGTATATGGGCCGGCCCACTCCGTACGCGCGGCGGGCCGCAACGCAACCCCACCTGGCCGGGCCCGTGAAATGCGTAAAGCGCCGTCCCCGAACTGCGCCGCATTTGACCGATTCCGGCGGCGGCGGCGGCGGCGGCGGTTTCCGGGACGAAGAGGCGGATCGGCGCCGGAGATCCGACGAATCCACGGCGGCACCGGCGGCGGAGGTGCTAGGATGGAATCGGGGCCAGCATTTCTTCACCCCGCACATTTTGAATTTTTGATCCGACGGTTTCTGTGACTCGAGGCCGGAGAAATTGGAAAGCCGGCGCGTCGTCGTCGTCGAGATCGGCGCCGTCGTGTGCATCGATGATTCAACGTGGTCGAGGAGAGGATCGCTCGCGCTCGCGGCGGATCAGATTCAGAGACCGTCCCCAAACCTCATGTAAGTTGTTTTAGACGCACCAAATAATTTTGTTACTGCTTCTTGTAATTTGTAATATGGTTTTGTTGCTGCTGGTGTTTGTGTTTCTACGGATTTAGATTTTAGAATGGGCTGAACAGACTGAACTCACTCTTGCTGATTTTAGTGTTGATTTTTTTTATATTTTCTTTTGCTGATTTTTATTTTGTTATTGCTGCTGCTGTTCTCTAACGCTGGTGATTCTTGGAAGGCATACCGCATAAATTTTGATGTGAATTGAAAGGGTTTGTACTCCCTCGTTCTCTAAATGTTTGACGCCGTTGACTTTTTTAAATATGTTTGACCGTTCATCTTGTTCAAAAACTTTTGTGAAATATGTAAAACTATATGTATACATAAAAGTATATTTAATAATAAATCAAATGATAGGAAAATAATTAATAATTACTTAAATTTTTGAATAAGACGAATGGTCAAATATTTTTAAAAAAATCAACGGCGTCAAACATTTTGAGATGGAGGGAGTATTTAGGAACAATGGTAATGCAGTGATCACTATGAGATGCAGTAATCACCATGAGAAGATGCACAAAAAGTTTTTTTAAAAAAAATGGCGTGCTGACGAATGAGGAATGATGCTACTAAGCACTGTGATTCTCCTTGGGCAAAACAGAAGTACAGAATCCTGAATCTACCTTACCACAAGGGGAACTCCTAGCAGAAAGCTCTCAAGATTCAAGAACAACAGATCAACCAGAAGCAGCAGCCCCTCCCTGACCTCTGTACTGAACCAAAATGCAATAATATGTGGCATGACAGATTAGTCCCCCAACCAGCCAAAATTCACCCATCCTAAGATTTACAAAACCATCGAACCAACATCGAAAAAACATGCCCCCATACAAGTAGAAGCTGAAGCTCCCCCCCAATTCTGCTGCGGTCCGAACCCGAGCTAAGGCGGATCACACGGAAGGGAAGAACTTGTTCAAGTTGAACGGCAGAGAGTAGAACTCCTCGCTCCGGGTGTCCGTCTTGAAGCTCCTGAACTTGTCCCACCAGTGGTATCCCCTGTCTCTCCTCACCCCATTGTCGCGCCTCTGGATAGTGTTGTCTAGGAAGTACGCAATGAGCCCTGCGACGAACGGCTTTGACGCGAAGGGTACATTTATCATGTCATTGAACTGCCATGCCAAAATGATGAACATCAGTAACCTGTAAAGGATTTAGCTGGAAAAAAAAAGATATATAGAAGTACAAGAAGGTTGGAGGTTTTCTTTACATACCCATCGAGCGCCGGTGTGCACTGGACCATAACCGGCAACCGATGTATACTCGTTGAAGTACTGAGGAACCGATAAGCCCATGAAGAACGAGAACCCCACAATGAACTTGGTCCTGAAGCTGTTGAGATTGCAGAACTGAAGGAAGCTCAGACCACAGGCACCTGCAAATAGAGGCATTGACAATTTGGAAACTGCAATGTGCAAATAAAAGCACAGAAATAATCAAAAGCCTGGTAAAGGGTGCTGAATATCTGGACCACTTACCAATATATGCAAAGAAGATGCAATACAGTGCAGCGAATATTGGTAAGGGAATTGACGCAAAGATTGCTCCGAATTTCCCTGGTTTAGCATAACAAACATTATTAGCCTAGGAAATCATATGGTACTCTGATTCTGTCTATCCTTATTAAAACTTATATGTACTCTGATTCTCTCTATCCCTGCACACGACAACTACGAGCCTACTAGATTTTTCTTCTGAAAGCTGATATGGAGTACTAAAGTTAGAAAAAGCACTGCACATTACCAAGGATAGAAAAGAAGATCATGAAGCCAGCAGATATTTGCACTACTCTCCGGCTGCCAACATGTGTCAAAGCTAGCAAACCGGCATTTTCCCTGCAAAGATCAATATGGATTATGACCTACTTAAGAGACAAATGGGAAGAAAACCAGTTCCCAAGTAATCCAGGCCACTAATTTAATTAGATGGTAACATTACACTTACACTGATACAGCAGTTCCATTGGCTGTCCCGAAAAATGCACCTATTAAAGTACCAATACCCTGCAAATGATACTCAGCAGTGATCAGTAAAACCTAGCGATTGACTAAGATGATGCTTCTGGGGGAAAATAATCAACATGTTTACCTGCCAACCAATTCCACGACCAAGCACTGATGGAGGTATCATAGTCGCACTTGCATATCTTGACACAGCAATGAAGGTCCCAGTTGACTGAAAGATAGTAGTAGCAGCGGGTTAAAACTTATAACCAGCAATCTATGTTTCACTTTCAGGTAAAGCTGTGCAGACAAACCTCTACAAGAGCAACAAATGAGGCCATCATCATGGCAAAAGATTCACCAGCATCAAATGTTGGAGCCCCCCATTGAAAAGGGAAAGGAACTCTTATCCTACAAGATTTTTTTTTCAGTGCTTCTATGATGAGTACTATCAATAAAGGGCCCAGGAAGAGAAATGATGAAACACTCATGAATTGCTTACCATGGAGCTCCACTGATAATTCCAGAGCGATCAACACGACAGTGCACTTGTGTCTTCGGCCGGGCATTCTTGTATGCGCCACTAGCAGTTAGAATGTATGCATACAGCCACACAATAGCAATGGTGAAAATCACAGCAAACCGGTCGAACACGGGCTTTGCCACATGTATGACATGGGGTAAATACTGCACAAGGGGGCAAATGCAGTTAGCTCATGACTTTCAGCAACCACAGCTATACTTGTGTGAATATGCATTATGACTGCTGCAATCACCTGAGAAAATACAAGCAGTAGAATGATTTCTGGGAGCCCAATTTCCACGCACTTTGCAACCTGCACATACAGTTGTGGCACTAAAATCAGTCTTATGAGGTAGGGAACAGCCAAAGAAAAAAAAAAGAATCTCCAAGCTAACTCTTACCCCTGGAAAACCAAGCTCATAGAGGCCAAATCCAGCAAGTGAGATCAAAGGAACAGCAGACAATGGACTAAGAAGTCTGTGAAAGAGTGGGCAATGGTCAAGCCACAAACTAAAACAATACATTGTGCAACGAGTCGCCAAACCTGATAACTGAAACACTGCAGTTGGCAAGCCTGCAAACTGAAATGATGCAATTGCACAATGTACATTCAGAAGTTCAACAATGATACCTACCTAACTACATTGCGCCAGAGACCACTGAAACCAAGTATGATCTGGATTGTCGATGCAATGATGAGAGCACCTTGTGTTCCTCGCATTGTCCGCAAGAATTTCTTCACAGCAGTAGCAAAATCTTACCAACTTTACAAGATCACACAGAGGATGTGACAATCTTAATGCTTAGATACAGCTAGTGCGGATACTACCTCATGAGGATCTGCTTCATTGCTATAGCGGCCAGCCAATATGATGGAAATTGTCGGCGCAACAATGGTGTACGATCCTCCCATCACAGCTGGAAGACGAGTCCCGAAGAACGATTGGCAGAGGGTGTTTATCCCGGCAACGAACAGCAGCGTCTGAATCACCCGAGCCTTCTCCTCCTGAGTGGCAATGCAACGAAATGCAGGTACAGTTCATCAGTTTTGACATGCAAGCTCATCACAAAATTACAGTAGTAACAGTTTAGATCTTCTGTGACATTCTTCAAATGCACATGTCAACAAGTGAAATCAACCAAGATTCAGATATTGGAATACTTTTCAGGTGATTCTTGGGGAGACTCACATTTCCACCTCCCATCTGGGGAACAAGAGCACTGGGAATAATCACTGATGTGCCCAGCATCACAATGTAGTGCTGGAATCCAAGTATGACGGCCTCAGCTGCAGGAAAAGAGAGATTCAAAGTTTCAAACCCATCAACATCGTCAGGACCAGGTGTGAGAACCACCAGAGTGAAGTGACCACAAACTACAACCAACCAACACAAGCAAACCTAGGAGGCCGACATCGACATCGACATCATCAATGCTGCAAATCTATACGGCTAAGAGAACATAAATGCCACAAAGTACAGTGGATGATTAGCAGCTCCGCCATCAAAATCAAAAGGCAAAGATGGCCTTGGTGATATAGAGAGAGAATCAGAGAAGAAGAAATTAAGAGACGTACGCCATGGCGGTGGGCTGGTGATGCAGTAGGACACGCTGGGCAGCTGGTCCTTCACCTGGTGAGGCTGCAACTCCTCCTGCTTCGGCGGCGGCGCCGCCCCTCCTCCGGCCATCCTCCACCACCTCCAAGAACCCAACAAAAATGGGACAAACAAAGGCAAAAAAGAAAAGAAATGCAGGAACCAAGAACAGGGAGTCCAAGAACCAGAACAGTGCAGTGAAAGCACAAAACTCAGAGAGATTTCAGAGAGCAGCAAACAAAGGCGGCTACCGATTCTTTGCGTGCAAAGAGGAGCAAGAACAAAGGAGGATGAAAAGAAAGGGAGACAGCTACAGCTGCTGCTTCTTGCTTTCTACTACTACTCCTCCCAGTGCGCAGTGGAGTGAAGCAGCAGCAGTGCAATGCAATGCAACACACTCGCAGCTAGCAGCTACTACCTGGGTCGAAGGAATCTACAATGCTTTGAGCTTTTCCTCCCTCTTTTATGTTTCCCTTCTTTTCTCTCGCTACCAGCAATGCTTTTTTTCTCTGGCCATGGGATCGGAGTTTCGCCTTTGCGCCACCGCCTCCGCGAAAAACGCGCCCTCCGCTCCTCTTCCCAAGTTGTTATCTTTTTCCCACCACCGTAAAGGAGATGGCAGAGAGAGGAAAAAAGATTGCAAATTCCACAATGGGAAGAAGTTCGGGTCTGTTTGGTTGATATCTTCGGGTCTGTTTGGTTGATATCTTCGGTATACTCCCTCCGTCCCAAAATATAAACATTTTTAGCTATGAATATGTCTAGATTCATAACTAAATATTGTAACATTTTGGGACGGAGGTACTTCCTCCGTTTCACAATGTAAGACTTTCTATCATTGGTCATATTCATATATATATATATGTATTTAGATTCATTAACTATCTATATGTATATAGATTCATTAACATCTATATGTATATAAGCAATGCTAGAAAATCTTATATTGTGAAATGGAGGGAGTAGTATTATATTTAAGGTTAGCTAGGAGTATGTCACAACTTTTTAAATAACTATTTGGTTCATTGTCACAATAGTCTCTTGTCAAACTTTTTAGACACATGGACTTCCTTGTCATTGATTCAAGTTTTTAACCAAGGTTGTGTTTAGATCTAGTGGTTGAAGTTTCGTCGTGTCACATTGGATATACGTGCACATATTTAAAGTATTAAACGTAGTTTAATAACAAGACAAATTACAGAATCCACCTGTAAACCGCGAGACGACTTTATTAAGCCTAATCAATCCGTCATTAGCAAATATTTATTGTAACACCACATTGTCAAATCATGGCGCAATTAGGCTTAAAAGATTCATCTCACAATTTACACACAATCTGTGTAATTAGTTATTTTTTTCATCTATATTTAATATTACATGCATGTGTTCAAACATTTGATGTGACAGGGTGTAAAATTTTGCTAGGGATCTAAACAAGGCCTAAGCTTGTAATGTGGATAAGGATCTATAAACATAATTCTGTGATAAGCCACAACTTATCACAATTGTGATTTGATAAAGTTAGCCACTAAGGCCATCAACAATGCGTGCCCCTGGAGAGTAGCCTCGCAAATGGCATCCAACTTCCGTCGTCGGGTCGTCCCCTGGGAGGGAGGTGCGACCCCCACGCGGGGGACGAGTGGCTCCGGGCTCCTCAGCTCACTTTTCCTGAGCTACTCCATCGGGGCTACGCATTGGGGTGACCCGATGCCCCGTCCCCACCTCCTCCCCCATTGCTTCCCCATGTTGCCCCTCACCGGCAGCGTGACAACGAGAGCGAGAGAGAGAGAGAGAGAAGAGAGAGGCGACGGCGACGGGCGGAGACGGCTTGAGGCGCCCGTGCTCGCCGCCGAGGAGCACAAGGACGACGTCGTGGTGGTGGTCATCGCGCTCGGGGACGACGGCGACGACGGCCACCGTGCGCCTTGCCCGGCCTTCTTCGCTGACACCTTGCTCGCCACCGCTGGCGCCGTGCCCGCTACCGCCGGCGCTGCCACTGTATCCTCCCCGATCTGGCCGCGTGGAGCTCAGATCCGCCCACTACGGTGCCGGATCTGGCGCCCCTGACCGGCGACGGCACGAGGTGGAGGATGCCGGAGAGGACAGCGATAGGCGGCAATGGGAGAGAGGGAGAGAGAGGGGCGGCGGTGGACGCCGGCGACGGGAGAGGCGGCCCTCCTCGTCGTCCTCGCAGCCGTGTGCGGCGAGAGGGAGAGGCGAGTGCGGCAGCGAAAAAAAGAGAATAGGGGGCAGGAGAGAGAGATCAGGGATAGGGTAGTAAAAATAAATATGTGGTTTTGTAGGCTGGAATATTCATTATGGGTTGGAGTGTCTCTATTAAGTTGTTTCAGATTTTGAGGAGCCCATCCAGAGATATCCTTTATTGTGAGCTGAGTTTCTCCTACGAGTGTTCTCAGTTAGTGAGTACACTCTAGGAGTGACTCACATTGTAGAATGCCCTAACGGAAACAACCCCAAATCTTCAAAGTTTTTCCTCTCTAGAGAGTCTTTTATCTCTCTCTAGTGTAGGTAGAGAGGAGCAGGGAACTTTTTGCCACTGCGGTGCAAAGCTTTTTCTGCTTTGGCTGCTGCTGCTCTGCTTTTGCTGCGGCTAAAATGGAAGAAGGGGAGGGGAGGTGCGTGGAGTTGAATGCTGCTGGGAGCGCATGTGAGCCTGTGTGAGCAGAGCAGCCATGGGCAAAAATGGACGGCCTCTCCTCTCCTCGCAGTCGAAACGCACCGTTGCGTGTAGCCATGTGGTACGCGTTGGCGTTTGCCGTTGCCAACTCCTCATTTGCCTTTACCGTTGCCGTTGCCATCTCCTCATGGCTAGCTGTTCACGCTTAGGCGCGAGAAATTGAACGGATCGAGAAGCTCAATTTCCTTAAAAAAAATACATGAAATATGCATAATCTTACACATTTGCGATTACACACTCTAACACACTAGGTGAGTTATCTAGAGCTTTTTAATTTTAGCCACTAACACTTCTCAAACTGCTAAACATTGTTTCATGAAATAAAATCATTATAAATGTTTTTTTAAAGAAACTTGATTCTCATTTTTAATTTTATAGTAGTTAATATTTAATTAAACATGCACTAATTAATTATTATCTCATTTCACGTATGGCTGATTAGCCAAGCTAAAAAACTGAAACGAACTAATCCTAAGGCTGGGCTTAGCTAGTTCATGGCATGAGGCAGATGATCAGCGTGTGATTAATTAACTTTAAATACTACAAACTTAAAAAAATAATTTATTTGATTTTTAGTAAATTTATATTTTTCACAAAACACGTTGTTTGTAATTCGGGAAGAGTGTTAGCTAATCTCAACCATAGTATACACTTAAAAAGGTCGATGTCAACACGGTAGCACTTGATTTTACTAAAGTCCTGGGTAAGTTGGATTCTATATGAAGAAAAAAAAAGACCGATATTCTTCGAGGACTGCAATATGAATTTGGACGAGAGAAATTTTATGGGAGTTTTGAGGAAATTTTATATGAATGAGCACGTAAGATAGTTTTCCCCAAATATCTAAACAACTTTACCATAATTATTTATATACTTCCTTTGAATTTTAATAGATGATGTCGTTAAATTTATTTTAAGCATAAGCTAAGATGCTGTTAACATTTAACATGCTTTTAGCATACTTTTTGACTATATATCTTATGTTTTTTTTTCATATTTGCATAAACTTTTGAATAAAACAAATGCTCAAATGTGTGTAAGTCAATGATGTTAGGGTATTCTCAACTCAATATTTAAGGTCACTAAAGTAATAATACGAGATCCACAATCCAAAGTTCTTTTGTATATAACACATGCTACAATGTACTCCCTCCGTTTCACAATGTAAGTCATTCTAGCATTTCCCACATTCGTATTGATGTTAATGAGTCTAGATAAATATCTAGACTCATTAACATCAATACGAATGTGGGAAATGCTAGAATGTATCTATCTAGATTCATTAACATCAATACGAATGTGGGAAATGCTAGAATGACTTACATTGTGAAATGGAGGAAGTATATGGTATTTTCTCAATCTTAAACTGGGACTCACTGAGGAAAAAAAAAACTCTATCAAGTAGGATTGTAAGAGCAAGTACAGTAGCAAGCTATAGGTTAGTTAAAAGCACATCTGGAGGAGAGAAGAAAAGAAAAGTGGGCTACAGATTTATCGCTGCAGCACGAGCTCCATGTGTGTATGAGATGGACAAAATATTAATGATATAATATATATTTATATAAAATGTATACATAGGCTATTAGAGTGGTTGTAGATGATTTATCAATTTTTAGAGTTAACAATTAACTATATTATTAAACTTGCTCCAAGAGCAACATGCATGTTGCATAGCTATTATTTATTTCTTATGGCATCACCAATGTATATAGTAAAAATGACCCATATAGATAAGACGTACATACACATACTTTAAATATAGCAATTCACACAATATATATAGATACAAGATGATATTAGGAGAAGAGAGAAAAGTAGAGATAGATGATATTATTTATTCCATATGGGTAGTCACTATGCATATGGATATTTTTTTGTTACTCCCTCCGTTTAATGTTATAAGACGTTTTGACTTTGATCAAAGTCAAACTGCTTTAAGTTTGACCAAGTTTATAGAAAAAAATAATAACATTTTCAACCCAAGACAAATTTATTATGAAAATATATTCAATTATTGATTTGATGAAACTAATTTAGTATTATAAATATTACTATATTTGTCTATAAACTTAGTCAAACTTGAAACAGTTTGACTTTGTCCAAAGTCAAAACGTCTTATAACTGAAACGGATGGAGTATTTTCTTTATATGGACCAGTTGCATAATGGTACTAGATGGTTGAATGAAATATTATATTATCTATGAAATACTTGTGTACTACATTGTAAATGCCCTAAGTTTAAGGATGCCCATAATAATATTATGTTCTTTGCTTCTTTCCCAATAAAATCTGGTTGAATAAAATACATACTTTTTTATTCCCTGAGGTTATTTTTCATGCAATATTGTGGATGACCTTATCCATGGAAAACCGGAGGAAATATTTTTCAATTCTCCACTTCGCACGTACTCTACATTCGTACTACCTCTTCTTTTTTCCTTGTTTGTTTCATTGAAATGTTCCCATCCCAGCAGTTCAATAGTACATGTTTGATCAGACAAACATTCACACGCACAACAGTTTTGAGCTATCCAGACCATCTTGGGAGGAAGAGAAAAATACACCATTTCTGTCATAGCATTAGCCACCATACTTAAATTAATATGCCTAACGATAAATTAGTGATACCTTCAAACAACTACTCCCCCGTTTCTAAATATTTGACACCGTTAACTTTTTTAAATATGTTTGACCGTTCGTCTTATTTAAAAATTTAAGTAATTATTAATTCTTTTCCTATCATTTGGTTCACTGTTAAATATGCTTATATGTATAAATATAGTTTTACATATTTCACAAAAGTTTTTGAATAAGACGAACGGTCAAACATGTGCTAAAAAGTCAACGGTGTTAAATATTTAGAAATGGAGGGAGTATATAGATGCGGTGAAACTTTGTACTGATCGCCTTGTAGACGTTAGTGGTCAAAACAGTTCTCTTTTCCTCCCTCTGCACAAAAAGTAAAACAACTTTTATACACAAATATGAATATAGGTTATGTCCTGATTTATAAAAGGAAAAATATCATGGTCGGCCGAATTACCCCCTAAACTCGAAAACCAGATATTATTCACCCTAAACTTTCAATACCGGACGAATTACCCCCTCGACCCAATCCGGCGCGGTTTTGTCCTACGTGGCGTACGCGTGGCAATCCAGTCAGTACCTTATTTATTAAAAAATGTGGGTCCCCCTGCTCAGCTCGCGGGATGAAGGATCGGCGCAGCCTGCTCAGCCCGCCGTCAGCCTCAGCTCCTCGCCCGCTGCCCGTAGCCGCCT